GGCCGTGGCTCGATTCTCAGCCCAGGCGATGGGTGGCCCTGAAGCCTCATTGGGGCATTATGCGGGAACGCGCGGGGCCACCAAGGCGATAGCGAGCGCGCTTCTACGTTGGGCGTCCTGGAAGAGGCAACTTGGAAGCAAAAGAGGCTTCACCGGACTTTGTTTGGTCGAGGCGGTATGCATACACACGACAGAACTCAGGAAGCTGGGCTGGCAAGGCAAGGAATATGACAGCACATCACAGCACGGCTTGCGGACCGGGGGCTGGTAGGACATGGGGATTGTCTATTCCATGCAATGAGGAGACAAGACAACAGACGAGAAAAAAAAAAGAAAAGAGAAAAAGTATCGAACGCGAGAAGAGAAAAGAGAGGACAGAAAAAAGCAAATACGGGCTTATTGGATTTTGCTGGCGGGGGATGCGTCTCATTTCGCCCGCGGGATGGTGGTTTGCCACTGCCGCCGTGGCTTCTGCCGCTTCAAGTCCTTTCTTTTTCTCACTCTTATTTTGCTTTTCTTTTCGCCTCTCGTATTTTTGTGCTCGAGAGAGCAAGACATCGTAGATACGTAATGCATTACTCTCTAGTATTATCTACATACTGGACTGTCAAATTCTCTCTCTTCGTCTCTGTCTCGTCCTTGTGTTTCGTATTTGCTCTTGTGTGTGCGCCTCTCCCGAGACCAGTTCTGGTCGTGGGCTACTACCGTCCCGGCTAGTACTAGCGCGCAGCACCGCTGAGGACTTGGGGTTGACACAAGCAAAAAAGCGTCTCCATGCATAAGCCGTTACGGAGCACATACGAGCCGACTATGAAACTGATGACGAAAAAAGAGCCCATTCCTCACCAGCACGGGTGGGGACGGGCTATTCTTGTACGAGGTGACACTGGGAGCATAAAAATAATCCACTTCATGCAGCCGGCTCCTCTTGGATTGTGATCGACGCGCTAGGCCTGGTTCTGGCAACCGGCTCATATGTCAGATCCAGTTGGAACCAGAGCCTGAGCTGTGCCCGGGCAGTTGTCGATGATGATGACCACCGTCTGTCTGTCAGACCGCAGATGGGTTGAGCCTGTAGACTATGTACGAAGTTCGAAGTCAGAAAGAAGAGCGGTACCGCTGGCTACCTTGGGACTAGGAAAGGTAGGTACCATCACCACTATCACCACTGCTCCGTACCAGTAAGATCAACTCCAACCAAGATGCCTTGCGCCGTGATACGATACGGCTACGAGATTGGATATCGCAAGTCTCATACGCCCTGCCCTGTGTGACGACTACACAAAGGCAAGTGCGTGTTAGTGGCCCAGAAGAGCACACAAACACGCACACACGCCCGCCGAGGCGCTGATTTGATGCTTCTGACCTGACAAACACACCATCAAACAGCCCTGGGCGGCAACTTGGCCAAACAAACCAGAGAGCACATCAGCTCCCTCCGGCTCTTCGTCTCCGCCCACCCCAGGCCCGGGGCCAATCTGGCACCCGGGTTTTGACGTTGTCTTTTTTGCCTCCTCAAGGCGGGAGATTTTCCCACCTTGCTGGCTCTAGTGACGACGGCTGGTTTCAACTTTTGGGCTGATCGAATGACTTACAACCACTGGTGCTAAATACTAGATGGACTGGTTGGACGGGCCGGGCAGCGAGTGATGATTTTTTGGTGATCATTTGATGTATGGCTGAGCGCATCGCCTGGGCAGCAGGATACCATCATGTGCCTTGCAGTCGGTGGGGTTTGATCACCATCATGCTTTTTCATTCTCACTGTTTATTTTCCTCAGCTTTCTATCAAGCTGGCTGTGGGTGTGACGACTTCGAGGTCCAATGGGCTGTGCACAGCCAAAAGAGTGCGTCAGTGTGCAGAGCTGAGACGGGCGGCTTTTCTTGTGCAAGCTGCATCCCCCCTCCAAGAAAAACTTTTTCTCTCTCTGTGATGCTGCGGCGAGTAGATTAAACCGAGTGGTAGGTACTATATAGGTAGTGTTGAGTGCAGTACATGTAGCACATCGAATCGAACGAAAAGAAACAAAAGTGTCCCATCACCACACGGCATTCTGCAGGGCTTGTGACGCGCCTCTTTGGTGTGCCCGTGCCCGCCCGTGAGTGGCCGGCACAATGGAGAAAATGGCGCGCACCGAGCTTTGGAAGCTCGAAAGAGAGAAGTGTCATCGTCGAGTACATAGAATACCCAAACAGCGAGGGTTTTTTCTCTCTCTCTTGAAGTTGCTCTGGTGGAACGTACCTAAACAGCGGCCCAGCGTTGTTAGTGGATGGTGGTGGTGGTGATAGTACCAGTTAGTGGGTGGCTCTAGCAGCGGGATGGCGCCGGCGCAATCATCACCACAGACGCACGCTTGGAGGTTGGGGTGCACCGCCGTCAGTTGACGAAGTGCTGATGTTGCGCTTCTCATAGGTGGCCCTTCCCTCCCCCTCCTCCGAAGGTGTGCGTACATACAGTAGCATCAAGAGGGCCCCCCCGAATGGGACGAGAGCAAACTTGGACGAACGCCATGGGGGCCAGGAATTGGCATATAGCCTTTCGATGTTGAAGAGAGCACACTGGCAACAAGTTGATGGGATGGCAGCTGCAGCGTCTCTCTTGGGCGCCGTTGGTGGCCCAATCAGCGGCTGAGGCGCCGTGCAGATGTCATTCGCGAGGCATCCATCATGGGTCTTCGTTTGGCCACTGCTTTTGGGATTCGATGGCGGCTTTGAGCATTGGGGGGAGAAGGCTCTCTGCCTGCCTGCGTGACTGTGCGTGCCTCTCTGTCTCTATCTCTTACGCTCTCTTTCCTAGTACATACATAGACTCCCCTCACTCCCCTCCCTCTCCGGTGTGATAGCAGATTCAATCTACTATGCGCGCGACAACAAGCCATTACGAGTGAATCATGTCCAAAACAAACGGATAGACAAGCTAAAACCGCATCAAAAAACCAGCTCCAGCAATTGGCTCGGCTCCCAGCCAGTGGCTTCTCGTTTTCCCCCCAAGCCAAGCCCGGTGGAGGGAGCAAGGCGCTGCGCTGTGCCAGTCGCGGTGCATCCGAGAGGCTGGAGGCGTCGTGTGTGTAGGTACGGAGCATGTATGTGTATGTATGTAAGGTAGTTATCTACGTCTGCTTGCTTGGGATGCCATGCCAGATTTGCTTCAAGCTGTTTCTCTGTGACGCCTACAACGGCAGTCGAGCTGTAATACATACTACTTGCAACTACGTACGTACGGCTGTCAGGGCTGCAAATCCGGTCTAATGGCCCGGATGCACTTCGTATATTACGGCTCGTAATGGAGATGTGTGCAATCATACGCCCACAGCCCAGAATTAGAATGGGTGGCTGCGCCATGCTCGCACCTCGCCCGCGGGTTTTGACTCAAACCCGGGACCAGTCAAAGCCATCGCGGCACAAACGCCCAATGGCCACAGGCGAATGACGGCTGGAGGATGGCACGGGTACGAAGGAGTTGGGGGGACTCGACTCGATCTACCATTTAGTACCGTTATGTTGGTGCTGCTCGAGGGCTTCGTACATCCATTCATTTTACGATGTGACGGCGTTAGACTTGCCGGATGCCCACGAGGAATCTGTACGAGGCATGAGATTGGCATATAGCTCTGGCTTTTGATCGCGCCAACCAACGCCAGCTACAGACTTCTCACTCGTACTTGATTAGAGCACCCAAGCACAAAGCTGTATCATCAATGTCCATCTGTCTGCACTCTGCACATACGAGAGCGCATTAGTAGAACCTGTGTTATGATCCCAGGCCCGTCGTCGTCGTCGTCGTCGCTGTCGTGCTACTTGGTTCCCGGCCCACCGGCATTGTACAATTGTATGATTTGTATCCACCCGCCAGCCAGCGAACAACTCGACTCGACTGAAGTCAGTCAACTTGCCTCCCCGGGTGGTCAGTCAGTCAGTCAATGAATCCCAATCCCCCGTCAACCGCACCCTTGTCCATATCTTTCCCAGGCCTTCACCTCTTCTTTGTTGCTGTACTCGTACTGTAGGCTGGCCGCTACCTTAGCCCGGCACTAGGTACGTACCGCCTCCACGGCCTCGACAGATGGGCTCGACCAGGATGGGCAGCTGGTGCTGGTCCTCACTAGCAAGGCAACCCTTGCAAGCTTCCTCCAAGTTGGGTCCTCTCAAGGTTCGCACCCCCCCGGCGCGACAACCCCGGCTCGCACACCACCCGACTCGCCCCAGACACCTCACGGACGACAGGGGCCAGGGGGGGAGCCTGTCCCGTCATGTCCGCGCAACGCATCCTGGCTCACTGGCCGGGTCCAGCGTCGAGTGAGACAAGTGGACAGTGGGCTTTGGGCAGGGCTCGAGAGGGACCAGGGCCTGCGTGGAGGCGACGGAGCGTTGGAGCGCACCTTGGTAGCGTTCCCACCGCTGTGGGCTCTGCCTATCGGTCGATTTGGCTCGTCGATGATCTCGGTGCGCTGCTTGGGCTGGCCGCTGGCTTCAACCCGTCCTGGCCGTTGCCTACTTATCCTGCCACGGCCCCCCGCCGTTGACCAGAGGCTCATCCATATGATCGGCATCCTTGAGCTTGTATATCTTTGTTCTTAACGCCCTCGATTCTCCCTTCTTTTTGCGACCTCGTCTCTATCGGAAACTCGATATATTTCTTCGAGAATCCTTCCCTTCTTTTACTCGCAACAACCCTCCTCATCTCTGTCCATCTCTGTCTGCGCAATACCACCCATCGCAAACAGCCTCTTCCTCCTCGGTCTCTCCTACCAACCTACCAAAGACCGCCATCCATTCTTTCACCGGAGCCGAAGACGACCTCTCACGAAGAACCGCTCTTTACGTTGCCTCTTCTTACAACACTGTATAATACGGATTACTACTATACAAACCAATAACGCTTAATATCTAAATTTACCCCTTCGGAAGCCATCGCAAACACAACAGGTTAGACAGCCAGAACAAACAAGAGGAAAAGAGTTCAAGAGCTGACTTATGCATTGGCTGGACAGAAGCAAGCAATGGACGGCATGATGTCTCAACCCATGGGACAGCAGGCGTTCTACTTCTACAACCACGAGCACAAGATGTCCCCTCGACAAGTCATCTTCGCACAACAGATGGCCGCCTACCAGATGATGCCCTCGCTGCCGCCCACGCCCATGTACTCGCGCCCCAACTCGTCCTGCTCACAGCCCCCGACCCTGTACAGCAACGGCCCTTCAGTCATGACTCCCACAAGCACACCCCCTCTGTCCTCGCGCAAGCCCATGCTGCTGGACACGGAGTTTGGCGACAACCCCTACTTCCCCTCCACGCCGCCTCTGTCGGCCTCGGGCAGCACCGTCGGCAGCCCCAAGGCCTGCGACATGCTGCAGACGCCCATGAACCCCATGTTCTCCGGCCTCGAGGGCATGGCCATCAAGGACAGCATCGACGCCACCGAGAGCCTCGTCCTGGACTGGGCCAGCATCGCCTCTCCACCCCTGTCGCCTGGTAAGTGTGTCCCTTTGCGTTTTAATTTCCGCAGTCGAATGTTCCTTGGACCCTTCTATCCGTAGATTGTCACAAGTGATACACGGTGGACAGTCCGCTTAGATGAATACTGGGGCGGGACGCAGGCTAATCCGCTTTGGGCAGTGTATCTCCAGTCCCAGGCCAGCTCCGGCAAGGTGCCTTCGCTTACCTCGAGCCCGAGCGACATGCTCTCCACCACAGCTTCGTGCCCGTCTCTGTCTCCCTCGCCAACTCCCTACGCGCGCTCCGTCACGTCGGAGCACGATGTTGACTTCTGCGATCCCCGCAACCTGACCGTCTCTGTTGGCTCCAACCCCACCCTGGCCCCGGAGTTTACCCTGCTGGCCGACGACATCAAGGGCGAGCCGCTGCCCGCCACCGCTGCCCAGCCCTCCTTTGACTTCAACCCTGCGCTGCCCAGCGGCCTGCCGACCTTTGAGGACTTTTCCGATCTCGAGTCGGAAGCCGACTTCAGCAGCCTCGTCAACCTCGGCGAGATCAACCCCGTGGACATTTCCCGCCCCCGCGCCTGCACCGGCTCCTCGGTCGTCTCCCTGGGCCACGGCAGCTTCATTGGCGACGAGGACCTGAGCTTCGACGACGAGGCCTTCCACTTCCCCTCCCTGCCCAGCCCGACCTCGTCCGTCGACTTCTCCGACGTCCACCAGGACAAGAGACAGAAGAAGGACCGCAAGGAGGCCAAGCCCGTCATGAACTCTGCTGCCGGCGGCTCCCAGTCTGGCAACGACCAGGCTGGTGCCACCGAGGCCGCCTCTGCTGCCTCCGACTCCAATGCCTCCTCCGCCTCTGACGAGCCCTCTTCCTCCATGCCCGCCCCCACCAACCGCCGCGGTCGCAAGCAGTCGCTGACCGAGGATCCCTCCAAGACCTTTGTCTGCGACCTCTGCAACCGCCGCTTCCGTCGCCAGGAGCACCTCAAGCGTCACTACCGCTCCCTGCACACCCAGGAGAAGCCCTTTGAGTGCAACGAGTGCGGCAAGAAGTTCTCTCGCAGCGACAACCTGGCTCAGCACGCCCGCACCCACTCTGGCGGCGCCATTGTCATGAACCTCATTGAGGAGTCTTCCGAGGTGCCTGCCTACGATGCCAGCATGATGGCTGGGCCCGTGGGTGACGACTACAGTACCTATGGCAAGGTCCTCTTCCAGATTGCCTCCGAGATCCCCGGAAGCGCCAGCGAGCTCTCCTCAGAAGAGGGCGACCAGGGCAAGAAGAAGCGCAAGCGCTCCGATTAAATGACTCCCATCTCTCTCTCTCTCTCTCTCTATACGCCTGACACGATTTTACAATTTTGACACTTCTCGCTTCGCTTCGGCGCAAGCCCTATTTCCACACAAATACACTTTGCTAGAGGGGGACCACCACCACACACTATACAGGGAAAAAGCTCAAGCGGTTATGATTGCATTTTCAAACCTTTCAGTTCTTGTATCGACTTTGCAACATCATACTGATGATATTCTTTTTATATCATATCAGGACGACTGCTCCTGATGTCTTCTCTTACTTTTGCATCACGACAAAAAGTTCGACAATGGCTCGAACTCGGAAGAGGATTTTTCGGACATGATTTGTTTGTTTTTTTGTTTTTCCGGGCGCGCATGGCGGACAATTTAGATTTCTTTTTGTTTTATATCTGGCATATTACAACGACGGCATGCTCAATCAGTTTGGCTTGCCCCTTCATTGTTACACACGCTTGTGTCTAACAATCCATCGCGAGCGATGGCTGGAAAGGTCGTTTTGCCATGGCAGGAATAACTGAATCATAGAGAGGAAACACATGGGAAGCATCCAAGGCCAGTGGGAGGATCGCCACCGCCCATCTCACCGTGGGAGGGTTGGTTTCCTTTTTTCGCTTTTTTTCTTTTAGCACGAAGCAAATCTGGCTTTGTTGCTGCTCACTCTCGCGGGGGAGCAAATGGGTTTCGGCAGTGTGCGGGTCACATTTTGTTAGAAGTTTAACTTGACGCTATGCCAACTCAATAAGAAAAAACACTGTTGCCAAATATTCTACTACTGAACTTGTGTCTTGGAGATGGTGACAATTGTTTGCCTTCTGGCCAGTGAAGTGTTTTCATGTTTTGAATGTGAGAAGATGGGCATTAGACTTGGGTATATAGATACAGGAACTACAATACATAGACAACGATAGAACAAACATGCAATCGAAATCAACTTTCGAACTAACAATTCCAATGGTATCTCTCCGCTGAAGATGTGACTGTGATTGATCTGTGACACAAAATGTGACTACGGTTGTGATTGTGATGTTTGATGCATATACGGCCTGTTTTTGCCTCAATGTGATTGATGTGACAAGACGGGAAGACATGTGTGCCTTTTGCTGGGGTAAAACGCAGATAACGTTCTTACAGGAGTGTTTCTTGGCCCCTTCCCTCCTCAGAGACAGACAGATACTAAGATGCCTTGCAGCATACAATCACTAACAACTAAGTAACAACTAACGACTAGAAACGCATAGTGATACTCGGTCAAGAGTTACGCTCTCGAGCCTTTTACCCGACCACCCGAAGACTGAAAGTCTCCAAATCCGCAAGGTGAATGAGGCATTAGGTAGGTAGGTAGGCAATAAGGGGGGGGGGGGGGGAGGGTTTACACCCACCAAGGGGGCGTTTAGAATTCGGTTTGACAGGCTTGACAACTTTCTGACATTGTTCCCTTGTTCCGCCGCGACGGTGGGAATAAAAAAAAAAAGACAGCGGCAATGGAATGGGCGGAAGAACACTCATGGAAGGGCCTCATGGAAGGGTTCACCGGTGGTGAGTGGGGATTTGGGGGATGGGAAGCTGGTAGTACGAGTAGGACACAATCGCAACCCTTGCAAGGTACCTGGAGGGGAGGGGGCCCGGGGGTGTGGTGGTGGTCAAGAAATATGAGAACCAGGTTTGCTCTAGGTGAGGCGTAGACTTCAGCTCACATTTCTCTGCCTTCCATGGCGGTTTCTATACATGTGGGGATGTTCCTCTGGTTCCCATTTGTTCGCTGTTCCTTGAAGGGTAGGGGAAGGGGAGAACGAACATGCCGGTCAAGGGGTTATTTTCCTGCAGTTCGGTTTTGGGACCTCGCTTCCGGGGGGCCCTGACAGGCAAACAAGCAAGTAGGCAAGGTAGGTAACAGGCATTGGGGGGAGGGATAAAGTCAAGAAGTCTCCTTTGGGGCTTGATTCATTGCGCGGGGACGCTACCTGCGTTTCTGGCAGAAAGTGAGTTGTCACATAACCGTACGAGTAGTGTTCTCTTTCCCTTCCAGGATGGGCTTGCTCGTCGAGGTAGCATAACGCTAGCAAAGGCCCTTTCACTCACCTCGGCGTAGCATCAAGCAGCGCAGGCAACAAGTTTTTGGCGCGAACAACGACTCCATTATCTTGCGATGGAGCTAATCTCTCGCGCAATCTATCCGGGGCCCGGGTATGGCCCGTCTGGTCCGTTGAAGAGGGAACGTGCCTGGCCCAGGGTCACTCTCTAGGAAACCCGGAACGCCCTGCTCCGTAGCCTGGGAGGGGATCCTTGACCGGCACCCCCCTGGTCGAACGAGAGAAGTACGAGATACAGGCCATTCCGGACGTGTACCTCGTACGAGTACCGAACGGTCTCTGGACTAGCCCAAGCTGGGAGGGAGCCCCTTCGAACTTGGTCGTGGGGTGGTTCTCCGGAAGGGTGGAAATGAAGAGAGAGCCCAAGATGGCCTACGCCAAAATTAGACAGGCGAAAGCTTGGCCATGATGGCCGTGACGAAATCCCAATTCCCCGGTGGCGTTCCACGGTGGCGGCAAATTAATGAGAGGCGAAGCAACTTATTTTCAGTAGTTGTAGTTAATTAACTTGACGGCGAGCTGGCTCAATGGGGTGCGGTGGTGGTGGTGGTGGTGGTGGTGGTGGTGGTGGTGGTGCTCGTAACATGGTGAGGGAAGGGGAGTTTCGGGGTCCTGGACCGTGGTACCGGGCCTGCCAAGCGAAAAAAGGTAACGATGTCTGCGTCTTGACCAGCAGGAGACTTGGAGCACGTGCTCCGTATTGGCTCCATAGCCAGCAGAGGGACACGGAGTTCGGAGTGTGCTCGGATCTTGCTGAAGAAACTGGAGGTGCCTGGAGTCGACCCTCCTCGGCGGAGCCCTGCTATGGAACAAATCCTTCGACGATTGTTCTCTGCGGGCGTTTCCATCGTTAGCAGATTCGGCCGGTACAGAAGATATCAATCGTGAGATTGCCCAGCCTCTTCTCTCCCGGCGAGGACCATAAGCACCAATTGTCCAAGGCTCCATACTGGCATCATTCGTGCTGTACGGAGCACTTCTCGAACAAGTGCTAGCTCTCCGAGCTATTCACTAGCATGAAGCAGTAATGCTAGCATCGCCTGGGGGTTCTGAAGCAATCGATGAATACATAGATAGTCGGTCCCCCCACAGAAGGCTAAGGCCGTAGCACAGGGCGGTTTCTTATGGCCGTGCCTGACTCGGTGCCTCGTAGCAACAGCAACGCGAGTAATACAGCTTGATGGAAGGCTCCTGCTAGCAGCGCACGTGCTCCGATAGCAATCTGCCGTCTTCCTGGCCAGCGTTGACTAACGCCGACGGCGGCTCAGGGTCGTCGTCAAGTGAGGGAGATCGCCATCACTATCGTAGCTTCGTGCGGAGGGAAATCCCACTTCATGACGGAAGATGTGTCGTTAGTTTGCCCAACGTGGTAGGATTCGATTCTTTGGTGTATCTGCTAAAAATTATCTGCCCGAGCTGAGCAGAGCTGAAGAGAGTCGACCTTGATGGCTTCTTGCTAAGGAGAAATAGCGCATATGGCCTTATCTTGGGGTTTCGTGGTGGTTTGGGCGTTGCGGTTATTAGCGGGACATTATCGTGCGATAGTATGTAGTTGGTTTACATGATAAGGTAAGGTATGATACAGCACTCCGCACCGGGTTGGAAACTGAGGGCGAAAACAACAGAGATTTCGTCGTACTGGTGACAGACTTATCGTGACGATGACTGATGAGGATTGCTGAGATGCTCACGAAAGAGGAAGCTGTTGCTGGGTAAAGTAGAAAAGGCCGTGTTAGTGTAGAGTTGTAAATTTGGGAGGCTGTGGGTTTGGAGAAAAAAATCAATTGGGAAAGCGCAGAAAATGCACGTGAGAAGCAAGATGCTCTTCGTTCTCCAGCAACTCCAACATCGCTTCATGCCCGGGAATAATACAGGCGAGGTCTTGTCAAAAAGATGTCGTCTGAATCACTAAATGTCATTGCCCTCATCTCGGGAGGCAAAGACAGCTTCTTCAACCTGCTGCACTGCATCCGCCACGGGCATCGCATCGTGGCCCTAGCGAACCTGTTCCCAGCAGCTGACGGCGCGAACAGCCATGCAGAAGATGTTCAGTTCATCGACCCGGCGGAGCAGCCAGTGCCAGCGTCTGCGGCTGCTGAAATTGGAAACGCCATCGAGGAGGATCTCAACAGCTTCATGTATCAGACCGTTGGACACGAGGTGATTCCGCTGTATGCGGCAGCAACTGGCCTGCCCCTCTATCGACAGCCTATCCGTGGCGGGGCGCTGCATCACGAACGGGATTATGATTATACCTCCCAGGAGCAGAAAGACGCTTCAGAAAAGGCCGAAGAGACGGAATCCATGCTGCTGCTGCTCAAGGCCGTCAAGGCTCGTCACCCAGAGGCCAACGCTCTCTGCTCTGGGGCCATCTTGTCGACTTATCAGCGGACAAGAGTTGAATCGGTTGCGCTGAGACTCAGCCTCACCCCTCTGGCATATCTCTGGAAGTATCCTGTGCTACCCTCCCCAGCAAATGAGGCTATAGATGATGCTCAGTTGCTGCGTGATATGGCTGCAGCTGGACTTGATGCTCGGATTATAAAAGTGGCAAGTGCAGGACTTAACGAAGGCCATCTGTGGGAGCGAGTGTCAAGCATCGAGGGAGTGAATCGAGTCAAGAGCGCTCTGAGAAAGTTCGGTGCTGCTGAGGGTGCCGCACTGGGTGAGGGAGGCGAGTTCGAGACGCTCGTCGTGGATGGGCCATCTTGGTTGTTCAGGAAGAAGATATCGGTCCCTGAAGAAGGGCGACGAGTTGTCAACGAAGGCGGAGGCTCGACCTGGTTGATGCTCCGGGGAGCCCAGCTTCGAGACAAAGACACAGACGCCGATGATACCGCGACCCCGGAATCATCCATCAGGGTTCCTGATTTGCTGGATCCCAGGTTTCAGACCATCTTGGATACGGTGCTAAGCACAAGGCCGACTGAGCATAACGAGAAGGAAACCTCAGGAGCTTCAAAACCAAGGATTTTGGGAAGTACACTTTCTTCGACACTGGAAGGGGATGATGAGTTCCTGCGATGGTCTGTTCTGGCCGGTCCTTCTACAGATCGCACTTCGATTGAAGCGGAAATGCAGTCTGTCGTTAGCCAGATCGAGGGGCTCCTTTTCTCCTCATCTCTCGATGCGGCTCAAATCACCAACACCACCATCATCCTTCGCGACATGGCAGACTTTCCAAAGATCAACAAAGAGTATGGCAAGCTCTTCACAAGGCCAAATCCACCATCGCGAGTCACCATTTCATGCGGCGATTTACTTCCACCGGGGTACAATGTCATAGTGTTCTTGACGATCCCGAAATCAGTGGTCAACGCTTCCAGGAATGGGCTTCATGTTCAGTCCCGTTCATACTGGGCGCCGGCAAATATTGGCCCGTACAGTCAAGCTATTGATGTTGCCATATCAGCACGAACAGAGAAAACCGGTCTGCGAGCCGTATATATTGCCGGCCAAATTCCTCTAATACCTTTCTCAATGACTTTGCCGCCTCCATCAGACACCAATCTCGGAATGCAGATTGTGCTTTCCTTGCAGCATCTCTGGCGAATTGGGCTAGAGATGAAAGTTCAACTTTGGACCAGCGGCGTGGCCTACTTTTCCAAGTCGTCATCGCCTGCTGAGATGAAGCGCAACGCTACGGCATCAGGCCTTGCGTGGAAACTGGCCCATGGATCGCCGGAAGATGACGACGACGACGCGAACGACGTGGATATCTGGGACCTCAAATACAACTATCAACACATGACTCTGGCGAGCGATCAACAGAAAGTCCGCGCACGACTGCCCGACTGGTCAATTTTCACTCTGAAACAGCAAAACGAACCGCAGTCGTGCATTCCCCCTTTCTTCGCCGCTGAAGTGGAAGAGCTTCCTCGACAGGCTACGGTAGAGTGGCATGCCCATGTTGGCCTGTCGCAAATCGAAGAGAGCAGTGTAGAGATTGTCTATCACTCAGAGACCACGTCGTCTTGCTGGAGGGCTTGGCACGTGTTTGTCCGCACATCTAAAGCTACGCTGGTGTACACAACTCTCGCTCGAGTCTCATCAGTTGACCACAACATCGTCGGTTGGGACGCTTTGCAACAAGAACTGGCCGCCGCATACACAGGCTCAGTTCGGGCCCTCGGGCTGGCCCCTCCAACGTCGAATGCAACCCCTCACCTGGCCTATGTAGAGGTCAACAGTGTGACAGCCCTGTGGCCGGAAGTCGGCGATGCTGGGCCGTCGGTGCCTTTTGCGACGGTTCCGTGCCATTCGATCTGGTCCGCCAGGGGAGAGAGGATAAAATGCGTTGCAATGTACAAGACAACTCTTGGGCTGCAGCTGGAAGATTAGACGAAAGAAAAAGGAGAGATACTCAATGATTGCGCCGCCAATGGCTCTTGATGCTTGCTCGAGTCTCCAGTGAGGCATGGCGCCGAGATCCCCGACGAGCCGATGACCGTGACCATACCGTGGCCCCACGAACTGTCAGACGATCTGCCGGCCAAGATATAGATCAATCTTTATCTGGATATCTGGGCAACACTAATGGCTCCTTGTGACCTCTTTACTGAGACTCTGGCTTCTCTCTTTCGTCCAATGATGTTGGTATTTGTCCGGTTTGAGCCACGGAGAAGCAGTGATACACAATGCAGCATCACGATGACGGCGGACGCATGGAAGGCAAGGCTGGAGCCAACAGCTGAGATCGCAGGTTACCAGTGATGATATGAGTATCAGTTTCAAAGCCAGCTCGCTGTCGTCGTTCAAGAAGCTGTTCAATGACGCAACAGCGGCTGGATCGCGGCGCTGCGGATCTCGCTCTTGTAGCTGCCGGAGATGAAAAGTGGCCACTCACGAACGGCTCTGGCTTGTTGGACGAACTGGACTAGCTGCTATTAAATCAAACGCGGAGGCCGAGTTGCTCGATTGAATATGAACCCTTCCTTTCCTGTCCCTCTCCTGCGGCATCGACGCAATGCTTCCCTCTTCCGCCACCTTTTGGCTCGTTGCCGCCACTCTGACCTACAATCACGCAACCAAGCCTTAGTCTTGACCGCGCCGCTCTGCGCCCCCACAAGTGCTGGTCTTGTGCTGGGAGCTTTGTGCTTGTGCCGGCGCTGGGTTGCAGTACTGACGTGCAGGTAGTCAAGTGAGACGTGCACCCCTGGTCGAGTCGTGACCATGGGCTCTCGACCTCCCTCTCAGACCAACGAGGCCGATGCTTCTGCTTCCGCTTCCTCGGTGGCATTGCCAAAGCGGACGCTGTCGAAGGCTGAACTGCAGCGCCGTCGGTCGACAGACACTCGGATTAATGACATTCTTGAGGTGAGACGCGGCCACTCTCCGCGCGGTTGACAGCTTGTGCTTGAAGGCCGGTATATTGCTGTGCGTGCTTCCCTGTCTTGTCGGCTCCAGTCACCACCTATTTTCTTGGTGTTTAAAGGTTCTGGAGGTGTCTTGGGATCAGGCACAATAAAGACTGCACTGCTCGCCAATCACTCCAACCACCGTGGAAGAGGAAAAGGGAAGAAGAAGAAAAAAAAAATCGTCGCTAACAGCAATCATGACGATGACGCAGACGGGTTTACAACGGGCAGAAACCATGGATCCCGCGTCCTTGAGCCTCCTCCAGAAGAGCTCCTCCCACAACCGCTCCGCCGACGATGGAGCCTCCGGAACGCAGGGCTACCAGACGATACACAACGGCGACACCGGCGATGCGCCCCGGCCCAGGAGAGTCTCGTACAACGATACGGCAACGGCAAGGAGAGTTGAGAGCCATCCACGGAGCGAGAACCAGTCCCTGCGGCGGCGAAACGGAGCCTCGGGCTCGGGGGATACAGAGGCGCCCTCAAAGCCAAAGTCAAAAGCGTCATGGGCGAAACAGACCTTTCGCAAGTTTCACAGTCTCGAGCTGGAGAACAAGGGGAGCGTGGCCAGAGATCACCTGGCCCTCGGTATGTCCCATGCCTCACCGTGTCACAGCACCCCGTGCCTTTTGGCGTGTGTGGGGAGCCGGGTTGCGTGTCTCGGGGAGGCATCAATTGGCTGACTTGCTCAATTCTCTCCTAGAGCGCACATTTCTCGCATGGCTACGAACATCTCTCGCCTTTGCGTCCATTGGCGTCGCCGTGACGCAGCTGTTCCGCCTCCAAACCAGCGGCTCGGCCTCCACCACCGAATTCGACCACACGAAGCTACAGAAGATGGGGCGGCCATTGGGTGCGACATTCCTCGGCATCAGCATCGTGACTTTGCTCCTCGGCTGCAGGAGATATTTTCACGCCCAGGAATGGATTCTTCAGGGCAAGTTTCCGGCCAGCCGAGGGACCATCATCATCATGTCATTGGTGGCGTTGGCGCTCATGATCTTGTCCTTGGTGGTGGTTATTGTTATACGGTAGCATTGAGTTGAGCGATGGACGGAGGGTCACCGGCGTTTGGTCTTTTAGCCCTGTGGGCTATTAATTGTTGGATGGGAATGCATCGGAGCTGGGCCATTGTATGATTGAAAATGGTTTGGGCGTTTCAACGATCCTTGGACGGACTTTGAGGATATTGGACCTTTTCAGGGTAGGCAGATATTGGGGTCTGGTCCTCGTTCGCATGGACAGCGGAAATTCGGCAATACTTAGGGACGACTTTAGATAGAGAAACCGAGACGATCAGAGATCTTATAGGCTGCGTCTCATCAATTGAGTGATATCAAAGCCTGTGCGTTCTCGTATGGCAGAATTGCCACGATGCGATGTTTGGCTTATCGATCAGAATCGGCATATTAATAGTTGGCGTATGACATATGTAGCTCTCATATGGTGGGGTTGTTTGTTTGCTTTTCGTCATCAACAAACCACCACATCTCATTCTGAGCCACACACACACACTCCCTCCAACGGCGATCTCAACGATGTCGCCCAGGGAACCAATAGACGTCCCCTCCTTCGCGGCAACCCAGCTCGCCCTGCTGGACCAGGAGCTGCAAAGCGAGATCCAGGAAACGAGCAGCCTCATCTCCAACCACAGCCCCACGGGCCTCCAGCGCGCCGGCCTGGCCATGACCAACCTGACCGTCTCGTCGCAGAGGACGGGGCTGGGCGGCAAGACGGTGCTGGAGCTGGGCCCGGACGGCGCGACGTCGAGCACGGGGGAGCTGCCGGAGCACGGGATCCGGACGGGCGACATTGTGCTGGTGGCGGAGCAGCCGGCGGGCAGCGCCAAGAAGAGGGAGGTGAAGGAGCTCGAGAGGAAGGGCGCGCGAGGGGTGGTGACGAGGGTGCAGAGGGCGGCGGTGAGCGTTGCGCTGGATGAGGGCAAGGATGAGGTTTCGTTTTCGGGGAGGGTCTGGATGGTCAAGTTGGCGGATGAGGTTACATATCGACGGTAGGGAAACATACAACGCACAAACACACAGGTCGTCATCCATGAGATGAGGAGGCCGAGGCAAATCTGGTGGGGGAAAAAAGGGGGATGAAAGGGATGAACAAGCTGACTCGAAGTTGGTAGCATGAACCAGACGATGGAGAAGCTGCAGAAGATGGGAGAGGCAGAGTACTCGAGCTTCATCAGGGTGCTGTTTGGGCTGTCGAGTCCTTCGCCGGTGCCAAAGGACTTGGCTGCGAGTGACGAGGCGGGAAACATTGAGTGGATCGATCCTACGCTGAATGACTCGCAAAAGGATGCCATTCGGTTTGCACTGGCTTCTCGAGAGGTGGCTCTCATTCATGGACCTCCTGGGGTAAGGGCTCGTCATCTTACAACAAACCACCTCGATCATTGGGCTGAGTGAGATCAGACAGGCAAGACCCATACGCTGATAGAGCTGATTCTGCAAATGATCAAGCGGAATCAGAGAATACTCGTCTGCGGCCCGTCCAACATTTCCGTCGACAACATTGTGGAACGGCTCGCTCCTCACAAAGTGCCCATCCTTCGCTTGGGTCATCCTGCTCGGCTTCTGCCGTCCGTTCTCAACCACTCCCTCGACGTTCTCACACAGACATCCGAGGCGGGGGCGATAGTCAAAGACGTCCGCGCCGAGATGGACGCGAAGCAGGCGTCGATCAAGAAGACCAAGAGCGGCAAGGAGCGGAAAGCCATCTACAACGACTTGAAAGAGCTACGCAAGGAGTACCGCGAAAGGGAGAGGCGCTGCGTCAGCAATCTCGTCGGCGGCAGCAAGGTCGTTCTCGCAACGCTTCACGGGGCGGGGGGCTTTCAGCTGCGAAACGAAGAGTTCGACGTGGTCATCATCGACGAGGCGAGCCAAGCGCTGGAGGCGCAGTGCTGGGTTCCCCTGCTGTCGGCGAAGAAGGCCGTCTGTGCCGGAGACCACCTGCAGCTGCCGCCGACAATCAAGTCTCTCAACTCAAAGGCCAAAGCAGCGAAGAGCAAAGGAGGCGCAGGTGGTGGTGATGCGGCAGCAGCAGCAGCAGCGCCGGTCATCAAGGGCATGACCCTCGAGACGACGCTCTTTGACCGGCTCCTGGCACTCCACGGGCCGTCCATCAAGCGCATGCTCACGACGCAATACAGGATGCACGAAAAGATCATGCGGTTCCCGTCGGACGAACTCTACGACTCGCAGCTCGTAGCGGCCGACGCGGTAAAAGCGCGACTGCTCAAGGACCTGGACTACGACGTCGAGAGCAACGAGGACACGACGGAGCCCGTCGTCTTCATCGATACCCAGGGAGGCGACTTCCCGGAGCGCAACGAGGACGACGACAAGGAGAATCCGAAAAGGGGCAGCCTGCACGGGGAGAGCAAGAGCAACGAGATGGAGGCGGCGCTGGTGCGCTTGCACGTGAAGCAGCTCGTCGAAGCCGGCGTTCGACCCGAGGACATCGCCGTCGTCACCCCCTATAATGCACAGGTTCGTTTTACGTTTACCCTTGGAGGCTTACTTTGAAATTCCAAATCTCCCCTTTTTCCTCTCTCTTTACGAAGTTCGATAGATGGAGGAGTATCAGGAGAATACGACTGATCGGAAAAGAGCTGTTGCTGACTGGCGAGAGAGGAACACAACTATAGCTTGCTGCGCTCGCCTCGCTCAAGGAAAAGTTCCCCGGCATTGAACTCGGCAGTGTAGATGGCTTTCAGGGGCGCGAGAAGGAGGCTGTGATTGTGAGCCTCGTGCGCAGCAACCCCGATGGCGAAGTGGGCTTCCTGGGCGAGAAAAGGCGACTTAACGGTAGGTCAAAGGCCTCGCGTAAAGAAGGCGGTCTACCGTTCTTCTTCGCCTATCATTCCATTTACCTTCTTCCCCTCCCAAACCCTTTCACGTCCGTATTCCGGGTTATTGGGATACCCCGAGCAATAGACGAGGCACGGGGGGAGGAGGGAGGCAGTGAAAGGGCCAAGGATCTCGATGCTAATCATGCTTGCAGTCGCCATGACTCGTCCTAAACGATCGTTAATCGTCATTGGAGACTCCGAGACGGTCAAGAAGTGAGTCCTTGCCGTTAGGGCCTGCCGCTTTACGAGATGAAAAGAAGAAGAAGAGATATGCTGACGACCTTTTCTTTCTTTTTTTTTTCAGGGGAAGCAAATTCTTGAAAAAGTGGATGGAGTTTCTGGAAGAACACGCTGATCTTCGGTATCCTGATGTTGCAGAGGTTAACCGAGAGTGAAGCGAAGAGCTATACTATTTCTTATACCCGTTTGCGAAAAGATACGCAAATAGGGACAGGAAATGAAGCTCTCGACAGTCCGCGGAACCACAACTCTTTATGAGTACTACTCCGTTCCGCGTACTAAGTCCGTGGTTCGGCCTGTATTCAGCTGAGCAGTCTCAATACTCCTCTCAAGTACAGAGGAAAAGCTCTGCCAATATATCGAAATGGCAATTACTAGGTATTGGACTGAGTCACATTAGACGACCGGCGCGGCGGTTACGTGTGTATATGGGTTTAAATGAGAGTTATTTCCACGTGGCTCATTTTGCTTGCGATACGACGGGGCAGTGTTTCCGACGGGTTTCTGGGGGCTTGTGCTGTTTGCTTGTCAAAACTTGGGACTGCTTCAGAGCACCTGGGTAGGTAATTTTCATCCGAACATCCGGGCCTCTGTGTAACCGTGCGCGACCGTTGCTACGACGGCAGCCAGCGGCGCGAATGACGGTTTGGGCGGCCATCCCCCGTCCTCCGAAGCTCATGTCGAGCAAGGTTCGGATGCCTCTGGAGGTGGTGCCGGCCAGCAGATGTGTTTATGGTACCGAGATGCCATACCAGGGGAGCCGGTCAGGGCCTCTCGGCAGTCACACATGAGCGAGTTGGTGCTTTAGTGATGACTTATAGCGTCTGCTGGCAATCAATTTCTCAAGAATCGCGCGCAAACTACTCCGAACGCTGGTGTAACACGGTGTGTGGGCTGGCAGCGGTATCCTCGAAGCACGGGCAGAAACAGCCCTGCCGGCCCGTCGATGTCAAACGGAGCGACGACGGTAATAAGAGCGGCAATGACGAGAGGGTTGGTGGCGTTTGCCAGCAACTGTGACGGACATGTCAACAAAGCTTCACGTCGCCATCTCAAACTACTACATACTAGTACTACTAGCCACTAATCAGAACATGGCCGCCGCGTGGTCGGTGGGAAGGGCACGGCCCTCTCCCTTGCATTCCTTCTAGAAAAGAAGCTCCAAGGGACGCGGATCTGCGCATGAACCACCACGCATCAACCGGCCCCTGGCCCGGATCTCCAAGACGGTCTGAAACGATTGGACAACGCAACCAGTGCAACAGGGCTGGGCGCCAGTACTCGCGCCTTTATGCTTTGCATAGTGCTAAGTCGATTAAGGGCACCCGGCTCGGATGGTCGCATGACCGGAGGAAACGGCGAGTAGACAAGACGAGGGGAAGAAAAAAGGAATTCCTGGTGAAGAAAAAAACGATGAAAAGCAATGAGGAAACGAAATGAAGAGTGGCTGAGAGAAAACGGCGCCGGGGGCATGATGCGATGCCAAGCATTTGCTGAGTTGTCTGTCTGGAACCGCCAAACTAGGAAGAGTCCAATCCAATCCCACCACTCTCTTTAGATTTGCGCCATGCATGGGGTCAGACCAGGGGTCTTCGTCTTCCCTGGGTAGTCTCCGGTCCCTTTGGTCCCTTTGGTCCCTTTGATCCTGTTGTTGGTTTCTCTGGTCTCTCGGAAAGATCCCTTCTGAACAGGAGTCTCGAACGCAAAGTTGCTCCAATGGCTGCATACCAAGCTCAAAGAGGGCCAATGTTTCTGGTGCCGCTTGGGCCAGAGCATCAAAGGATGGATAGACGCCCGTCTGGCAGCTAGGGCATGCATCTGGCACGGTAGCGCGGTTCATTTTGTCAGTTGTCACATAACCCTGGCGGCAAATTTGCGAGTTGGCTTGCTTTGATTAACACCCGACGTCTGCTGTGTCTCGCTGTCCGCTGTCCGGAGGTAGCAGTAGGACCTGTTGGCAGCGCGGAGTTAGCAGGCAGACTGCAGATTGTAGATTCGAGACTGCAGACTGCCCAGTAACCAACCTGTAGGCCCGAAGTCACCTGCAGTTGGCGGTAGTCATCATACCTGTAGGCTGTAGGGCCGAGTATGGCTGATTGCATACAGTACAAGCAGGTCATCACACAATGTACTTCGTACAGCAGTGGAGTTACAGAGCATGCGCAGGTAACTCTCCGTTTGTGATACGTGTAGCAGGATGCTCAACTTGGATTAGCAGCCTGGTGGTAATAAGGAAAGACGGAGGTGAAGTTGATGGCAGAGTTTGGAAGATGTGAAGGCATTCAGGGACCGGCTTCTGCTTCATACGAAAATCCTGTGCGCCGATTTGTAATCCCCTCAGGCCAAGGTCGCGGTTGCCGTGAGAGGTTTCAGCAGGTGCAGACTCTGTGATGGCACGCGCCTTCCGTGGCGATGGCAGATATCTGATTCAGACCTCAGGCAGAAATCGATGGAGATACTTGTAATAAGGCAGCTGCACGGAACTTGAAGGTTACAGCACAGAATGCCTCATTCTGCCCAAAATACTCACCTCGACGCCGTTGTCGAACCGCCGACACGAGCCTCGCTGATCCTCGCCTCTCATCTTCATTTCCCCTCATTGACCTCATCTCTCGCCTGTCAGTACTCTACAGAACGGGCATGATGGCGGTCGTCTCGATTCTCCCGATTCCCGGTCTCTTAATCTTTGACAAGCCACAACGCAGGCAACACCACTGGCAGCGTCGTCATTAGCCTCGAGAAATCAATAGGCTCTCAAATAAATGCGGTCCCGTCGGCTTCAGCCGCATGACTAGTCCCTGTAACTACTGAGCGAACTAATAGCTACAACATGCTGGAACAGCTGTTTCGCCCCAGTTGACACCAGACCTTGTTGCTGCTTCGTACAGAGTACTGACGGACCGCCAGCGCTGTCTATTGGAAACCGGGCATCATATCTCGTCGCTTACGATTACGAGTAGTACTTCCTACATGCTTTTACAAGCACTGATACTGCTCGTACAGTTTGTTGTTGGGCTAGAGCAAGGATTCCTGGCATTTGACCGACCGGCGCTTGTATGAAATATTTGGTATTACGAGTACAGGTCACCACCATACGAAGTATCGCCGCTCCAGGCTCCGCACCGAATCTGCACCCGCCGAAAGCCCCCTTTCTTCGTGGTCGGAGTGCGGTCCAATCCCGAGCCCCATAGACCCTCCCCTGCGAGAGAACGTGGCCGGCATCTCTTGGCGGAGAGCCCTGCTGGGCGAAATGCACGTACAGAGCATCGCGAGTCGCTGCGACCTGGAGCTGCTGCGGCCATGACAAGTCGGCCAGTCGACGAGAACTCACCCGTCGTCATCGATATGCAGTCGTATGGTCTCGGCCGTGGAAAGGCAACGCTTGCCGGCCATTGATTCGCCTGCTGCGCCTGCACTCGTACGTGTACGAGAAGGTTCTGTGCCGCTCGGCTGTTCCGTCGAAGCACAAATGCACAGTCTACTGTACGGCAGAGGGGGAGGGGTGCTTGGGGATCGCTGCTTTATCATCCTTGAACTCCGGTGAGAGCCGTATTTCCACGCACGCGACTCTCGTTTGTGCGTGTGCTCCGTACTCCGTAAAGTACGTACGTTGGAGCCATGTATTACAAACAGCGCCAGCGTTCCCAGCAACTTCCGTATTGCGTTGTCCTTCGGGGCTGGGTACACAAGATACTGCCAGCAATCTGTACGGGCCCTGGAGCGGAATTGTCACCCCAGTCCTCCGTCAAGGAACCAGAGCGGCCATCCTGACACCGGTACTCCGTACTCCATACGCTTTCATATCTCGAGTGGCTCTTCCACGACGAATAGCGGCGTTTCTGACCTGCCCTTCCTGGGCGTTTCAAGCTATGCACCTCGGCTGCCTCGATCCCAATCCCTCGCTAGCTTGGCTGCAGCTCGGGGCCATCTGGGGGGGTTCCGTTAAAATACGGCCAGGGCGCCATCGTGTTTCATCCTCCGTCTTCCCAAGGCCTATTACACAAAGGAACTCACTCGCCCCGGCCGTGGCCGCGAGCAATCGATCTCATCGCTGCTGCTTCTGCTGCTCCAGAGAAACCGCCTCGTGTTACCTCAACTTTGCAACTTTCTTATAGCGAGTGGTCCGGCGCCGTTTGGCCACATCGCATTGACGGTATTTCGTGTCTCTCGTTTCGACTGTGATATTTCCTCTTTATGATTCGCTGCCTGCTGCTGCTTCTTCCCGCCCCGCGGTTGGCACGCCCCCCCAGGAACGCTTCGACAAACGCCTGGGCCAAGTTCTCTCTGATCACAGCGCCATCGCCTGTTATTCGAGATTAGACGATCTGACAACCGAGGACTGACAACGGCCTCTGCTTGCCCCGATGTGATCAGCCAGCCTCACCGTCGCCAAACCTGTCAAGTACATGAACAGAAGATCAGGAACTCGAAGCTTTTTTAACCACCTGGTCCGAGGGTTCCGTTCTAGGCGAACGGATTCAGAGAAAGCCAGAAAAAACAAACTCTGGGGGTCCATGGTTGCCTGCAGCCGTTGAACCCTGTCACCATCATCCGTGCTTCCTCACCCAAAGGACTGTCGACACTCATTCAACTTTCTTTTATTCTTCCATTCCAAAAAAAGATCAACTCACGCCATTCCTTCTCTCCTTTGTCTTTCTTTCCTTTTTCTTCTTCTTTTCCTTGAATGTCATTCTTCTTAGCATCTTCGAAAATAAAGGATGCACCGATCATCTACATCACCACTCTCTCCACAAGACATGCCCCGGTCATCAAGCGCCGCCGCCGTCAACAACATGCCCAAAGTTCGCTCTCCGACCGCTCCTAGGATAGCTCGAGCCCAGATCTCAAGCCCAATTCCTATTACAGAAGCGCTGGATAAGGAGCTGTCCATTCGACAACAGGAAACTGGATTCCCCGGACATATGCCGCAGCACGCCAACACCACGAAAGCCTCGATGGAGATCTCTCGGCCGTCAGGGGAGTTTGCCCGCCGTCGCATTTCTTTAACGCCCATGCGATCCAAATCAGTTCTGCGAACTGCATTCAGCAAGATATTTGGACGAAAGAAGGCTGCTCGGCCTATGACTGGACTGGCCTCTGTTGGCTCGGAGGAGGATTTGTCGGATCAGCATTACAATGTAAGTGCATCCAGAGTCCGCCGAATTAAATTATAAGCAATCCGCCGCGGGCCGTATACTGATGCTAGTAAAACAGGCTCATTCGAGCAGCCCTGCTCCTGTCCAGAGCCCGCCTCCCAATGTGTCCGAATCCCTGCCTATTTCTGAATATGACCGAGCGTTGCGATCTCATTCTGTTGGTCCCGAAGATGTAATGGCCATCCAGAGTGCGCGCAGCTCCGTCAACGCAGATTACAGCGGCCACCAGAGGAGGCGAGCGGGAACTGGCAGTGATGCCCATCCGGCCAGTTCACGCTGGGTGAAGCCGACGACGGGATTGACTCCACGCCCTGCTAGCACCCAGGATTGGGGCAGCAGGCTGGTTGACGAGAGCCATGACCCGGAGGAAATTGGCCGCGCCCTCACCACAGGCCTGAAGCGTCGGTCCAGGAGCTTGTCTTTTATCCCTTTGATCGAAACTACTCCAACCCCAAGCATCACACGCCGCCGCAGCGACGAGTTTCCTCGCGGATGGCGGGAAAGCTACGAGGATCCCACGTCCCCTATATCCTCGACGGGACCAGGTGGCGAGGATGGTGCCACCTTTATCAGCGACAGATCAGACGAGGAGGCCAAGTCTGATGACGGACTGCAGGATGAAATCGATTCCCCCGCAAAACCGTTCGAATTTAGCAACATGCCTTACATGACGGAGTTTGCCGGCGGAGCGAGCATGAAGATCACGGACGCTGTTGGCCTCGAGACCCGGATTAACCAGGTCGAGAACCGTCTCAGCCTGGTAGAAGGCATTCTGACGCATGCTCGCCAAGGAACTCCCCTTACTGGCTTGGGAGACGATGGCTCCGAACGACTGGCACCTCCCATGCCTGCATGGTCGTCCACCTTTCCAACAGCAGGTCGGCCCTCTTCTCATTCCTCCGCTCAGTTTTCTGGCACATCCAGGCTGTCTTTTGGCGAGGTACCCATCTATGCGCGATCAGCAAGCCAGCAAACCACGAAGCACTCGGCCTTTGCTTCCCCGGAGCGAACGGCCCTTGCGTCTAGTCTCCCTACCCATGCGAAATCGGTGCCTTCCGGATCATTTATCATGGATCATGAGACCTACAATACAATCTTGACAACAATGGAGAGCGATCGAGCTGCTCGAATAGCATTGGAAGCGCAGGTGAGGGAGCTCAGCCGACAAGTTAGCCGTCTCTCCAGGAACTTGCCCGCCGCCTCAACGCAAGCTGAAGCTGGGCAAACATCGGTTCTCGACTTTGCGGATGCCAAGAATCTCGGCATGAGCGATAAGAGGATTCGTAACGAAGATTCTGGCATTGGCACTGAACCCGGCGACAGAGAGTACCCAGAATCGTTTGCTACGTTAAACGATGAGAGCCACAACACGGCCCACTACAGAGAGGAAGCAGATGCATCTTTGAGCCGGCCCAATACGACAATGTCGCTCTCCAAGCTGACCATGCTTGGTGACATGGGATGTCCGGCGTCCCAGCAAGCCTTACCGCAGACAGTCTAGATGAAGCAGTGCATCTGGCTCGTGACGGAAGCAAACACAAAGACCACCATAAAAGAAGAAGGAAGAAAGAAGGAGGAGCGGCATTTGATGACTTTCGGCAATTACTAGCGTTGTATTGCTTGTGTATTATACCCCATTCATACGATGTTGTAACATCGTCTGAAGCTTTTCTTTTTGTTCATACCATCTGTCGGTTGTGAGGCGCTGGTGGAGTGGACAATGGTGACTTCTGGGCAAGAGGACTTGGGTTTCCGGTACCAAGGCTTGACAAAAGACAAGAGAGGGCTAGCTATAGAACATATCCAGACGATATGCTAGAGAGGATGCCTCGAAAAAATAGAAGAAAAATCAAACTCTGAAGGCATGTGTTGACTTTACACGCTGAAGTTTCTATGATAAAGGGGGGTGTACAACTACAGCCCACTGTACCTAGTTGACATGTCGATGTTAATGGTACGGTATACCATGTCATGTCGGGTTGAGATTCTATCTTGCCTTTGAACGCCAGAAAGAGAATACTATCAAGAATGCCTGCCTATGAGCTCATCTCAAGTCTTGAGCTTCTACCTTCTTTTTACCTCTCCCATGCGAAGCCCTCGACTGAATCTCAAACAGTTCGGCGTCCAGGCACGACTGCAAAGCCCCTCACCCCCTAATCCCCCAGCTACCAACCAAGGCCATCGACTTTTCGTTTCCAGGGGCAAGGCGCTCGTCCTCGAGCGTATCGGCAAGACAGGTCCATGGATCGCGGCCGCCCCCCCACTTGAGCAGCCTCTCCTTGAGGCGCTCCCCGTTCTCGCGCCCGACGGCGGCGCCGTCCTGGCCGGCGCGGAAGACGACGCGCCAGACGCGCTCGGCGAGGACGCGGTCGAAGAGGTAGCTGTAGTAGGTGCTCCCGTAGCTGTGCAGGTGGCCGAAGAAGCCCTGCCAGCGGGTCTGGGGCGGGTCGTGCGGCCCGTGGGCGTAGCGGCGCTGGATGTCGTGGAAGGTGGCGGTCGAGTCGAAGGAGGGGTCGGCGACGTCGGGCGCGTGGTAGGCCTGGTCGACCATGGCGAGGAGGATCTGGTGCTCCGTGTCGATGCCCTCGAAGCGCTTGGACACGCGCATGCGCTCGGCGACGAGGTCGTACGGCAGCGGCTTGTCCGTCTTCCAGTGGCGCGCGAAGAGGGACAGCACGGTGCGGTCGACGGCGAAGTGCTCCATCAGCGTCGACGGCAGCTCGGCGAAGTCGGTGGCGCAGCGCGTGCCCGAGACGTTCTGGAACGAGGTGCGGGCGAGGATGGAGTGGATGGCGTGGCCCATCTCGTGGAAGAGCGTCTCGACCGAGTACAGCGACAGCAGCGCGGGTTCCCGGGCGTTGTCGTTCTTGGGGAAATCGCATACGAGAGCGATGGTGGGCAGCTGCTTCAGGCTGCCGTCTTGCGAGGACGTCTCCATGCCGTCGTTGGCGGCCTGCTCGGCGGATTCAAACGCCGGCATGTCGGGGCCGTTGAGGTCGGCGCCAACCTCCTCGACCTCCTCCGGCAGAATCTCGCGGGAGCACCGGACGGTGAAGTGCGCCGGGTTGGGAGATTTTTGTGGCCGATAAAAGAGATCGCAGTACAGAACGGCTACTTGGCCGCCGTTGTCAGACACGACGTCGAGCCGCTTGACGTCGGGATGCCAGGTCTCGCCCGGCAGCGTCTCGCGCGGGACCAGACGGATGCCGTAGAGACGATCGAAGAGACGTGACAGGCCCTGGATGACGGTGCCGACGGAGAAGTAGGCCGTCAAGTGGTCGTCAAACCGAACCCGCGACCGCATCTCGGCCCGGATCTTCTCCATGTAAAAGTCCCTGTCCCAGGCCTGCAGAGTGGCGTCCTGCATGGCCAGCCTCTCGCGCTTTTTCTGCGTCAGCTCGTTCAGCTCCTGCTGGATAATGGGGGCGTTGTGGTGTCTCAAGGCAAGCAGGAACTGCATGACTGAAGCTGGCGACTTGGCCATCATGCGGTCCTTGAGCGCCATGTGCCCGTGGCTCTCGAAGCCGGCGAGGTTGGCCAGCTCCGCTCGGAGCTTGAGCATTGTCTCCAGGAGCCTAATGGTCCGGCTGGATGCTGTCCGCTGGGCGAGATAGATTTCCTTCCGGGTCTCCTCGTCATAGACGCTCTGCAGGGCGGCGGCAGCCTCGGAGCCGGTGGTGGGGATGGTGATGTTGGACCGGATCTTGAGCTGCGCGGCGAGCCCGGGATACAAGCCATAGAAGCGATGAGCCGGCAGCGTCACCTCCTTGCGCTCCGGCTCCATGCCCTGGACAAACGCCGAGCCGACATCACTGATGCGTGACGACAGCTCGACGAACCTGTCGCGGGCCGTCTTGGGCAGGTTGACGGCGGACTTCATGAAGTCGAGCTTGAGCAGCTCGGCCACGGTCCTCTCCTCCTCGGACCAGGTCGAGGTGACCTCGGGCCGGGACATGGCCTCGCCCAGCTGGTCGCTCAGCCCCGTCATGGTATTGAGCTGGTTCATGTACTGGTACACCATGGACCAGGCATCGGCCGCGGCCTGCTGGAAGCGCACGTCTGGGTGCGTCATACGCACAAAGTCGGACATGTCGAGGACGCGGCACAGCAAATCGCTCAGCCGGTCGAGGTCCCGGATCAGGCGCTGGTACTCGCGAGTCGTCGAAGCGGCGAGCATCCGGTGGACGATGCGCGTCGCCCTCTGCAGGCTCTTCTGCGCGAAGACGAGGAACCCATCCGGGCTGGTCAGGTAGCGGTTCTTGAACAGGCCTTGGCTCTTCTTGAGGCTGAAGCTGGCAAACGGCCGGCTGGACGGGGCGTCGAACAGCTCGCGGAGAAGGGCATCGTCGTGTCGAGAGCTTGTGAAGTGGTCGGTCGGGAGCTTGGCAGAGTCTGATACTGGAGCAGCAGCGGCATCATTGACGGCGGCGGCAGCGGTTGACTCCCATCGAACGTGGCCCGGCCTGGCCTTGCTCACGCGGCGGCAGCATCGGGTGCAGACCCGGAGGCGGGAACCCCCGGAGTTGAGCATTGCTGGTGTTGGCTGCAGAGGAAGAGGAAGAGACTGGCGGCATGCGGAGAACTGGACGTCCTCTCCAGGTGGCTCATGGGTATCATGTGCGGCGTACAGGCAGCTGCATTCGGAGGAGTGATAACGAGGCAGAAAAAAATCAAGTGTGAACCGAAGTTCGGAGCTGTGAGATGGTACCTCGAACAATTACCCGCGAGATGCCGAAAGCCGATGAGCAGCAAGTAACACAGACAGCATCAGGCCTGAGTGCGTGGACGAGCTCTACAGTGAAGAGAGACCTGTGTAGTTCTAGCTGTATGGATGGAATTATTTAATGTACTTGTTGATATTGACATGGGATATTCTTTGTCCTCTTTTTGCACCATCGAAGCCCCTCATTGTTAGGTTTCTACAAGAGAGGCTCTTTCACTTACAGGCACGAAAAGCCTCGCGCTCCTTGAAGTCCATTGTCCGTCTCAGCAATTTCCGTTCTTACCACCGCACTTCAGCATGGTTATAGATAAGGTAGTCTTCATTGGACTTTACACAATCTTCATCAAAAAGGTGGCCCCTGAATGAGGTCGAGTTGAAGGCCTCTACCGGACATGTGAATGTTTATCAGACTGACCAGCAGGAAACCTCCCCAATCCGGCAATCCAGCACAGCAGCTAAAGCCCGCCGGGGCCGGATTTTCTCCCGCGCCGCCTCGGTCGGAATAGTGCGGGATCCCAGCAAAGCAATGAACATGAGCCTTTTCAAAAAAATAACATCATCGAATCTCCCATTGCTTCCTTGAGCCGGCTTTGCTCTCACCCAATTCGCCTGCATCATGGCCGCGAGAGTGCTCCTGCAGCGGGTAGGCAGAGTTCCCAGATCCATACACCGTCCTCCTGCTCGGTAATACGGCGAGCTTCAGCTAATTGAGTCTTTCGAATCTTGCAACAGCGCTCCTTTGCGCCGCTGGCCGCAGCCGCCCTGGGTGGAATTGCTTTTTCGCCGGCCGTCGTCTTTGCCGAGGGTCCCAAGGTTCGTCACGGTTCCCCTCGTCTTCACCTCTCCTTGTAGCTCTACAGCTTTCTTACCGGGAAACAAACGGAGCAGAGAAAGCCCATCTACGATGAAGCCGAGCCCTTCTCTCCCCAGCCCGCCGCGCCCTCACTACCGGCCATCCTCCCCAGCAAGCCCACCACCGACGACCACGCCGACCACGCCGACCACGAGCACACCCCGACCCCGACGGACCGCCTGGCGGTGCAGATTGGCCGCGCGCGCCTGTTCCTGTACGACGTCGCCGTCGCCGCCGAGGACAAGGTCAACCAGACCATGGACTCGGCCTTTGACCTCGAGCAGTCCTTCACCCGCACAATCGCCTCCCTGGCGCCCCCCCGTGAGAGCGGCGAGAAGCTCATGCCCGGCGCCATCTACGTCCTCGTCGCCGCCATGGCCGGCAGCATCGTGACCCGCAACCGCAACGTCGTCCTGCGCGCCACCGTGCCCTTCGCCCTCGGCGTCGGCGCCGGCTGGACCGTCCTGCCCATCACCATGCGCAACGTGTCCGACCTGGCGTGGAAGTACGAGCAAAAGTTCCCCGCCGTGGCCGAGTCCCACATCAAGCTGCGCGAGGGCATCCAGAGGGGCATCCACTTCGCCAAAGTCCACAAGGACGTGGGCGTGCAGTATGTTGACGACAAGGTGACGAATGTGCGGGAGGCGGTCGAGAACTGGGTTGCGCAGGGGAAATAAAAGAATTCAAGGGGGGGAGAGGAGTTGTGGGAAAGGTTGAAAAAGACATATGCGTTGTTCTTAAACAAAAAAGCGACTGTACCATACATAGAGATTTTTCCTTTATAACATGTTCTACTTATTCCATTGTGTTCTTACGAGAGCTATAAAAATGGTCGAGGCAAATACTGAAAAAAGACAGAGAAAAGAGAGGCCGAGGCCTGCATGAGATATGTGCAATATACAGGTACCTTATCATATAATTCATGTTCTTCAGCTCTCATTTATATAAACAAATATCTCGTCCACGCTCTAAATAGCTGCTAATACTATACCAATTGTCTAATATGTGTGGTGGGACGCCAAGCGCAGGACATCCCTCATGCTGCGTTGAAATCTCAAAAGCTGCCTCCCTTTTCGAGACCTCTCAAACTCCGTTAGTGATATATCTTTTATTCCACCCTTTTTTTTTCCTGTTCAACTATTTCCCTCGCTTCACCCGACAGAAGTGATAGGCACTGGTTCGGATTCGGCCTGTGCTGGAGCTGGTGCTCGCTCAGACAGCGCCCTTTTCTGCTGTGATTTAGCCCTCGCCTGTCCCATCTGTCCACCGGCAGCCAGTGCGGCAGCATTGGATTTACCCTTTTTTGACTGTTTCACCGGCGGCTTATCGAGTCCCCGCCTGACGTCTGCTTCTCGGGCCTGCTCCAGGAACTCTTCGTAGCCCAGCATCCGGCAGACATCCGTGTAGCTCTTGCTCTGGGTCAAGGGCTGGTGGAGCCCAGCCTTCCCAGGGACCATCTGCGCAAGGAGATACTTCGTGTTGCCGAACCGGTTCTCGACGTCCATGGCCGCCTTGACGTACTCCTTGACGACTTCCTCCCAGGGGGCAAGGCCGCCCTCCGCCTCGGTCCTGAAGCAGCTGGGATTCTTCTCAGCAGCCGTGGCGATCATGGCACCGTCCGCGCCAAACTCCTTTGCCAGCTTCAACCCTTCGTCCTTGGATTCCACATCGCCATTCATCAGGCAGGCCACGCCAGCTTCGCGGCAAATGTCTGCAATCATGCGAAGCTGGCCACGGATGGCACGCTCACGGGGCCGCATCGGTGTCGTTCGGCAATGGACCGTGAGTCCCGTAATACCCGTGGCGACGAGTCTTCTAACGAGGGCCTCGGTCTCGGCCGGCGTTTCGAGGATGCGGATCTTGACGCTGATGCCGATTTCGAACTCCGGAGTGATGTTTTTGACCAGATTTTCCAGGATGGCGCACAGCTTGTCCGGAGTCCGCAGCAGCGCAGCGCCCATGCCGCCGCTTGTGCTAAAGGGCTTCGGGCAGCCGGCGTTGACGTCTATGCCGGCAACATCTGCCGCGACCAGCCTTGCGGCCTCGAGCGCACGATCCGGGTCCGACGTTCCAATCTGGAAAATGAGCTTGTTCTTCTCCTTCTCTGGGTGCGTTGCGTAGATGATGTTCTCCTTTGCGTCCGGCGGCGGCTCTTTCTGGCCGTGAGAGGCTACTCGGAACCACTCGACCGTCTGTGTGGCTTCGTTGTACCGCCTCGTGGTTCCGATGATGGCTCGATCAACCGTTTCGGGGCCTGGAAAGTTTCGATATTGTTAGAAACACCGTCCAATATTCTCCTGAAGGTTTTTCTCTGTCTACTCACCCCACACGAGGTCAGCGCCATACTTGAGCGCCACCAGCCGAGAGGGAAGTTCTCCCGAGCGAACCATTGGCGCAAGCACCACCTTGCCGCGGTAGTCGACGCCTCGGCGAGGAATCGGGACCATCTTGACCTCGGAAGCCATGATTCTCTGCAGCAGCCTGAACATGCCCCTCTGGCGCAAGACGCTACATGCCTCTTTTAGCTGGTTGAATGACGAGAGTGCGAGCAGAAAGGTGGGATGCCGTCGCGAATGAAATTGAAACTAGCGCTTATCGGCGGTATCTCTTATCGATAGCGGCGTACCCCAGTAATTGAAAACTGGGGCGCTTCTCCGAGGTGGATCCGAAATTCGGGGCCGAAAGTCCTGAAACTCTTGTTCCGCCTCGACTCTTTCACTCTGCGCATCGCGTGTATCGCCTTTCAGCCACCTGGGCCTGATGTGCCTGTACGAGACAATATTGTGTGGGGATGGGGGAAGAAGCGCCAGAGACCGAGAATGCTAGGTTTTTTCTTGCAAGCATTGAGATGCCCTGGAATGCGTAAATCACCACGCAGCAACGAAGGGAATGCACTTAATCTTGAGCCGCAGCAGATAGACAGGGCTACGGGAGTTGGCTCGCAGAAAAGGGCAGGCCATGGGCTGAAGAATATTTGGCTAAATTGCCCTTGATAAGGCCTGCAATATTAGGAGAAATTGAGGTCGCGTGACAGTCAATCTAACTAGTAGTACCTGAGGTAGCAGACGCAGACTCGTTGATTGGGGCGGGGCTTGCAGGTAGATTTGCTGCAGGCTGAGTGAGATGGTGTAGGGAGGGAGACAAGGCAGCGACGTTGACTCTTTTGTTTCAAACGCATGTGAAGAGTCGAGGAGGAAAGGAGCAAGAAGCAATAATACTACAATCAGGCACGGAGGGCAATTGGGTGGAGTGGGCTCAAGGCTGGGATCGGACAAACAAGAAACGAGGCTGCAGAAATTCTATTTCAAGCATATTCCCGACGAGAATACGATGTTTATTCGGAGTCGATTACGGGGTGCATACGGGAGTACTAGGTAGTATACGAGGCGTTACGTGCCTCGCACTTTTGACTTTTGTTCGTGATGGCATGCGAGGCTGCGTCTATTTTTGTCACATTTAGGGGACCAAAGGGGACCTGTGGCTGCCGACGAGGCGTTGCTCTAGTCCCAGACGTTCAAGCCGCGTTTTACGAAGGCGGATGATGCAGCGCACAAAGAATTCCAAGGCCTTTCTCTTGTCCTTGTCACCGGGTACTTGGTTGGTGGAGGAGGGGGGTGGTGCGATTTTCTCGTGTTTGCTCGTAGATGAAGATGATGTTGCTTGATTCGCTCCCAGTTGCCGCCCGCTGTGGATGAAGAGGGCTGTATTACGAAGTACTAATATCTGTTACTACTACATCCAATGAATTTGTCTTGTTGGTTTGGTCTTGTCTCACTCTCTCCCGTGGGGAGCGAGCGCCCTGGAGCGCAACTACTAAACTACATGTACTACTATCGACAAACCCGCTAGTATTCGATGGTTGCCATGGTTTGATTCAGGCCTTCGAAACATTGGAGCTGTGCAATCAGAGCGAATATCTCGGCTCATTCCTAGCTGCCCTTTGTGGGTGACTAGTAGTATCTATGCGAACAGAAGCCTCATGCAAAAGGTTGTACTAGTCTAAAATGAAAGTGCCTGGTTCATTTCAAGGGGAGAGAGGAAAGCCAGGGAATAACAGCGTCGAGAGAAGTCTCAAGGTAACATTGTGGTGATATCAAGCCTTCAAGCGATGGAGTAGCAGGTACTTTGTTATCCCATGCAGAACGCCATCCTTCCAACACGCGGTTTGAGGTTGCAAAGTAGGAGGGTCAAGGCGTTAAGTTTCAGGGATCCGTTCCCTATTGAGGCATCCCGGCTCCCCAGCATTGAACCTTTGCGGCGTCTGGCGCGCAGGGGACTTTAGGGGAGGTCCAACGTCAGTAATAGCACTTGGAGAGAAAGAGGGGGAGAGAGAGAGAGAGGGAACGCGCACACATAAAGATTGTGCTACGCGGGTAGGTGTCGGTGTGTGTGCGACGTGATAGGATCGGATTCATTGCCTCAGCAGCAAAACGCGACAGATCGACTGCAACAGAAACGATGCCCTCTGTTGGTGGTCAAGCCAACTCCAGTCATTTCGCAGAGGTTCCAGGTACAAAAAGCAGCCCCCCCAGGCACAACGGGCTCCCACTAGGAGCGAATTAGGCGCGCCGCCTGTGGGCTGGGCCTGGGCTCGATCCACTCTAGCCCCCGAGACTTCAGGGGCTGGAGGGTGGGGGAAGAGGTCACTGGTCTGGTCGCCGGGGTCACAGGCACTTGGGAGCAGGAGAAAGGGCTCTTCATAGCGTACGTATCAATGTCGTCTAGCGGTGCGTTGTAGCGGTACGAGAGATTGCAGAGGTCTGGTAGCACAGACGACGATGATCTGGTGGTGGGTTCGATGGCGTGGCGCTTGCGAGGAGGGAGGGGATGAGGGGGGGGAAGAGCAGAAGTTGCAAGATGGAGGCACAGCCCAGCTCGAGGCTCTGCTGAGTGCTGAGATGCTGGACTCGTACTGGAGAGATGATGGAGATTGGTGGAGATGGAGCTTCAGAGCTGGATACGAGCACCCTTTGTTTAAGCTCTATTACTAGGCAGTAGTACGATGGACAGTATCAGAGCCGTATAGCTGGAGCTGCGAGAGCCGCTTGTATTTACGGCAGTCCCCAAGACGGCCTGATGAAGCTGCACATGGAGCTGCTGCACCCCTGGGCCCATGCCGTGATAAGGGTCTCCATCTCCCAAGGGCTGTGGGCTGCAGCGCCGTGGTCTAGCCGTCTTGAACGCTCTGAAACTTCCTTGTCATTCCCTGGAGACGCCGATCAAGTCCAATTGGCTTCCCTCGTGACGACATCGCCTGCGGCTGCGGCAGTAAATCCCAATAATCTGCTGCTGCCAGCTGCTGTGCATTGCCTGTTCGGTCCTCTCCCACAGCATTACTGGAGCCGTGCTGTCCTTTTCATTCCCTGTGGACAAACAAAAAGGGCTGGTGGGCAGTACATGTACATACCTTGCCTTACCGTCGTCCATCACTCGCCTGTGCCGTCCTTGCTTGTCCCAAAAGGCGAGCTGGCACAGCAATCACACCAAATCTACACCACATTCCCGCCCCATGCCAAGCGGGCAGGCCTGCACCTCTTCTGCATATGCTGGCAGCCAGCCAGGGAAAAAACAACAACAACCACCGTCGCTCTGCAGCTTCGTCGTCCGCTTAAGCAGGATACCTTAATCAAGCATTGAGCACCGCTAGCCGCAGGCACCTGGTCGCGCACGGGGAGTCAGACTCGTCGCCGCCAGTGTATTTTCCGAGCCGGTGACGGGGGGGTAGGCCAGCCGCCTCACCAAGTGCGCCCAGGATTTCCAGGAGACAGAGAGAGAAAGAGAGAGAGACAGGCAGACAGGCAGACAGGCAGACAGACAAAAGCAAAGAGACAACAGGAACCGGTGGCTGAAAGAAACACAGCTTCTCTCAGGGCATCGCCAGCCGGCACACGCAGCCAGCAATGGAGAGCACGCAGTCGTTCGTCACCGCCGAGGAGGGCGACTCCAGGAAGAAGCGCGGCCGCTTGATGGGCAAGCTGTTTGGCAAGGACCGCAAGGTCGACGACGGCGCCAACGCCGCATCCGTCGACGCCTTTCTGCACAGCTCGATCGACACCCTCAGCATCTCGCATCCGCCGCCGTCGCAGTCGCCCCAGGTCTCGCTGTCGCTGCCCAAGCTCGACACCAGCATCCCTCGCTTCCCCCAGGCGCAGCAGAATCGCTCCCAAGCTGCAGGCGGCGGCAACGATGTCCGATCCCCACGGCGAAGCCCACGGCCGAGCAGACGCGGACTCACAGTCAGGTTCGACGAAACATGCATCGAAGTCATTGGCGAGGGCGGTGACGAGTCCGAGATGCCTACCATGGAGATATCGAAAAGGAAGAAGGAGCGCAAGCAGCCTCCCCCGCCGACACCGCCTCAGGCCCGGCCCAGGCCGTCCCCGAGCTTGCCCTCCTACTCCAACAGCGACCTGTCCTCCTCGCAGGACGACTTCGTACCCAAGCCCATCTCCCGAACGCAGACCGGCTACTCGTCCCTCTACAGCCCTGACCCCGAGCCCAGGCCCCTGCCAAAGACGAGGGCCAATTCATCCCAGCTGGAGCCACAGAACCCTGGCAGGAACCAGTCTTCTGGCTTCTTGGGAGTGTCGAGCAACAACAACACTGATGAGAACAGAAAGTCCTTCATCGAGATTCACCAGGCGCAGATGGCGCTGGCCGAGGGAAGGGCCTTTGCCAAGGCTGCCCGCACCGCCAGCGCTGCTTCCGAGCACGACTGGGGCGAGAGGAAGCTGCCCCCATCCCGCGAGCTAAACGATTCTCCAGAGCCTACGTCTCCCGAAGCCCAGGCCAGGCCGACTGCCGACTACAGCCCGGTTACCTCCATATCTACGAGCTCTGGCAACTACCCGTCGCCGAGCAATCAGACTGCGCAAACGTCGCTGCGTGACAACAATTCCCGGCGCCCAAGCGGCAGCTCCCAGAGCGACCCCCCGCCTCGCGCTATCCCGTCCATGGCCTCGAGAGCGCTCTCGGTGCGAGTCACCGACGCTGTGGCCGGCTCTGAGGCTCTCAAGACCTTTGTCGCCAGGAGCAGGCACCTGTTTGCGCTGTTTCGGCTGCATGCTGAGCAAGTACGAACCCTCTCATCTTGCTCCCAGTCGCAGCTTGCGCGAGGAAGCCTCTGGTGGTTTCTCAAGGGTAGGATGGGCCTCGAGGCCGCTATTCGCGACCGACCTACTTCTCCCCAGTCGCAGATGCAGCTCGAGCTGGACCGGCAACAGGCGCACTCCAATCTGGCCAAGTCGTACTGGCTCTGCCAGGAAGTCCTACCCGACCTGATTGAATCTCAAGGACTGGATCCCGACCCCGAGGTCGCTGACGTAGCCAAAAGCGTGGTGACGGCCCTGACGAAGCTGGCGGTCTCGATGAAGCGAAATCAAATCCTGCCACCCGAAGACGCCGTGCTGCCGCAGACCATTGACAAGTCCATCTGGGTGGAATATCCTCCCCTGAGCCAGGACATGATCGCTCTGCTGACGGGCAACTGGGGCGGTGGTCTGACGGCAATGCAGCACCCCATGACCTACCTCGAGCTGCTGGATGCCTTCCCGGTCGGCGACACGGCCGAGACGTTTTGCTACGGCAGATTGCCGGCCGAGGTGTTCCTCATGGAGCAAGGCAGAGAGAACAAGTCGCTGCGCTTCCCTTGCATGCTGTCTCTGGTCCGGCCCACCAAGCAGAACGGACTCATCTTTGTGCTTTCGAGCCAGGACGGCAACATCCAGCTGCCGATCCAAGATCGGACGAGCAAAGGCGGGCCCAGCTGGGAGGACATCCGCTGGAGGCCCGAGACCTCTTCCTTTGACCTGCGCCTGCCCCGCGGCTTCAAACTGGCCGTGCAGCTGACGCAGAGCGACTACAGAATGCTTTACAACATGTACGACTACGCCGCGAAGCTCCAGCAGACGCTCCAACCGCGACCCGACGAGCAGGTCGTGTTTCGAAACACGCTCCGATCATTCCAGTACCTGGATGCGGACCCCAACTCCCGGGCGTTTCCCAAGGAACCCATCAGTTCTTGCGACGTAGCCCTCTTTGAAAAGCTCCGCAAGGACAACGGACCGCAGGGACAGCGATGCTGGCATACCGGCTTCCGCATTGCAGTCGTCACAGGACCAAAGACGAGGACGGCGTGCGGAGTGTCTCACACCTACCCCCCACCGCTGCCGGTGCAGTTTGGCTTCTTCAGGGCCGAAGGAGACCTGCCCGCCTTTTCAGTCAAGTTTGAGAATGGCCGGCAAAAGGGCCGCATGGTCATGGTGTTTGGCGACGAAAAGGAACGCGCTCGCTTCCACTCGCTGCTTACCGGGACGTCCATTGAGCCTGGCGAGAAGGTCTTTACGGACGTGCCGGTCTCCTCCGTCACCATCGCCCAAAGCCTTCGCGAGCCGCTTGGCATGGCGCCTTTCAGCCGGCTGCAGTGGAAGGCAGGCAGGGTTGTCAATGACGAGTACGGCGCCGAGGGGGATGCGGCCCCCACCGTGCTCGCAGACAGGCTGAGGATCATCCTGGAGCATCAGTACGGCACCATCACCGACAGGATCAACGTCGAGCCCGGTGAGCTGCGGATGCGCCTGGAGGTCAGCAATGCCAAGGTGCTCAAGCTCTTGCGCCAGCCGCAGCAGGACGTGACGATTGCCATTGCCGAGTCGCAAGTGGGCAAGGACGTGCCGCGGAACATGTACGACTCGCTGCAGCTCATCCGGCTGAATCAGACGATCCGGTCCATCGAGTTCAACAACCTCAAGGACCTCCACGCCTTCCAATACGCAGTCTTTGGCTTCGAGGTCATCTTCGACGCGCTGGCGGTCACGTTCGCCATTGCGCGGCGCCGCATGGTTGTGCCCATTCACAAGAAGTGGGAGGCGGGATACACCAGAATCCAGGTCATTAAGCAGGAGGACAAACAGCTGCAGCTCCTGGCATTCTTTGAAGACTTTAGCCACGGGCACTGCATGAATTTCGTGCTCAAGGGCACCGATCTCTACGAGGCCTTCCACAGAGGCAGCAAGTCGGGTATTCGCTTCGTCGATGCTAAATTTCCGCTACCGCGGCTGCCAGCCGACAAGGACGGCGACTACGACGACATGGCCTTTGTCTGCCTGGATCTTCCGGACCTACCGGGCGAGCACGACGATATCTCCATCATGTTTGAGAACGAAGAAGGTACGCTCTCTGCGCAGAATCTCTCTCCTTTTTTTCTCTTCTTCTCCTTTCTCTGTATCTTTTTGTAGAATGTGCGCTTGAGTAGTTGCTGACAATGTGACAGACCGAGACCGTCTTGCTCAAGTCCTTCCAGCCCCCATCAAAGGTTCCTCGAGAATCTCACGAATGAAATGAAGGGACAGCCGTTGATGCGGATACGTACATGGAAACTCCCATTTGTCGATAATGATGTGCATGAGCAGTGGCCGTGCCGCAGCTGCCAAAGATGCGGTCTGGGGACTGCAGTCCAGCAGAGCGGCATGTGATTAACCATGCTCGCTGGCGTACAGGAGTTTGGAGTGGATTGTCGACATCGTGATCAAAGCCTGTAAGGAGGCCGAAAGGGCGGAGCAGGGGGCCGAGTAAGCCACACACAAGGAGCCACGAGGGTGAGACGCAGAAAGAAAAGTACAAGGAAAAAAAGAAGCCGTTGGCCAGGGACAGGTTATCTACCGGCAAAGCAAAGCGGCCCGTCGCTCCGGGGAGGAAGGGCAAGCATATATGAAAATACCCAAGATGAAGGAAAGGGAAGGGCGAGAGCATGATCTGATATAAAAAAGCAAAGTCGGATTTAGCGATGGATGTAACTCTTTTTCTTGTCTTGCAAAGCATTGGCGGAGAGCGCCTCGAGAACAAATCACAAACCCCCGCAACCCCGAACCCACCCCTTTTTACACCCCTCCTGGCCGTTTCTCCTATGGCACGTTGTGTTGAAATGCGGCATAGATCTAGCCATGATGTTTTCAGGATGTTGTGTATATCTAGAGATGGGTTTTCTTTGTCGAGTTTTGTCTCTTTTCTTGTTGAGATCTGGATGCCTTTTCACGAAGAGGATACGGGCAAAACTAGAATAATGGGAACAGATGAGATGCCATATCAGGATTTCCATGTGTGACAGTTAAAATACCACAAACTTGCATGAGCAATCTAGCAACGTCCCGGTTCCTTGTGAGAGCGCCACTTCCATCTGCCCTTGTCCAAGAGATTCCCTGGCACGGCAGTTGAAGGGGGGGAATCCCCGTCATCCGGAAACGTATGATGCTAAGGCACGATGTAGTAATAGTCAGCTCGGAACAAACCGTAGGTGGCAATTTCCTTGACGTTCCTCCTCGTCTTGAACAACGGGAAGAGAAAATCAGAGACATATCATATGTACCCTTTGTTTCCGAGGTGTCTTTCCCCAATTCTGAAAAGATAGAGCTACTATCTACTACTAGTCTAGCTGGATGGAGGGCTCCGTGGCGGCAAACTGTATCTTTGTAATGTCCAATAGGTAGGAGGTTGATGTCGCCTTCGGGAGCCGCGGGCTTCTTTGGGGTCGCGTGGCCTCTTTATCTAAGGGGGGTTTACTTGGTTGGGAAGTCTTTGGAGATGGGGGTGTTTTCTTGTTTGGGCTGGAATTTTGAGCTTTTGCATGGGAAGAAAGTCGGCGGAGTTTATAGCGACTCCGAGAATGTGGTGCCTTTGGATTTCTGGGGACGGCGGCTCGGCGAAGGCTCCGTGGCCGAGGTCTTCTACCTTAGTTCCTATAGACTACTGTATAGCCTTACGTACCAGGGTTTACCGTGCTGTACAGTAGCATGGGATGAGAGACTTGGAGTGAGGGAGAGTGTCGGGATATGGGGGTCGGGATTTTTTTTTTGTTGGGGGAGGGGATATTTGATTATAGTATTGTGCTCTCTCCGGTCATTGCATTTCTTGTTACGGCGGCTCGTACAGTAAGATGTTGCTCTGTTGGCTGCTGATGGGCTTGTTATCGTTTCGTACTGCTGATGTTGCGATGGGAGAGGGAAATGAAAGCAACATGGAGAGCAGTAGCCCTCCGTAATGTTTTCTTCTTGTCTACCTAATAAGCTGTCCTACTGATGCATAGGAGGGTACAGTATCCTTGCGTTTTGCGTCTTTGTTGAGAAGACGCGGGTGATGCAGCGATAGGGCGGTATATTGGCACGATGCTGGATCTGGCCTGGGATGGGAGCTGTGCTTGTATGGCGCTGCATTAGTTGCTGTTGCTGTTAGTATTACACCAGCTTAGGAACAATTACTCAACCAGAAAACAGATGCAATACGGAGTACTGCCTGGTAATATTGCATCCAATCTCTTGATAGACTGCTCGTGACAAATGCTTTTCAAACAACTTCTGTTAGATTGTCGTTGCGCTGAGATAATCAAGAAATCTCATCGGTGTCCCGGAAACAAAGGAGTCGATTCGCTCCGGCCCAGATCCAGCAAGCTGATTTGTTTTTTTCTTCTAGCGCTTGTGACGAAGCTCTAGCGGCAACGTCATCGGGGGGTTGGTTACTGCAGGTAGAAAGTACGTAATTTGCATGTGACGACGCGGTTTTTGTGATGGGTACTGGATACCTTTACCGCAAGGCGTGGGACATTGACATGTGGCTTGGCCCTTTGTCCCAGTTTGCTTGCTTCTCTGTGAACTTCAAGTTTTTGCCGCCCATTGTTTGGCCTTGTGGCATCATCAGAGAGGCCTCAACCCGGTTTTATGGTAATCCAGGTGGTCTTGGTGGTGGTTTGTGGTAGCGTGTGCAATGACTTGCGAATACCCTTACGAATGAATCTCCGATCTGGCCAACACCCGCTGCAGGCCAACCTACAGCACAGTCCATAGAAATGCTACTTGGATGGGTCGTCATTCAATTCCAGCAGTTGCTCCAGTTGATCAGCTCATCTGTAGTTGTAGCACTTGCTGCTGCTATTACTTTCCATGGCTAGAGCCTTGAGACCAGACCGCACCCTGCCGTGGTTTTCTGCTATAGAATACCTAGATAGATAGTACCTACATTAGGTAGCTTGGCGTAGCTTTTCTCTTCTCTCTCTTTTCTCTTCCTTCGCCTCTTTTCGACCCTCATTTCTCCTCGCTTCCCTCCTCTTCTCGCTTTTGCTAAGCACAGCACAGCACAGGCTCGCTCTCCTCCCGGGCCCGCGGATTCGGAGCCATACATACATGTACCCAGTCATTCCACCCCCTTCGCCATTCCCACCTGCAAAGCCTCAACTCGCCTTGCCGTTTCTACAGCGCCGACGGACCTCTAAAGTCCACGCCCGCTCCCCCCCAGCATAACCTACGTCAGTCTCCCCCCGAATTCCATAGTTAACCGCTCCGCCACCCTCTTAAAAGCTGCTGCTTTGCGCCCACCACCAACCGGCAGACGATACAAGCTGGACATAACTTTCTCGGACTGTGACGATTCGGCCTAATCCTGACCTGCAAATAGCCTTTCTGGAATCTGAAGACCGCGGCTCCCTGCGACAGCGTCTCATACCATACCATAGCATACCTTCTGCTCCCGAGCCTTGGCCTCTGCTCAGCTCAATCTTAAAATTCCCCTTCTCGTTCTTATTACCTGAACTGGGGCGCTGCCGGCCTCTGGAATTTTTTCCTGCAGTTGTTTTCCCGAGCTCAACAGCTACCCTTCATTACTGCTCTAATTTCGGGCCATGGGGCTCTCGTCCGTGCTAGCTCTCCCCCGGAGGAGCAGAGCCTCGACGGCTGGCAGTGAGTTTCGCCCATTCGCCCCCCCTCCGCCGCGGTCATTTCACACTTGGATGGCTTCTTGTTCCTCTTCCACCTACTCTTATCCTTATCCCCGGTCCCTGTCGAGACGACGAGTAAAACAAGAGCAGAGAAAGACAAGAGACCCTTTTTTTTCCCTTTCCATCTTCTCCAGCTTTTTACCTTTCCCTATCCGGGAGACTAGCCCTATCTTCCCAACACGCCAACTCTTCTTCATCCTCCCCTTCCCGACACCCTATTGCCTACCTTACATTGGCTGAGCTCAAGACGTTGACTCGGCATCTCGCAACCTACACCTTTCAACTACCTTGGCTTTGGCGGAAAACCGCTCTGGCTCGTTCAACATGTTAACCAACTGGTTTGCACAACCCGCAGGCAACCGATCCTCGGTCGACGAAGGCAAGATCGACAACGATGACGATACCACGGTGATGGAGCCGGATCAGGGCAATGGTAAGCTGCGCAACACCAGAATGGCGGGGGAGGGGAGATGACGCTTGGCATGGCCATTGCCATCGGGGGCTGGGCTCGGCGTGCTCTGCGGTTGCTCTGCTTCGCCGACGTCGCCCGCAGACAAACCAGAGAAAGCAGAGGCAGGACCATGGAGGAAATGGAACAAGTACAGAATTTGTCAGGCTCACCAGCGCTGCAGTTCTCTCGCACATCATCTCCCAGCTGCGCCCCGGCGCGGACCTCAGTCGCGTCGTCCTTCCCACCTTTATCCTCGAGCCCCGAAGCATGCTCGAGAGGATAACAAAGTATGCATTCGACAATGCGTCTTGCCTCTACCGTCTCCCTTGGCACCCGTGCTGACCGGCTTGCAGCTTCATGTGCCATCCCGAGATGCTGCTGCACATTCCTACCATCGACGATCCCACCGAGCGATTCGTATCTGTTGTCAAGTTTTACTTGAGCGGCTGGCACATTCGGCCACCGTACGTGCTTCTTCTCGACAAAAAGAGATGCATCCGGCTAATCGAGCATTAGGGGAGTCAAAAAGCCGCTGAATCCGATCCTGGGCGAAATCTTCTCCTGCTACTGGGACCTTGAAGACAACAAGCGCGCCTACTACATCTCCGAGCAGACCTCACATCACCCTCCCAAGTCGAGCTACTTCTACATGGCGCCCTATCACCACATCCGAATCGACGGGACGCTCAAGCCCCGGAGTAGATTCCTTGGCAACTCGGCTGCCAGTTTGATGGAAGGCATTGCTTTCCTTTCCATATTGAACCGGGGCAGCAACAAGGCCAAGGGAGAGCAATAGTCCGTACCCCCGTTCGATCTGGTGCCGCGGTTCTAGCTGCTAACGTTGGCACAGTATCTTGACACAGCCCAACATGTATGCGCGAGGAATCCTATTCGGCAAGATGAAGTATGAGCTTGGCGACCACAGCTTTGTCCGGTGCCCCGAACTCGATCTGACCGCCGACATCGACTTCAAGACAAAAGGCTGGGTTGGAGGCACCTACAACGCCATTGGCGGTGTCATCAAGAGGGAAAGCACTGGCGAAGTACTGTACGAACTGTCCGGTCTGTGGAGCGAAGAGATGTTCATCAAGGATATGAGAGTAAGTTGCTTGCTCACCCCATAAGATGAGCGCACTTTTGCTGACGTTGGCGAATCGCAGACGGGTCACCGAGAAATGTTCTTCGATGCTCACAAGGCAAAGCCCAGCCCGCCGCTCTCACGGCCAATCTCGGAGCAGGAAGAGCGGGAATCCCAGCGACTGTGGGAAAAGACGGCCAAGGCCGTCAAGGAGCGCAACCACGAGCTGGCCACGGACGAAAAGACAAAGATCGAAGACCGGCAGCGCGAGGAGGCTGCCCTCCGGGCCCAGGAGAATATCGAATGGGTTCCGCGGCTGTTCCGGGCCGTCCGGAGCGGGCCTGGAGAGCCGGAGGAAGGCGAAGAGAGCTTGGAGTGGATCATCAATGCGAACATGTATGTCTGGTGCTGTCTTCTTTAACTTACCTCTTTCAAGCGACTAACATCCCACAGCGATCCTCAAGCACCTCCCGAGAAGCAGACGGAGCAGATTCTTGCTATTTACCCCATCGTGGCCGGCCAGACATTGAACAAAGAGACTTCCATTCCGCCACCAGCATCCTCGTCGAAGGCGGCCAAGGAGCCCGTCGAGCCTGTGGCCGCAAAGCCTGTGGAGCCTGTGGCCGCAAAGCCCATCGAGCCTGCTGCCGAGAAGCCCAAAGAACAGGACAACCTGATTGACTTTGGTGGAAACGATGAAACCCCCACACCGGCCGCAAAGTCCCCAGACGAGATCGAGCGCATGCTCCACGCGACGGGCAAGCCGGCGGAAGGCCCCTTGATTGACTTTGCCCAGGATATGAAGAAGGACTTGCCAGCTGATGGTAATGACCTACTGTAGAACCGGTTGTGACTCAAATGAAAAAGGAGGCTGTGTGAGGCGCGAAGGAAAGTCTTGAGGAGTTCATCATTGGCTAGGCGGGTAGGGAAATACCCTGACAGAATCACGGCGCAAAACATCTGGCCAGGCTACTACGATATAAATGGGCGCGCTTCATCACGCATTTGTGCTTGATTTTCCATTGGCGGGAGCAGGTTTCTTGGGTTTCAACACGGGCATACATTATGCGACGGGACTGCGACGTCGGGAGGGCTGGCATATCAATTATATCAATTATATCATATCAAATCTTTTTGGTTGTCTTTGTAAAATGCTCGATACAATGCCAAGAATCGTAGAACTTCTCTTTTGACTGTGACGACTTCCAGATTAACCTTGCTCTAGTCCACACAATATGACAGGACGCCCACCGGAACGCCAAACCTCGAGCGCAAAGAGTACACACATGTCCCTGATTATCCCTAGATCCCAAATAAATGCAGTATAACAACATTCAAAACGCGTCGTAAAATCTTTCTTCCCGATCCCTTTCTTTTCCTTTTTTCTTTTTCTTTCTCTCCTTCTCTCGACCTTGTCATTTCAAATAAAAAAAATCAGAACCTCCTCCTGGTGGGCTCGGGGGTGGGCGACCTGCTGGCGCTGCGCTCGTCGCGGCCGCGCATCTTGAGCCACTTCTTGGTGCTGAGGGTGAGCTCGCGGTCGAGCTCCTCGGAGGGGTTCTTGCGGTGGATGAAGTTGCAGAAGCCGCCGCGGACGCAGCCCTCGCCCGAGTTGAGCCGGCAGCAGGCCTCGCGGAAGTCGGTGACGGGGGAGAGCTCGCAGTAGATGGGGCGGGCGGCGTACCAGCGGCTGTTGAGGGCCTCGCAGGCGGCGGAGGCGGAGTCTTCGTACTTGAAGCGGGCGTAGACGTTGCCGATGAGGTCTGTTTATTTCCTCACACGTTAGCTTTAGCTTGTTTTTCATGAAAGAAAAAGGACTTGGGAGAAGGGTTAAAAAAACGTACGGTCATTGTTGTTGTCGCAGACGACGAGCTCCTCGAGCTCGCCGTACTTGCACAGCTCGCACCAAATGTCCTCGTAAAAGGCGTCAAAGTGGTTCTGCAGCTGCGAGGCGTTCATCCTGTTCTTGGGGTCGTAGGCCGGGTTCTGGTACAGGTTGGGCATGAGGATGGTCTGGCTGTACGAGGGCTTGACGTGCTTGCGCGAGCAGCGGTCGCCGTGGCGGCAGGCGCCGATCTTGAAGTAGAAGGAGCAGTTGACTTTGTCGAGCTCGGTGCCGAAGATGGAGGCGAGGAAATTGGCCATGATTGTGCGTGTGTCGTGTGTATGTGTGTGTGTGAAGTTGTGTGTTGTGTTTGTTGTTTGATATGGATGAATGTTCGGTTGTTTGGTGATGATATAAACTTGTAGTAGGTTAGTAGGGGATTTTCTGTTGGTTCGATGGATGGATGGATTGGAAAGAATCATGGGCTAAACTAAGCAGCTTGAGTTACGCCACAAGCATGGAGGCGAGGCTGAGTCACGTGCGTGGCTGAAGCGTGTGGAAGTTGTTCGACCCACCTGGAATCAGCCGCAGAATTGATACCTGTACGAGTAAGTTTCCATGCGAGCTGTTGTTCCTGGATATCGAATGCTGGATCCGTGCAACTGATACATATTTGTAATCACCAACAGTATTAGCTACCTTACAAATATCAATCACATGCAGGCTGTTATATAGTATATGTCAATCGTTTCTTCAACTGCAGCCAACCCAAGCATCCCATCCCTCACCATCCACACATGCACCGACTTAATACAGCGTCTCTCGCTTTCGGAGGGCTGCAGAAACGCGCCCGACGCGCGCCTTGCTGCAAGTGGCACTAGGCTGGGGGACCTGCAGAAAGCCGTCACAGGGCTAGGCTCGATTGGGCCATGCCTTTAATCATATCCCCTGACGCTGGAGAGACTCGACTCGACGCTTCGCCAGAGCCTTTCACCGTCCTCGACCAGCCAGCCGTCCTGAGTCGCTGATCTGATCCTCCCCCAGCTCAGACATACACTCGTTTATCAACAGCAGAGCAATGAATCCATCATCACCGCACCATCACCAAGTCTCGTGCGTTTGGTGATTCTGATCCTTCTTCTCGGCGCCTCTCTTCCTCCTCCTCCTCCTCCTCCTCCTCCTCCTCCTCCTCCTCTTCTTCTTCTTCTCCCCCAGATATCCTCCACGAAATCCGCACCATGGACCAGGCAGACATCCCCGCGCTGCTCTCTCGCTTGGCGAGCCCCGAAGATGCGGCCCGTAAGATGGCCGTCTTCAAGCTGCAGTCGTCCATCAACGATCCCTCCTTCGCCGACGTCTTCATCTCCTCCGGCGGCCTCGTCATCCTGCGCCGCCTCATCATGAGCTCCGGCGGCAACACGCTGGCGTATGCGCTGCAGAGCCTGACGAGGCTGCTCGAGGTCGACATGGGATGGGACATCTTCGAGGGCCCGACGGCCAGCGAATTGGTCGAGCGCGTGGTGGAACTCATCGTCACGAACCCCCTGGTTAACATCCTTCGGGGCGCAATGTCGATTCTCGTCGCCCTGGTCGGGCATTCGCAGTCGAGCGGCCCCGAGCCTCCGAGCCGCGATCAGGGAGCGGCAGCAGCGTTTGGATTCCGGGCGCTGAAGCCTGCCGTCGCCGTGTACCCGCAGTTCTTCGACGTCGTCGTGCAGCAGCTCAACAGCGCCGACCACGCCCTCTGCGCGAATGCGCTCATGCTGGTCAACGCGCTGATCCGGGACTCGCTCTCGGCCAAGAGCGTCATGGCGAGCGGCGGGACGGGCAAGGCCGCTGGCGAGGAGTGGCCCAAGCTCATGAAGCGGCTGCAGGACCTCGGCTTGATCAGGGCGGTTTACAAGCTGATGCAGGGCACCGGGCTGCAGGACCTGGCGCACCCTGCCATGGAGTTTCAGAACTTGACCAAGGTCATCATCAGGAAGTGGAGAGACGTGCGGGTGGACCTGGAGCGGCCCGAACACAGACGCTCGCTCAAGAGCCTGCACCTCTCGAGCGCGCCAGATCGATCCACGACAAACGGCCATGTACGAGAAGGATCGGGCGACACTACGGCGACCAGGCAGGATAGGAAGCACAGCCCTGAGAAATGGAGGAGACTTGGCTTCGAGACGGAGAGCCCCGCGCAGGACTTTGACGTGGCTGGATATCTCGGCTTGATGGATCTGACAGACTACGTGCGCAAACACGAGGACAAGTTCCAGAAGCTGCTGCTGGAGCAGGCCTCGAGGCCGATGCATGAGCGCTGCCCCGTTGCCCGAGCGAGCTTGGCCGTGACGATGATGCTCTACGAGCATTTCGATGTGGACAAGGCAGACATGGAGGACACCAAGGGATACCAGGGAGTCGAGACCAAGGACTACGACAGGGTGTTTCGGCCCCTGCTTCTGCAGTGGCCTCGGCTGCACTCGGCCGGGCTTCACAGCTTCTTTCGCATCTGGAAAGCCACCGGTGCCGTGTCCGACGACTTTGACAAGGTGGCGGAGCTGGTGCGCATCTTGATCGAGCGGGTTGCCGGCCAATGCCCTCGAACGTGCGATATTGCAGAGGTGGAGGACGACCTACTCGAATACGATATAGCCAGGCTTCGGGAGCTGCAGATGGATCTGCTTGAGATGTCGTTTGAGGAAGCCTGGGGCAAGCATCTTCACCAGGTGCGAGACGTCTTGAAGCAGGAAGCCCTGCAGTTTGTCAAGGAGCAGAGAGTTCGGTGTCTTCTCCAAGGCGCCTGGTTCCACCGGCCAGCGTCACAGAGGGATGAGACGGGAGAGAACAAGCCGTGGAGATTCGCCAGGCTATCACACAACCGCCGCTTCTTGCACTACACCGACTTTGAGAAGCAGATGGCGCAAGACCCGGGCCTCAACAGCTTGGCGGAGAAGATTGATCTGACCACCATCAGCTCCGTGGTGTCCAACGTCTCTGCGTCCAACGACGACTCCAAGACGACGGCCAGCGGGGCGACGATTCAGAACCTCGCCGGCGGTGCAGACAAGTCGACGACCAAGATTACGATATACAGCTTCGTGAACCCAGCCGATGCGGCCGCTGGCGGAGACGCAAAGGAACAGCCCATCCTGTCCCTCTGGCCCACGAGCCATAGCGTGGCCTCGGAGTGGCTCGACGGCATGCTGATGATCTTGAACCAGGCCCCCATCACGGCGGAGACGAGCAAGCTGGTCAACCTGGTGTGCGGATACGGGCTGAAGATTCGGCTGCTCAACGTGAGGATGGACGAGGCGCCTCCCGGAGGGGGGATCGTGCCCAGCCGAGAAGGACTGGACGAGGACTATTTCTACGAAGTCTGAGCTGTCCGGATCTTTCCTGTTTACGACGCCTTTTTTTTCTTATCTCTTTTAGTTGTCTGTTTTACAAATCAGTCACTTGTTTTCTGTTTCCTTTTGTTTGCGATATATACCCCATCTTTGAACGGCAGGTCTGGCATAGTGAGAGCATCAACTGGTTGTGTGCGTTGGGTTACCCTTTTTTCCTCTCTTCTACTTTTTGTATGCATAATATACGTGTTGTATAATAACTCCTGGAGCACTCGAGTGCGGCTCGGAACGGGCTGATGATGGCCTCGAATAAAGAATGACGTGGATTGGATGGAGGGAAAGGAGCGTACATGGGGACCGACCTATGTACGATACATAATCAAAATTTACCATTTGTCTCTGTAAATTATATTATCGCAGTTTGCTTGGACGAGATATTTCTGCATCCATGAGTCGGTGATTAAACGAGATTGATGAGCCAGGCAAATGAGATGCGTCTCTTCCATTAGGTATTCATGCTTTTTGATGATGGGTGCCCGAACTTTGGCTGGGATTCATGCTTCCCACCATTGCATTGGCGACACGTTCGCATGTACATACTAATGAGCAGGAGGTGCGTGATGGGGGGCCACTGGCCCGGATGAATGGCGATAGCATTACATAGTATTGCTAGTCAAGTCAAAGAGCGTCCGTCCCTGTAGAAGCGCTCATCGCTTCGTGGGTGTACATGATCCGGGGACCGAGGACTGGGCAAGGCCTAACAAGTCTAGGTAGCCGATGCAGATAGACATCAACCCGGATGAGCACCAGCCGTGAGCAGGTTCTCAACCATCACAGGTTGCCAATCAGCAGAAAGTAACTCGTCTTAGCAAAGTGCACTTGTTATGTACATGTAGTAGTAGTCGATTTGCTGCAGGACCGCTGGTCCGAGATTTCATTCGCCGGGCTCGAGCCAGAGAGCGGTGACCCGGAGCTGCAGCAGAGTGGGTAATATTGGAGAGGTCAATGAAGTGTCGCAGCGCAGCAGCAGCAGCAGCCGATTTACAGGTAAGCGAAACGAAGTTCAGGTTGTGTAAGATAATGTCTGGTACTTGCGCGCCTGTAGGTGCCCGATTGTCCACGGCTGAGGTCAGTCACTGTCCGTGTCCCTGCTCCCTCCTCTTTCTCTTTTTTTTCCCTTTTCTTCCGATTTATTTCTTTTCTCTCTCCTCTCTCTTTTCCTGCCCTTTCTTTTCTTCACTCCTCAACTTTAGTCTTTTTTTTCTTCTTCTTTTCCCCCTCCTTTCCTAGAGGTTCCGACCTGAGGAGGAGAGAGAGAGAGAGAAGACAACGACGACCAAGTCCCATCAGGTGGCGGTCTGCGCTTCCTGAGGAGGGGTTGCGGGGGCCCGGCCATTCAGGTACGTACAAGTACTGCGACATGCGAGCTGTGCAGTGAAACAGCGTGAGAAGAAGAAGAAGAAGAAGAAGAAGAAGAAGAAGAAGCAAGAAGACGAAGCGGAAGACGAGGAAGATGTGCTCGTGAGCGACAATTCGAAAGACGGGAAGCCTTCTGGATGTTCTCTTGTGTTTCCAGCATCAACGCTTCAATGACTGACTTGACATGTGATGCTCTAGGTACTAGGTGGAAAGCCAGCCCAAAAATAGGCCTGAAACAAAGGGCCTGGGTGGTGGCTGAGGCACCAAAAATCCTCAGTCTCCTCAGTGGCTTCGTATCATCTCGGGCGTCTTCTCCAGCTGCCACGTACCTCAATTCGCACCCCCCTGGCAATAATCGCATCCAGGAACTTCCGAACTATAAACCAAACACCAGTCAAAAAATTTCGGGAAAAGGCGATCGACCAACTTTTCCTCCTTTTGCCCAAATCTCGCGCTTCTGCACAGCTCGAGTCCATCCGTGTCGCTTTCTTCTGGCTCCGGTACGTATAGTATTATTTGATGTTCTCCTTTCGCTCCTTTTCAGCAGGGCCATTTTGTACGCCAAATCGGATTGATTGATTGCGGCATTGGCTTCTTCTGGACGCATTCGTCGGCTGCTGGACTGCGTACCCGGCCGCGCAAGCCCTCGCTTTCACTCCAGAGCCTCCCATGCGCATCGCGTACTGCCTAGGAGCACCATTTGCTGATTGGGCCCTCTTTTCATTCTTCTAGCTGCGTGTTCGAGCTCTCCTTGCATCTTACCCATCAGGTGCTTCGCACAAGGAAGGCCATCGCTATCGGCTTACCGTGGCATCTCTCGTCGCTGTTGCCTGATTCCTCCTTGAACCCACGCGTCTAGACAACAATACTCTATATATACAATCGACTCGGCGTCGTTGCAGACACCCCAAGACAAAGAACAGCATTCAAAATGTCTCGCATCCAGATCCCCCTCGACCTCATCACGTCCCGCCTCAACCTGGGAGAACGCTTCCAGGGCCTGCGCGCGGGTCCTCTGAGCGGCCGTTTCTCCAACCTGCGCCCCATCTCCGAGTTCTTCGACTTCAAGCGCCTGTCCAAGCCGGCCAACTTTGGCGAGGTCCAGTCCCGCGTCAACTACAACCTGAGCCACTTCTCCAGCAACTATGCCGTCGTCTTCCTCATGCTCAGCGTCTACGCTCTGCTGACCAACTGGCTGCTGCTCTTTGATATCATCTTTGTGGTGTCGGGCATGTTCTGCATTAGCAAGCTGGACGGACGCGACCTCGAAATCGGAACCTTCAAGGCCACCACCTCCCAGCTTTGGACTGGTCTGTTGGTTATCAGCATTCCCATTGGTCTTATTTCCTCTCCGTTCTCGACCCTGCTCTGGCTCATTGGGGCGAGCGGCGCGAGTATTCTTGTAAGTTTGCCAATCCCGAGACCAACATTCCGCCGCCTTGCCCATGCTAACCGCGCTCCTCCAGGGTCACGCAAGTTTCATGGACAAGCCTATCGATGAGGCTTTTTCCGGGGAGGCGGTCTAAATGGTCGGCCGCGAGCTCCCAAATTTGCGCCCCAATGGGGAAGACCATCGCGGCGCGGGCGGAGGACAAGTGGGGATGCTGCGCAATATGGAGGTAGGGTGGAGGAACTGGCATCGGATGAGGATGGGGAGACTGGGGAAGGCGGCCTTGTGCGCCGCGACCGCCGCCGCTACGATACGGAGGACGAGGATGACAGTTCATCTGGGGACAGCTACGACGAGGACTACTCAGACGACGGCGAGGGTTATGTCGATGAACGCGAGGAGGCCTTGGTGCAAAAGGCGCTCTACCGGATTGAAAAAGCTCAGGCAAAGGGCCGGGCTGACGTGCGGCTCAGCAAGGAGGAAATTGCGGCCCTGGAACGGAGGCAGAAGCGCATGGAGGTGGAGGAGCGCAGGAACCGCAGGCGGCGCCAGGAACGCGTGGCCATACCGCTTGCTCAGCTGGGTCGATTAGGAAGCTCTTCTTCACGCCTGGCCTCGGGCTCCGGCTCTTTGTCAAGACAGCCTTCCGGAAGCGACGCGGTGGAAGACGATGAAGCGTCGCCGCAGATGGGCTATTTCCCCCCTCACTCCAGCTCGCGCCGGCCAAAGTCTGGCAGCTCTACGTCTCGGCCATCGAGCATCCACGAAGACTCGTCGAAAGATCCCTTTCAATACCTCACGACTGGGCCTCGTGGTTCTACTTCTTCTGCGCCCAAGCGGCACAACTCTGGTCAATCTGACCTGAGTTCCATGTCGCGCCGTGGCAGGCCCGAGTCGTCCGGCTGGAGCCAACAGGGATCCTCCAGAAGGCAAAGCTCCGACGAGACCAGCGAGGAACTGGCGTTGGTAGAAGAGAAATCGAGTCGTGCCGGCAAGGGCAGGGAGGAGATTGTCGTCGAGCTGGAGCCCGAGTCTCCTACTGGGCCCGAGCCGGCGTCGTCTCGCACGCGGTCAGCATCGAGAAAGAAGCCTGAGTCTGCGTCGTCAAGGAAGACGGTGTCGAGCAGGACGACGACGAGTTCAGGGGTGTCGTCGGGGGTGCGGAGGAAGAAGAGGGACGATGCGCGTTGATTCGGTCTGTTTCATGGCAAAAGTTTGATGTAGCCTCTTCGTATTCTTATGATGAATCAATATATCTGTTTCTAGACTTTTGACATTGCAAGCATATCACCAGGCTGTTTATCTGTTCCCCAAAGCTGGGATCGTGAGTCTCGATATTACAGAGTACTAGGTAGTACTAGGTAGTACACGTATGTACTTATCTCCGCTGCTTCTGCCGAGGCTGCTGACTAAGCAGCGTGCCGCGGCTGTGGGTGACATGCACTGACATCTAATCCCTGCCCTCAGCTCCCTTCCCATCTCCAGCCTCGCTCGTTGTTTATTACCATTACCTATTTGCTCCCTCCCAATTTCCATAGCCCGTAATATTGCCGTTACCTTCAAACATCCGTCCGGCAGGATCTCGCGTTTCTTTCTTCGTCTTGTTCTTGTTTTCCCTACATCTAACCAGCGGAAGCGATATCATTTATATACCCTTTTTTTTCTCTTTCCTATTTTCCCCCAGGTACCCAACTACACTTGTTATAATCGATCGATCGTCGTCCTACCTCGGTACCTACTTGCGACAAGCAACTCACTCCCCTTTCGACGGAAGTTTACAGAAGAAACAAAAGAGCAAAAACAACGCAATGTCGAGCGCAAGAAGCGGAGCGAAGCGCCTCATCAAAGAACTCGAGTCCTGGCGCAAAGAGCGCAAAGACGAAAAGGGCGTGGAAAGGCTGGGCCCGATCAGCGAGGATGACTTGTTCGAGTGGGAGGCTGTGATTAACGGGCGTGAAATCGGTTCCGGCTACGACGGTGCGCTTTCTTCTTTCTTTTCATTCTTTTCATTCTTTCTCTCCCCCCGCCTTTGCGCGTATGTTTTATTTGATTGGGCTCTGAATTGCTGACTTTACGATATCGTTGTTGGGCGAATTGTATAGAAGGCCGCTGGCTCATCCACATCTCCATCCCACCGCAGTACCCCCTCCAGCCGCCCAAGATGCGCTTCGTGACGCCCATCGTGCACCCCAACATTGCGCTGCAGTCGGGCGAGATCTGCCTCGACCTGCTCAAGGACAAGTGGACGCCGACGTACAGCGTGCTGCAGTGCGTGCGCGCGGTGCGCATGCTGCTGGGGTACCCCGAGACGGACAGCCCGCTCAACGTGGACGTCGCGGCGCTGCTGCGCGGCGGGGACGTGCTGGGGACGAGGAAGCTGGTCGAGTATTGGTGCTCGGAGGCGGAGGGGAGGTATGATGGGCCTTGAGGGATGTTGTTTTTGTTCGAGAAAGATGGGGGAGAGGGCTGATTTACTGATTTTGGTGCTACTGTTTTTGGTGTTTATATGTTTCCTGGGGCAGTTTGTTGATGGCTGGGGGGTTTCATGATGAACTGGCTGATTTGGATATACAAGATATAATGGATGGACGGAACGACAAACATCAGGACGAAAAGAATAAAGGGACTCTCGCCTGTGGACCGATGGCATGGCGAACAGGTAATGCAGAAACTGTCTTCTTCAATTCGCATCGCATCGCATTCATTCCTTCTATTCCAACACATCCGTGATAAATCATTGCTCTACTGCCGCCCAACCCCGTTCCCGAGGAACATTACTAAAAAAGACACTATGGTAATATAAAATACCTACATGTAGTAAGAACAGCCACCGCATCCATATCACCTCCCCCCCTTTTTTTTGCTTGTCGTCCGCTCGTTCTCCAGTCTTGCCTGCTGATGCATACCATTTGATAGATGTAAATGTTTTAAAAAAAAAGAAATAATGAAGAAAGAAGAGGGGGAAGGGGTTGTTCTCTATATATATGAAAATTCACATGCCGGCGAGGTCAGAAAAGGTTGGGTTAGATGCCTCCAAACTTGAGAAATAAACGCCCGCGCCGCGCCGCGCCGTGCCGTGCCTGACTTTGCCTGCCTGCTCCCGGCTTTCCTACCCAAGACACCCTGAGCATCTTTTTTTGAATCGATTCCAACAAGATTTTTGTGAGAAAAGGAGAAAGTAAAGAACTATGCCCCACGGGGAAGGGGTTTGGTCCTCAGCTTTCTTCTCAAGAGCCCCTGACGCCGTCGACGCTCAGCCCAACAGTAGAGTCGTAACCGTAATGACATGAAGCGACAGGGAAAATAAGGGCCTTCCCTATCAGCATAAAGTGAAAGAGGAATGTTCGATTACTCATTATAATGGTAGACCTGCGGCCTTTCGCGTTAGATTTGACAGGGCAATCTTCGGGACAAGATGTGGTAACGTACCTTGTAGTTGGGGAGCCCGTACGGCTGCCATCCCAACCGCTTAGCCATCTTGGCAAAGCCCTCGCTCTCAATCAGATGATAAAAGGCAAAGGGGGGGAACATGGCTCCATCGCGGTGGACGTCAGCCTTGACCAGCAACGCGGTGCCACCGACGCCGTCGAGGGGCACCACCAGATCCTTGGAGCCGCCGGGCGTGGCCATGTACGCAAGCAGAGTTCTGTAGGTGGCGAGTTCTGCGTAACCCTCGAGCAGGATGTCGTCCGGCCCCATCTGCTCCGCCATCTTGAGCGCAGTCTCGCTGTCCTGCCAGCTGTTGAAGTCGTACGGCCGCTCGGCCATCTCCTTGGCCTTGGGGTCGTAGTACTTCTGGAAGCAGTTGGCAACAATGATGGGCTTGTCGTGCGAGGCGAGATCTTGGATCAGCGTGGGCGCGGTCTCGACAATGTCGGCGTCGAGCCACAGCACCCACGAGGTGGACGGGCCCAGCGTCGTGAAGAGCAGCGAGTTCCGAGCCTTGGCCATGACCTCCCGTCGGGCTTTCTGGTTGACCAGCTTGTGCCGCTCGCTCTCGTCCTGGGACACAACAGCGGGATCAAAGTCCTGGCGCAGGATGATGATGCTCTTGAACCGGTCCTTTTCCGGGCCGTAGTTCTGCGTCTTTTGGATCTGCTGCTGCAGCTGGGACGTCGCCTGGTTGCCCTCCTTGGTCTTGGGCAGGATAAAGCCCAGCGTGATGAGCTCGTGGGGGTAGTTGAGGCGCAGCAGGTTATCCCAGTACTGCTGGTAGAAGCGCGCCATGGGCGTGAGGATCAGGATGTGCTCCTGGTTCCGGACGGGGTCGGACGTGACGGTGACCTTGTTGAGGTTGTATCGCGTGACCGGCGGCGGGCCCTGGACGGCGCCTGATCGCGGGCTCTGGTACGGCGAGGTAGGGGGCGACAGGTGGTGCTGGGCCGAGACAATGGACAGGCGGGAGGCGGAGGCGGGACTCGAGGGCGAGACGAGGAAGATGATGATGAAGATGCAGAGCACGGCGCCCAGGATCAGCGTCGAGGGATTGGCCTTCTTGAGGCGGACCGACCCCATGGGGCGAGCCATGGCAGCGAGGCCGTTGGGGTTTGTCTGTTCGGTTTGTTTCGTGTGGTGGTTGAGGCGGAGAGGCAGTGAATCTGTTCGTGGGCCCTTCGTTATCGCGATCAATTCGCAGCGCGGCGCATGTGGGCACAGAGCCTTGGCTGATTACTAACCCCAAGCAACTGGTGCGTTCCCAGCAAGAAACGGGCGTCAGGGCATCGACGGTGAAGGATTGGCTCGTCTGTGGCAGGAGAGGAGATGCAGAGCGGAAGAGGAGAGGAGAGAAAAGCGTTCGCAGAGCGAATCTGCGTCGTGCTCTGGTTACGCCCTCGCCCACTAAAGGTCGTGCTAATACGATAGTCGACCAAGCGGAAAAGGACAGACAGAGCGAAGCAATACGAGCAACGGCCTCGAAATCAGGGGTCTCCCGATTATGTCAGGCTAGGCCTATCCAAGGCATAAATTTTCTGCGTTACTGCTACAGCACCCAAGGTCGATATAGTACCTTAGGTACCAGGTACCAACGGTAGCACCTCTGACGGGCCATTGCATACAGATGGGTTGCATGCAGCTTCGAGGTGAATCGCAGTTGAGATGCAAGCATCGTAATGCCAATCTAGATGTGCTGCTTGTATCACTCAGATGCCCATGTTTGTAACTTGGACAATGGAACAGACGCTGTATGTAAACTCGGGCCCTGCAGGTGTGCCTTGAACGCTGAGGTAGTCAAGATGGACCAGACCCTGTACCTGTGGCGCTTGTAGCAGTACCTCAGGGCCCCGTAGCGCTGCTGGTGCGCTGGACACGCTGAACGCCCCCCTGTTCCAGGCATGTGCCGTACCTGGACGCTACCCGCAGTACTTCCCTATCGAGTCCTGCCGCGCATTTCTAGCTCGACATTTCTGCCTCCAGCTTGTCACGACTCCAGCCTTTCTCTTCATCCTGCATCTCTTACTGTCCGCCGACGTGAGAGTCCAGAGCCGCGCAAGACACAAGTATCTCTACCGCATCTCCCATAACCCCTCTTCGCAATGGCTTCAGACAAGATGGACCGCGGCCTCGACGAAATCATTGCAGACAAGGTCCGTACTCTCATGCTCCCATCCGCCTCGATACCGCCAGCCTCGTCGTCCGCATGTCGCAAGACCACAGCTGACTCCTCCTCCAGCGCAGCAATGGATCTCGAAACCGACGCGGTGGCGACCGCCGTCGTGACCGTCAAGACTACCCCCGTGACGGGGTGAAAAAGGTGCGTCTCGTCGTCTCTTGCTGTCTCTTTCAACCGCCGTGCGAGGCTGACCCGCCACTTGCTTCCAGGTTGAAACTTGAACCCTTCCTCTCCTCCCTCCTGAATCGCCTGACACTCGACCTCGTCAAATGCTCTGCGCACTCCTTCGGTCAAATCGAATCTTCGGAGTTTCTGCCAATCCGTGACGCGCGTCTATACGCTGTGGATTTCCTCGCTAACGAGCTCTTGGGTCGACACTGCAGTCTCTCCGCAACGAACCTCGAAACCTGGATAGGTTGGTCTTGCGAATACCATCACCAGTGGCTCTGGAGCGTATACTAACTGGCTTGCTGCAGCGAATGGGTTCATGATCGATACGAAGAGAACAGTACAGTCACATCCTGCCTCTATTCACTTACCTCTACCCCCTTGGAACCCGACTCATGATTTTCAGCATACCGCAACAGAGGTCCTGCACCGCGTCGCAGGCGCGAGTCCCCCAGCGGGTAAGTTCTTCTGATAATCAATAATCAAGGGCAGAGACAGAGGACGATGTGATAATAGGGCTGGGCTAACGATCCTCTCTAGCGGAGATGCCCGGGGCACCCGTCTCAGAGTTGAAAATATTCACTACGATCTCACCGAGGAAGATCTCGATGTATGCCACCTCGAAGACGAAGAGAACCCGGCCTCGATCGCGACTGACCTGACCAACAGGAACTTTTCAGAAGAATCGGTCCCATTACAAAGCTGCAACTTCGCTACGACCGGTCTGGACGGTCCGAAGGCGTAGCTTTTGTGACTTACGAGAGCAGAGACGACGCCGCTGAAGCTGTTCGACAATTCGACGGCGCCAACGCGAACGGTACATAGACCCCTGAACCAGGCTTGCGTCTGTATCCCGCGACTGACGTAGTGCGTAGGCCAGCCCATTCGTTTGACCATACTGTCAGGCGGCCCTTCCCGGAACCCATTCGATACTGCCGTTATGCCCGGCAAGCCTCTGTCAGAGCGCATCTCTGCTCCTGGGGGCAGATCTCGATCGCTCTCCCCTCATCGCAGATACGACGAAGAAGATGCGGCTCGCAGAGGCATTGATCGATACGTCCCGGGAGGTAGCCGCTCTCGAAGCCCCATGCCGCCCCGTCGTGGTGGAGGTCGTCGCCCTGGTGCTCGACGAGAGGGTGGCGGAAGGGACCAGGACGCGGCTCGTGGTGGCCGACAGGGCGGAGGCAACGGAGGAAACGGACGTGCTGCACGAACAAACACGCCGCGACCCAAGAAGACGCAAGAAGAGCTGGACGCCGAGATGGAGGATTACTTCAACGCCAATGGCGGGGCGGCCGAGCCTGCTGCCGAAGCCGCTGCCGAAGCTTCTGCGCCCAACGGAGAGGCCGCTGCGCCTGCTAACGCTGATGACATTGATATGATCGAGTAACTTGACTCACGACGATACGCTCTCGGTACAGGGGGAATGGGGAATGCGATTCATGGGGGCTCTCTGGAGTATCGGGCTCGTTGTTTTGCAGAAAAAAGGCCATCCAAAGCATGGGAGATGGAGCATATATATATAATTAAAGCAAGGTTGTCGTTCAGGAATGGATTAATGGTCGTTCGGGTCAGGAATCATGGTGTTTGATGAATTCTGTTTTGGGCATATTCTGGACCGTAAAATCTATAACCAAGATGTTGTTACCGTTGACTCTCGAACCCTTGTCGTTCACGTCGGTTGGCTGAGCAGATCCAGCGTTGATTGGCGAGCGTCATGTCTTCAAGAGAGATATCGCGGCCCGGATATATCGATGTACGAAGTGCACTACGACCTAAGAGATATGCTGGAGATTTCGTCAGCTCAGTTCTCTAATACGCCATAGCTGCAACTAAGCAAGTGAAAGACCGGCGACACAACCGCTCTTCTTTTCCTTCTTCACTCCTCGTCTTTATTCCCAAAGTAAAAAATACAAGCTCAGCAGGAAATGGCTTCAAAGCCGAGCTCAACGCCGACAAAGATCGGGATTCTGTCGCTGGGTGACATGGGCGCTGGGATTGCGAGGCTATTAATTGCGCATGGATTTCCCGTTTCCACAAATTGCCAAGGACGAAGGTGAGTTCCATCCAATTCTTATACATCAAGCACTGGGTGATGGATGAGGAGAATTCAAGTCTGAGAACATTTTGTCGTTACGGCTACCTAGTGAGGATACGGCTGAGAGAGCGCGCAACGCCGGCGTCGAGCTTCTCTCGTCCGACCTGGAGCTCGTCCAGCAGTCCTCCGTCATCTTCTCCGTCGTGCCGCCACGGGATGCAGAGGCCACCGCTCAACGAATTATCGATGCTTTGTCGGGAGATGGTTCTTCTCGTACGGAGACGCTGTACTATGTCGATTTGAATGCCGTTGCGCCGTCGACGTGTAAGAGCATCGCGGCGCTGTTTGACAAGGCGAGGGTCCCTGTCACGTTTATCGATGCTTGCATCCTGGGCGGACCTCCCAGCCTGAAGACGAAGAAGAAGAAGAAGTCTTCCGACAAGGAAGGGGGGGAAGAAGAACAAGAAGAAGCTGATGAATGGGATCAGCCGAGCATTCCCGTCTCGGGACCTGCAGAACTGTTGACGGCGTCGTTGCCGGACGGGGAGAGGCTCACGTCCGTGCTGAAGCTGAGGACGATATCGCCCGAGATTGGCGCCGCGAGCGGCCTCAAGATGTGCTTCGCGTCCATCACCAAGGGCTTCACGGCGCTGGCCACGCAGTCCTTCACGACGGCGCACCGGCTGGGCGTGGCGGACGAGCTGAGGCGGGAGCTGCGCGACATGGTGCCCGCCGTGCTGGCGCGGGCGGAAAAAAGCGTGCCGGGGATGCCGCCTAAGGCGTACCGCTGGGTGCGCGAGATGGAGGAGATTGCCAAGACGTTCTCGGACGAGGGCGGCTGGGAGGGGACGGTGTTTGAGGGCATCGCGGGGGTGTACCGGGCGGTTGCGGAGGATGGCGTCCTTGGGAAGGAGAAGATTGGGAAGAGGAAGAGGGGGACGAGTCTGGATGATGTGGCGGCGGTTATGGCGGAGGGGTTGGAGGTTAAGAGGAAGAAGAGGGAGTGAAGACATGGTGTATTTGGTTATGTGATGTGTTGAGAAGTGGTGGCTATATACTACAGCTATTAGATATGATGAAAAGGAGACTCTGTTGATGAAAAACAATGCTTCCCTTAATGCTTCAGTCCTGCTAGTGTAATTGTTCCGGCCTCAGCCAATTCATATGCCAAGTTTTCCAAGATGCCCATCTTTGCTCCAGGCTCTCTGCCGTATATCCTCGAATGGGGGACACTCAACTTGGTCTCCTTACCGCCCGGAAGGCCCTGGCCGGAAAGATAGACGGCCGCGTTCGACAGAGCGCCAAAGTGCTGTCCGATGAAGCCCTCAACAGGCTCGGGCTCGCTCGGAACGGCAACTTCTCCGGCAACGCCAAACGCTACGCCGGGGGTGAATGGTTCCGTAATGTTGGGAAGAACGGGTGCAGACATGAAGAACTGGATCTGGGACCCTTGAGGGGTGAAGCCTCCGCCGTTCATCGACTGCATGAAGTTGTTCATTTCTTCTTCCTCGGACAGGGAAAAGTGCGTTCGCTGAGGGTCGAGAGATAGGAGTCCCTTTTTGGCACCCCAGCCGCCACCGCCGCTCACTATGCATTGAGCATTAGCATCATGAATTGAAAGACACATGTTGCTAATCCCCCTTCCTTGAGGAATGACGTATACTTACAGATCTTGTATAACCGGCCGCCATGGCTATAGAGCTGTTTGAGATGCTGAGCGGTTGCTTTGACAGTGTCCCTGATATCATCGACATCTGGGAGCGCTGCTAGAGGCTCAGGGGCTTCCTCGAGCCACTCTTCCAGTGTGCTCGACGTCTCCGGATTAGGGGTTACCATTGCCCAGACCCCCACAGGGCCAGACAAGATGCCCGAATGGGCATTCTGCTTGTGAAGTGCGTTCACAACTTCCTCCAGCTCTGTAGAAGCGGGAATGGTCTTGCCGTCGACTTCGATTCCTCGGATGATGTTACCGAAGCTTTCAGTCACAGTCCGAGGGTGTGTCAAGGGTATCAAGGGCGCCCACATGTCGAGATGGGCTAACGAGTCAAGGTCCTCGTCTAATGAGACCCTCACAAACTGTGAATGTTTCCACATTTGCCGAGTAAGCTGCGTGGTACTTGAGGTCAAGTCAAACTCGGAGAGCAAAAGTGTAGACGCTCGATTGTTGTGGAACGTGGTTCTCGCCAGGGGCAGCGTCAATGCGGGATCTCCCAAGCTGAAGGTCAGGGCAGAGACTGAATCCGCATCGTCTTTTGGCTTCGGAGGCTGCTGATGCCACAGGTACGGCAGCATGTCGTCTAGATGGCCTCGCAAGACGGACACGCCCTGCAGAGGCCTGAGTGATCCCGCCGGGGCTGCCAGATGGTCGACCACTGCGCTCAACACGTGGAACTTGCCCACGTCTGCTGAGCCAGCCATGAACCTGGCAAATTCCTTCATTACAGGGGCGTTTTCCAGGTCTTTGGCAAAGTTTGGCGTTGTGAGGAGCACGGCGGCATTGTGGCCATCGGCGTTGTCCAATATTTTCCTTCCTCTGAGCTTTCCAAAGAGCTCGTCATAGTTGATCTAAGCGAGGAAGAGTGTGAGCAATTCTGTCCGAAGGATTCAGGCAGGACTGTTGAGTCACCTGTCTATTCTCCGGTAGCGCGTATGTGAATCTTGTCTGACATTTTCCGGGATTGCTTGAATAGCATCTTCTGAGATGTGATGCGCCTCGCCTTGGAAGCAAGCTTCTCACAGCTTGTGGGGATGCCCGGAAGATCATCTCTCTGAAAAGATCAGTCCCGAGCAGTATAAACTTTCCTCTTGATGAGCAATCAAGAACCCTCTCTGTGACTCAAATAGATCCGTTGACCCCGAGAGAAGGATCAAATTATACGGCTTCGACAGAGAAGGATGATGACCAAGTCTGAGATTGACTCTGAGTGTATACATAGAATACGAAATCCCATGTAAGAGCAGCTGTGGCTTGACTGTGGCTAGACTGCCAATTCCAGCAGTTCTACCAACTGAACCCCGCGGCACCGCCACACCCCTCAGCACATCCCACCTGATAAGATGCCATGACTCAAATTTCAGACCAGGAATCTCTGACTCTGAATCCGATAACGCAAAACAGAGCCAGTCCAGTCATTTTCTCTCTTTTCATAAAGGGCCAGTTCTTGACGCTTAGGATCGACGAGGAGGCCAATTTGCTCTGCGGCTTCCCCCGAATTCCATCCAGCACGACGTTCAGAATCGCGGCCCGAGCACTTCGAGTGCGGCCACTTATTTGTCCTGCAACCGCAACTGCAAGATCTTTCACCGGCACACGTGCGATCATGGCGACCAACTCTGCGCGAGGAATCCCCAGTATGTCGTGGCCTTCTTTGGGTCTGTCGCATAGCTGGAGAGGAATAAGTCACTAATGGTTGCGATACAACAGTCCCGGGCACCGAGGGCATCCAGGAGAGCACCACCGTGCCTCCCAACGTCTCCAGCGAGGTCAAGCAGGAGGTTGCCGCCTCGACGCAGTCTGCTGCTCCCGGAGAGCATGCCTCCGGTCAAGACGCCGGCGTCGTGCCAGCTCCCGAGGGGCCTCAGAAGGTGAAATCTGAGAAGGAGTGTAAGGATCCCCGAGCTTCTATCCCAATCTCCCAACCCAGAATCGCTGCCAAAGGGTTACCGATCTGACCTGTTCGTGTAGTGGAAAAGGAGCGCAAGAAGGCTGAAAAGGCCGCCAAGCTCGAGGCCAAGAAGGCAAAGGCTGCCGCCGCCGCCGCCGCCCCCGCCAAGGAAAAGAAGGCCAAGAAGGAGAAGGCCGAGGAGGAGCCGCTGCCGGCATACGTCGAAGATACCCCCGTTGGAGAGAAGAAGCGCATCCGATCGTTCGACGACCCCCACTTCAAGGCGTACAACCCCGTTGCCGTCGAGTCCGCTTGGTACAGCTGGTGGGAGAAGGAGGGCTTCTTCAAGCCCGAGTTCACCCCGGAGGGAAATGTCAAGGAGGAGGGCAAATTCGTCATCGTCCACCCGCCTCCCAATGTCACCGGCAGCCTGCACATGGGACATGCCCTCGGTGATTCGCTTCAGGATCTGATGATCCGCTGGAACAGGATGCAGGGCAAGACTACCCTGTGGGTCCCTGGCTGTGATCACGCCGGTATCTCAACCCAGAGCGTTGTCGAGAACATGCTGTGGAGACGGAAGCAGCAGACCAGACACGACCTCGGCCGAGAGAAGTTTGTCGAGACTGTCTGGGAGTGGAAGGAGGACTACCACAAGCGCATCAACAAGGCTTTGACCAGCCTGGGAAGCTCGTTTGACTGGAGCCGAGAAGGTGCGTTATGACGGCAATAAATGGAATGGCATTGCGACTAACAACAGGCAGCGTTCACCATGGACCCCAACTTGACAAAGGCCGTCAATGAAACCTTCGTCCAGCTCCACGAGGATGGCATCATCTACCGCGCCAACAGACTCGTCAACTGGTGCACGCAGCTCAACACTGCTCTTTCAAATCTCGAGGTCAAGAACAAGGAGCTCACTGGAAGGACGCTGCTCGATGTCCCCGGATACGACAAGAAGGTCGAGTTTGGTGTCATTGTTCACTTCAAGTACCCCATTGAGGGCAGCGATGAGACCGTCGAGGTTGCCACGACTCGTATCGAAACCATGCTGGGCGATACCGGTATCGCGGTTCACCCCAAAGACGCCAGATATACCCATCTGGTCGGCAAGAATGCTGTCCACCCGTTCATCCCGGGCCGCAAGCTGCCCATCATTGCCGACGAGTATGTCGACATGGAATTCGGAACTGGTGCTGTCAAGCTGACGCCCGCCCACGACCCCAACGATTTCAACCTTGGTCAAAAGCACAACCTGGAGTTTATCAACATCCTCACTGACAATGGGCTGATGAACGAGAACGCCGGACCGTACCAGGGCCAGAAGCGTTTCGACGTCAGATACGCCATCCAGGATGCTCTGAAGGAGAAGGGCCTGTATGTGGACAAGAAGGACAACCCGATGACGGTCCCACTGTGTGAGCGGTCCAAGGACATCATTGAGCCCATCATCAAGCCCCAGTGGTGGGTGAGGACGAAGGAGCTTGCTCAGGAGGCTCTTCGGGCTGTTCGGGAGGGCGAGATCAAGATCCGACCCGAGAGCGCAGAGAAGAGCTACTACCGCTGGCTTGAGGACATCAACGACTGGTGCATCAGCCGACAGCTGTGGTGGGGCCACAGATGTCCTGCGTACTTTGCCAAGATCGAGGGCGGCTCCGACGGCATCCCTGAGGAGAAGCTCTGGTTTTCTGGGCGAAACAAGGAAGAGGCGGAGAAGAAGGCCCAGGCGGCGCTGCCTGGCAAGACCTTTACTCTTGAGCAGGACGAGGACGTTCTCGATAGTGAGTTGATGCTGCGTCCAGAGCGTATTCCGAGCAAAGACTAACACAGATGGTAGCCTGGTTCTCTTCTGGCCTGTGGCCGTTCAGCACATTGGGCTGGCCCGAGAAGACGCCTGACTTTGAGAAGCTGTTCCCTACGAGCATTCTCGAGACTGGCTGGGATATCCTCTTCTTCTGGATTGCCAGAATGATCATGCTCAGCCTGAAACTAACAGGACAGGTTCCCTTCAAGGAGGTGTACTGCCACAGTCTCGTCAGAGACTCCGAGGGCCGGAAAATGAGCAAGAGTCTGGGCAACGTCATCGACCCCCTGGATGTCATCTCCGGCATCAAGCTGGAGGATCTGCACGCAAAGCTCCTTCAAGGTAACCTGCACCCCAGCGAGGTCCAGAAGGCGACCAAGTACCAGAAGTCTGCCTTCCCCGATGGCATTCCTGAGTGCGGAGCTGACGCTCTCCGCTTCACCATGATCAATGCCACAACTGGTGGTGGCGACATTAACCTGGAGATCAAGATGTAAGCAGGCTACGAAATCGATCCTCTCATCTCAGCTAACAACGATTTTTAGTATCCACGGTTACCGAAAGTTCTGTAACAAGATTGTATGTCACTCAGACGCAACTCCCTCCTTCTTCCTCAGTGCTAACACCATCATCAGTTCCAAGCAACCAAGTACGTTCTGGGAAGTCTGCCCAAGGACTTTGTTCCCTCAAAGACCGGGGCCGTGCCCGGCAAGACTCTGGCGGAGAGATGGATCCTTCACAAGATGAACCAGGCGGCCAAGGAGATCAACATCGCCCTTGCTGACCGGGAGTTTTCAAAATCCACCATCATCGTTTACCGATACTGGTACAACGAGCTCTGCGACGTGTACATTGAGAACTCCAAGGCCATCATCCGTGATGGCACCGAGGAGGAGCGCAACTCGGCTATCCAGACGCTGTACACTGCTCTGGAGGCCGCGCTCACCATGATTCACCCCTTCATGCCGTTCATCACCGAGGAGATGTGGCAGAGAATGCCTCGGAGACCCAGCGACGAGACCAAGTCCATCATGGTGGCCAAGTATCCCACTTACAACCCTGTTCTCGACGATCCCGAGTCCGAGCGGGCCTATGAGCTTGTGCTCGACTGCAGCAAGGCTTCGCGATCGCTCATGGCCGAGTACGCCATCAAGGAAGACGCCGAAAGTAAGCCAATAATATCCCACTTCCAAAATGATGTCTGTTTCATCTTACTAACCTGGCATCCAAAAACAGTCGTCATCCAGGCGTACAATGCCGAATCCCTCAAGACCTGCCAGAACGAAGTCGCCTCCATCAAGTCCCTCAGCGGCAAGAGCGTCAAGACCATGCAAGTCGTCGGCCCCGACGCCCCCCGCCCCCTCGGCAGCGTCGCATACCCCGTTTCCACCGCCGCCTCCGTCTTCCTGCACGTCAAGGGCCGCGTGGACATGGACGCCGAGATCGCCAAGGCGCAGAAGAAGCTCGAGAAGACGGGTGCCAACATCCAGAAGCAGGAGAAGCTCCTTGCGGACCCCGGATACAAGGAGAAGGTCTCGGCGGCCGTTCAGGAGGGTGACCTCAAGAGGCTGGCTGATGCCAAGCAGGAGAAGCACAGCCTGGAGGAGACGATTAAGCAGTTTGAGCAGCTCAAGTTGGAGTAAAAAAGACAGCGTTGGCCTGTTCTGTGCCCTGATGTTTTATTGAAAGGGCTACAATCCTCATGTAGACAGACGAAAAGAGTAAAAAGTCTGTTAGTTAGAGTACAAGACTAAAAATCATCAAGGAATAAAAAGGAGCTGTTCACAATGAGGCACAGAATTGTCGTGTCATATTATTGACCTATTTATATAAACCCAAACTCCCCGTCCAGCCCGCCCTTGGCGTAAAACAAAAATCTAAATAGCCAGTGATTTTGAACAATGAGCAAATTCCCAGCGTCGCAAGGGGATCGATTGATCCTTCTTTAGAACAGTTTACCAATTTCCTTTACCTCCTCCCCCTTTACCGCCCTCGGCAGCAGCAGCCTCATCCCTCCTACTGGCCCCCCCACGAACGGGCCTCGACTGCGCCGCCTCATGCCTCTTCAGCTCGTCCGGCACCTTGGAAATGGAGCTCTTGCTCAGCATCTGCTTGAGATCGTACAGCACGTCCGCGTCCTCGTTGCCCAGGAAGGTAATCGCCACACCGCTCTTGCCCGCACGACCCGTACGACCGATGCGGTGCGTGTAGCTCTCGATGTTGGTGGCCATGTTGAAGTTGACGACGAGCGAGACGTCGGGCACGTCGATGCCTCGGCCGGCAAGATCCGTGGCGACGAGGACCTGCGTCTGGCCGGAGCGCACGGACGCGAGGGCCGCCTCTCGCTGCTCCTGCGTCTTGGAGCCGTGCAGCGTGACGACGGACCAGCCCATGGCCTTGATGTCGCGGGCGACGGCGTCGCAGTTGCGCTTGATGTTGACGAAGACGATGATGGGCGGCGCGAACTGGCCCGAGGACAGGATCTCCTGGAGGCGCTTCTTGCGGCGGTCCTCGCCCGAGACGAACTCGACGCGCTGCTCGACCGTGTCGACGGCCTCGCCGGCGTTGCCAATGGTCACGATGGCCGGGCGGCGGAGGTACTTCTTGGCAATCTTCTCGACCTGCGGGGGCATCGTGGCCGTGTACATCATCGTCTGGCGGTAGCGGTCCTTGCCGCCCACGTAGCGCTTCATGAGCTGTGCGTTCTCGGCGTCGTCGGTGTCCGGCTTCTCGTTGGACACGGGCAGGGCGTCGAGGATCTTGTTGACGGAATCTTCGAAACCAAGGTCGATCATGCGATCGGCTTCGTCCATGATGATGTAGCAGCACTGGACCAGGACGAGCAGTCTCCGCTCGATGCAGTCCACCAGACGGCCGGGCGTCGCGACGATAATCTCAGCACCGTTGCGGAGCGCAAAGGCCTGCTCTTCGAGCGAGTGCCCACCGACGATGCTGACACACCTGAAGCCCAGAGGCTCGGCAAACTTCTTCGCCTCCGTCTCGATCTGCTGCACCAATTCACGGGTCGGTGCGATGATGAGCGCGTACGGGCCGTCGTTCTTGTTGGCCTCTGTGAGAGGCGGCAGGTCGGAGATGTAGACCAGCAGCGGCAGTAAAAAAGCGGCAGTTTTACCGGAACCTGTGACGGCAACTCCAATAAGATCGCGGGCTTGCAGGGCAATCGGGATGGCTGCTCGCTGGATAGCAGAGGGTTCCTTGTAGCCAACGCGGTCCACGATGTCCAAGAGACGCCGCGGCAGCCCCGACTCCTCCCAGTTGCGCATGGGATTCGGAATGGCGCCGCCCTTGGTGGAGATGCCAAAGTCCTCCTTGAAGATGCGCCAGTCTCGCTCGCGCATCTCGCTGAGCGCCTTTTCCGACCAGTGCCGCCCCAGGCCCGTCCTCTCGGCCCTCTCCCTCGCCCTGTCGCGCGCCCTGTAAAAGTCTTCCATGATGCCGATCGCCCGCTCCCTGCCGTGCTCCGGATCGCGCTCCTCAATCATCTTTGCTCGCTTGCGCGCCCGCTGCTCGGCCTCCTTGTCGAACTCGCCACCGAGGCCGGCCAGGGAGCCGCCTCGGTTGACACTCTGGCTCGCGTACAGCGGGTCGTTGTCCCTCGACGTGTCCTCGTCCGCGTCCCACTCAAAGTTGAACTTCTTCTCCGTCGTCCGCATGCGCTTCTTCTTGGCCGAAAAGGTAGACTGCTGGTTGACCTCTGGGCCGAGGTACCGCGACCGCAGCAGCGAGTCTTCAATGTCCGCCGCCGAGCGCTTGACCCCCTCCGTCTTTGCATTCTTCTTTCCCTCTCCTCGCCCCCTCTCATCACGGCCACCTCTGCCACCGCCCCCGCCGCTGCTGCCTCCGTTTGGCGGGTTCATGGCTCTCGGGCCTGTAGGAGGCGCCATGCCGTTGGGAACGCCATTGGAGCCGTTCGCGAGTTGCCATTTCCTTTCTTCTTCTCGGCGCTTCTGTTCTTCTTCTGCTGCCTTGCGCCGCTTTTCCTCTTCCTCTTGCTTCGCTTTCTCGGCCGCTAGTCGTTCGCGTTCCGCCTTGGGGATGAATCTGGGTTTGGCCGCAGCAGCATCGGCCGCCTTCTTTTTCCTGAGAATCTCCTCGATATCGAGGGGCATTTCGAATAGGGTATATAATTTCTTCAATAAAAAGAGAGAAAAGAGGAGGAAACTTGCGGATCCAGTTGTGCAAAAAGAAGGATAAAGGTTTCAAGATGTTGACGTGAGAATGGAGCAGGAGCGAGAGTAGGAAGGCAGACAAGGCTACCACTTACGGCGGACAGCTAGAGATCCACTCTCCAAAGCTGCCCAATGATATCGCTCGTCAACAAGCGGGTCCCTGCTAGTGCATGCTCAGCCTTGGGGATCTCGAAACCGACTCAAATTGGGGAAACCTCGAAAAAAGAAGCCTCCCCGCGACCAGCTGCCGGGGATCTTTTCAGCACAAGCCATTGCGCCCCCCCGAAAACCACCGCCAGGCCGATGCCCTCATAGCCGACGAACCCCAACATCATGGCCTCCACCAGCAGTTTCGTCCAGCTCGCAAAGAGCCTCCCCGAGCCGCTGCAGCGCTTCTTCGCGCGCTGGCCCCCGGCCTCGCTCGTCGCCCCCGGCACCCCCCCGACGGCCTTCCAGGAGCAGCGGCCGAACCCGTTCCGCTTCTACAAGCACCCCGTGACGGGGCGGTGGCAGGACCCCGTCTACTCGCAGCGGCGACAGGCGCAGCTGGTGAAGCTGGCGCGGGAGCACGGCGTCGAGGAGCTGCTGCCCGAGACGACCAAGGGCACCGAGTACAGGCTGGCGCATCGCGTGGAGCACGGCCTGAGGGTCAAGGGCACGGGTGTGGGCCAGAAGGTCAAGGGTCACATTCACGAGCGACACATGATTGCAAAGTATGTTCCATGTCCTCTTGGCTTTCTTTTTTGCTATTGTTTGATTGCCGAGGGCACACACGACTAACACCACTTGTTTAGGATGGAACAGAGGAGAAAGGCCATGTTGGATATGCCCAAGCTTATCCGGGCCTGGAAGAGTGTAAGAACCACCTCCTTTTCTGTATAAGTGTGTACAGAGACAAGAAGCTGACTTTGAAACACGCAGATCGGGAAGAGAAACTGGACAAAGTTTCCGAAATAAACGTCACGACGCAGAACAGAATTCCCTTGTCCCTGGCGATTATGTGCATACGCCATGTATTTCTATGTACAACAATGAGAAACGAATACGCAGATTCACTCCCAGACTCCTTTCCAAAGCTCATCTGTCTCTCCGTGTGATCAATATGATTTCCCGTCGTCTCGTAAACGCAAAAGCTCATCCATCACGTGATCTTGCCATATCTAATTTTGCCGCCTCAAACACCTTCAATATAGCATCCCAAAAGCCATAACTCACGACCGAATCATGCTGACAGACATGTCATGACATATATCTTTGTTCCCTTCGAATCTCCCATCTTCTCCTATCGATGGAATCCATGGCCGTCTCCTCACCAACCCACTACGACGTCCTCAACCTCACCCCCTCCGTCCTCAACTCCCAGCATGACCCCTCCACGCTCATAAAGCAAGCCTACCGCAGAGCCCTCCTCCGCCACCACCCCGATAAGGCTTCTGCTTCCACTACTCCCTCAGTCTCATCATCATCATCATCAACATCATCATCACTCTACACAATCGACCAAATCACAAAAGCCTTCACAGTCCTCTCATCCCCCTCCCAACGCAGCACCTACGACGCAGCCCTCCGCCTCAGCAGAGCCAACGGCGGAGCTACTACACAGGCACGCTTCCAGACGGGCATCGAAAACGTCGATTTGGATGATTTGCAGTTCGACGAGGCCGAGGGGCGCTGGTATAGGTCCTGTCGCTGTGGGAACGAGCGCGGGTATTCTTTTGATGAGGAGGATCTAGAAGGGGTCGAGCAGGAGGGAGTGCTCATGGTTGGGTGTCACGATTGCAGCCTTTGGCTAAAGGTTCACTTTGCTGTAGCAGAAGAAGTTGGAGAGGCGGGTGATGGGCAGACGTCGATATCAAATGAAAAAGATCTCAGCTGACTACATCTTTTGGCCAAAGCATAAACGCTCCAACACATATCACAGCGACAACCTAGGGATTAATGAGGAACGTAGGCAACAAGTATGAGCGAGCATTGTTAGGCAGAAGGAGTTTTGGTAAAATAAAAGTGATATTATAAAGCAATTTTAGTAGTTTTTATTTTGTCCAGACGGTACGCATCAAGAGTCTAAAAGCAGAACCTTCAATATGCTCTTCTTCAATCCTCCCTGCCGGTCCGTTGAGAGGGGGAACCAAACCGGTTCTCTCCCCGAAAGTGATTTGCGTGTTTACCTAAACGATGCCGAAGCTCTTGATCAAAAAACGAAGTCTTCCATCCACTCCGTAGACACCAGCCCATCCCATACCAAAGCGACCAAAGCCTATAGATTCACCCCCGTTCCCCCAACTGACTTTACTCAGCCTTGGGCTCTTCGGCGGGAGCAGCGGCCTCGGCAGGGGTGTCCTCCTTAGGGGGGGCCTCGGCTTGGCCGGCAGAGGTCTCAGCCTCAGAAGAGGTCCAGAGGGTCTTGAACGGCCAGTTAGCAAGATACGCAGTCAATGGATAGGGTTTATCAACGTACAAGGTTGTCACGGAGGAGCTGCATGATGAGGGTGGAGTCCTTGTAGCTCTCCTCGCTGAGAGTGTCGAGCTCTGTGGCATCTTGTCAGTAAAGGTCAATCATGGTCGCGAAGCAAGTGAGAAGGCAGCTGATCAGGACCAAGGATTGGTCCTTTTCTTTCCTTCTCCCGCTTCGACTCGCATTCAGGAGCAGGCAAACATACCGGCAATGGCATCGTCAAAGGCCTGCTTGGCAAGGTGGCAAGCCTGGTCGGGGGCGTTGAGGATCTCGTAGTAGAAGACGGAGAAGTTGAGCGCAAGACCCAGGCGGATGGGGTGGGTGGGAGGCAGCTCGGTCTGGGCAACCTCGGTGGCCGCCTTGTAGGCCTCGAGGGACTTGTCGGCAGAGTCCTTGCGGCGGTCGCCAATGGCGAACTCGGCAAGGTAACGGTGGTAGTCACCCTTCCTGCAGTGGGAAACAAAATTAGCTCAGCTCGGCAAGTGCAGCACGGGAGCAGCAAGGGATGCGCACATCTTGTGGTAGAAGACCTTGGACTCGCCGGACTTGGCAGAGGGGATCAGGTGCTGGTCGAGGACCTCGAGGATGTCGTCGCAGATCTTGGCGAGCTCGGCCTCGATCTTCTGGCGGTACTCCTTGATAAGGGCGACCTGAGAAGAGTTGCCCTTAGACTCCTCCTTCTGCTCGATAGAGGTGACTATTCTCCAAGAGGCACGGCGGGCGCCAATGACGTTCTTGTAGGCGACGGAGAGGAGGTTGCGCTCCTCGACGGTCAGGTCGCGGTCCTCGGAGGCGACAATCTTCATGTTCTCAACCATCTCTGTTGAGCAGCTTCGGTCAGCGCGATCGATCCTATCGGGCGGCGGGGTTCAGAGATAACACAAAGCTGAGCTACTCACCCTCATATCGCTCGGCCTGCTCGGCGAGCTTGGCCAGGTAAACAGCATCTTCGTGACCCATTTTGACGGTAGGTTGTTTTGCTTTTCTGGTGTTTTAAATGAAAGCTGAATTCCTTATCAGTCAGCAGGTTGTAACGCGTCGGAGAAATGGCGTAACGCAAGTGGGAGACGGTTCAAGGGGAATGGCGAGCGTTTTTAACAGAGGGAATTCCGCAAAAGGCAAGGGGAAGAAGAAGGGGGGGAAATCAGACAAGGGACACAGAGCAAGGCAGCAGCCACAGCCTCGTCCAGCAGATAAAAAAAGTGAATTTCTGCAGAACGGAACAGGCGCCGTGGCAGGAACAATGTGCCGCAGGGCTGACTCTGCGGACGAGGCCCAAAGTGAGGCTTGCTCTGCTCCCCCGCTCCTTAAACCCCTTTGGTGGGGTTTCGACACAGACAAAGAGGTGTAGTGTAGCGAATGCGCCAGCTCCCGCGGCAGCCAGGCAGCGCCCCAATGGGCAGAGACGAGGCCATCCCCAGGTCCCCGATGCGCCGACACAGTCGCTGAGCAGCTGTTGGGGCGTCTCAGCGCGATTGCCGGCTCTGGCTGCGCTGCCTGTTGCGTGCCCAGGGGGGCCAGCCCATGACGACAGCGAGGAGGGGCGCGCGCCGTGCCATAAGGCGCTCACCCAGAGCAGAGCGGCAGCTGGGCGGGAGAAGGAGGATGCACTGGCTCGAGGGGAGAGGAATGACGGGAGCGACAAAATCAATCCGGCAGAGCTGCAGAGGACGGGGGGAGGATACGTACGTACGATGAGGCGCGGGTTCGGACAAAAAGGGGGGTGTTTGTTGCTTCGTTGAGAGAGAAGGGAAAAGGGAAAGATTTCAAGCTGTTGATGATGGAAGGGGTCCCAGTTATTAGCCAGCGCATTGATTCAGAGGCCCAGCGGCCCAGTAGCGGTTTGTCCAGCGCCATGGCAGGCCTCACGTGCCGCGCAGGCCTGTCCCTTTCAGGGCTTGTGGGTGCTGGCTGGTGCCAAGGTGGGCAAGGTACCGGTACGCGGGAGTACCTGCGCGGGTGCTCAGCGACGCGGCTAGCGTGCGTGGCCAGACTCGCAATCTCGTACCGGCAGGTTCCCACGCCCACCTCCTCAAACCGACCCTGTCTCATCACGTCACCAAGCACCTCACGGAGTTTGGGGGGCACAAATGCACCAGACAAGGCACATGTAGTTGTACATGCCTCCATGCCTCCAGTCTGCAGCTGCAGCAGTCCACGGGTTGACGGGCGACCTCTTTGCCTCCAGAGCCAACGGGCATCGAACTCGTTGAACCTTGACCTGCCATACAATGCGTTGTTAGTGGGTGGCGTTGACGTCTTGCCGTCTATCTCCAAGTACCGACTTCGACGACCAGCAACTTGACCTCTCCAACGTCCTCCTCGGTGTTGAAGAGAGGCGCTAAGCTGACCCGTGGCCGTGGGTTCGTCATCGTCACTCCAGCCGCTATGCTGTGCCTTGGTTCTCTACTTGTCCTTCCCCCTCTTGTCGAAACGACACTTCACGGTGCTGCCTAGAGGTAGGTACTAGGTATTACTATCGATCATGGCAGCCATTCTGCATCGCCATCCTCATTCGCGGATACAGTACATATTACACAAGACCAGGAACATCTGAAGACGAGGCTCTGAAGATGCGGTCACGCGGCTGGGGCCAGATTGTCAAGGCTCAGTGCTGGGGGCCCCGAGATTGCGGCCTTGTCGAGCAACGACCGGTTCATTTCCCTCGATCCCGGACGGCAATCCAGCTCCATGCGCTGCTCCGCTCTAGGATGCTTTGGGATGCAGCCAATCTCTGTGCGAGCCACCGGCACATATGAGGACTTGCAGCACTTTAGACCAACAAGCGATGGCTCAGTATAGTACTCGTAGTAGTTGCAATTCTATCCCAGGTAGGATCAACTCCAGGTGGTTCGAGTTGAGTGCGCGGAGTCTTTTACCCATGGCGATCCTTCTTCAGCTGCTCCGCCTTCTCTGGCCTGTCCCATCAACTACTCGTACCTTATGCGTTATTGCTATAGTTGAGACTCAGTACCATCTCAGCCAATGACGACGAGTAATATTGTTGCTCCTGATACAGTTACAGAACGCTCAATATATTTGGTAGGTTAGTAGGTAGCTGGACTAGTAGTTGCTGCTTCACGCAATTGCGCCTTTCGAATATGCTTCGATTCGCTTCTACCGCCAAACAGGCACGCACTAAAAACACAACCTTGAGCGTACCGAGATATCCCGGCATCCACATCAGACATCAGATGCTCGTTCAACGGCACCCCGTCAGTCCACCGCATTATCTGCTCGTATCGTGATGTAAGCTTTTTGGTGTGATCAACCTCGATCGTATCGCGGGACACGATGGCTTTTCTGAAAGGCAATTGAATCTTCCCCCCCCCCTGGTTGGTTATTCACATAAGCGGTGCTATGCCTGATGCCTCCAGTTGGCCGTCAAATCGCATTCACGAAAGGATAGATATGTAGAGGTCGGGCACCCGGTCTTCACCATGGAAATGGCACCGAATAGCTCTTGCGTAACATCTGCGTCCTCATCTCTTCTCCAACAAAGTCTTAATACCAGCTATTTTGAATGTAAAATACCATTTCTGATCCCCATCTACAAGACGGCATCACCAATATTATCCCCCGCCCCGAAAAAGCAGCACCGCCACTAATCCCAATGTGCACACGCCCATCGTTCGCATCGAACCACTCGATTGCAGTATGACGCTCATTCAACCCCTCAGACCATCCAGCCCTCTCTGTAGGTACCTCCTCTAGCACTAGACCTCAGCTCCAGTTCCTCAGGCCAGAAGCTCCAACCGCTCACAGCACGGTCCTGTCTTGGTACTTGTTACGTAGTACCTCCACGGCAAGCCGGTTATTATAGTAACCTCTATAACCTCTAATTCTTTTCTTCCCCTCCAACAAAAAGACACTTCCTTCAACAACAACAACAACAACCACCTCGCAATCCCTCCGAACAACCACAAAAATGCTCCGCACAACCCTCACCAAGACGGCTGCCTTCCGTCCCCTCCGCGCCGCATTCAGCACCACCGCTCGCGCCATGGGCGAAGGCGACACCGGCGCTCCCCCCAAGACCGGCGGCACAGGGTAAGTTTCTTGTCGAGAGAGAGAGCGCAAAAATTTACCTCTTCGAATTGCTTCTCGACCCACGATCCCAATTCAAGCTTCTTAGAAGTACTCCATTGCTAATTGGTCAATTTATTTCCGTACAGTGACGCCTTCCGACGCCGCGAAAAGGCCTCCGAGGACTACGCCATCCGCCAGCGCGAAAAGGAAAAGCTGCTCGAGCTCAGGAAGAAGCTGACCGAGCAGCAGGAGCACCTCGATCGTCTCGCCAAGCACATGTACGCGCAAACATCAAATCCCCCCCAATTTTTCCTTTGACTTGACATAGCTTCCCCCCTTTCCCTTCTCATTTCTGGCCTGGGTGTACTCCAAAGACTGACGCATTGTTGCCTTCTTCTGCAGTGACGAGATTACCAAGGAGCAGGGCGGCGAGCAGAACTAAAGAGACGCTGTAAGCGGAACCACACGAGAGAGAGAGAGAGAGAGGCAGACGAGTTCGCCTCATCCAGAAATGATATGAGGGCGGCTCGACTGGGCAGTTCAGATTGTATTACTAGGAGGGAACGACAGCCCTCGGGGGCCGAAATCGCGCTATACATAGTCTTGACATGCTTGCGTATCTTCCCTACCGCTGGTTACGATACCGTTCTGTAGAGCTATACGAGCTCCTCTCCGCTTCGTGGAGGGGTATAAAGAATGAGAATAAAAACAGGCCTACATCAGAAAAGGAAACGAAAGCCAATGTTGTGTCATGTTTCGCCAAACCTACGTCGCTCATGGGCCATGCGCGTGACGAAAAAAGAGAAAAATGCCTTTATTAGATTCAGTCATCCCTGATGCCATCCCGGAACTCCAATTTCAACCATCAATGTCCGATACATGCTTCACCTCCGTCCCATGTAAGATCTATAGAAGCTCTCCGCCGCATCGCTCTCTCCGCTGCCGTAGTGGCTGCCCAGGTTGCTGCTGGATTTCTGTGCCGCCGCGACCTTGGCCTGCAGGGCTGACGAGTTGGCATCGATCCATTGCAGCTGGGTAAGGTGGCTGTTGAGCACACGAACGATTTGGCTCAGCTGCATGGCCATGTTAGCAAAGGTACTCGCCACAATGAGGTTGCTATTGCTGTTGAAACTTACCGGATCCTCAGCCTTGGTTCCCTTGCTCAAAGTTCCAGAGATGTCGTTAATCTCCTTGACCATCTTTGACAGGTCTCGAGACTTCTCGTCAAGCTGCTGGGTAAGCTTCTCGGCTAGCTTATAGGTACGCTCTCGCTCCTGGTCAGGTCCTCCAAGCTGCTCGCCAGGGCCCATCTGCTTGGCAAACATGTCCTGAACTTCTGATTCGTAACGGTTCAGCCAAGCCTCGAGCTCCTCCTGCTGGCTCTCCACAGCAGCCAGCTGGCGCTCAATCTCATGGCTGGCGCGCTCCGCTTCGAAAGTCTCCAGGTACAACTTCTGGATCTTTTCGCCATTGTCCACGAGGTTTCGGTCCCAGTTGGACACAATTGTGGCCTGTTCCTTGAACTGCTTCTGGTACTTTGACAGATCAGAAGCCCACCGAGTGACAATATCCTCCATCGTCTTATTCTTCAACCGGGCCATCTGAGACGGAGGACCGGTGGTGGAAGCTCCCAGTGCGTTAATGGTACTCGTCTGTCCAGCTGGCTTCGCTGCATCCTTGTCACCAGCTGGCTTAGCCCCAAACAAGCCACCAGCCGTAGCGGTCGTAGACGCTGGTGCTGCCGTCGTCGTGGTCGCGGTGGTGGAAGCAGTCGTGGCAGGTTTGGTGGTTGCGGTGGTACCAAAGAGCGAGGTGGCAGGTTTGGCTGTGGTGGCGGTAGAGGACGAGGGAGCCGTGCCAAAGAGGTTGCCAGCTGTGGCAGTGGTTGCCGGGGTTGTTGAAGACGAAGTCGTAGTGGCAGTGGTGCTAGCAGGCTTCAGTCCAAAGAGACCCCCAGCAGATGCGGTCGCTGCAGTAGATCCAGAAGCCGGAGCGGTTGTGGCAGCAGGAGTGGTGCCAAATAGACCTCCACCAGACGTCGTCGCCGGAGTCGTAGATGTGGTGGCTGCAGCCGGCTTGGTCCCGAAGAGCGAAGAGGTTGTTCCGGCAGCGGGCGTAGTAGCGGGTGTAGAGGACGCGGACTGCGCAGAGGTGGTGGCGGTCTTATTGCCAAAGAGCCCTCCGGATGCCGGCGTGGTAGAGTTGGCAGCCGCAGGTTTGGCGGCACCGAACAAGCCACTGTTGGATGATTGAGTTCCACTGCCAAAGAGTCCCGATCCTGACGTGGTAGTAGTCGCAGGTTGTGAAGTCGACGCCGAAGTAGTAGCTGGCTTTGCAGTGTTGCCAAACAAGCCGCCGGCCGGGGTGGTGCTGGTATTGGTTCCAAACAGATTTGAGCCTGCAGTCTTGGCTGTGTTGGGCGGCGGCGCACCCGCGGGGGTCGTCGATCCCAGGCCGAACAAGGGCTTGGCCGGGGTTTCAGTCGCCGGAGTCGTGGGAGTTGGCGTCTTGTTGCCGAAGAGGGAAGAGCCGGTGTTTGCAAACAGGCCCCCAGCAGCAGGTGTCGGAGTTGCAGTTGGGGTCTTGTTGGCATCTCCTCCGAACAAACCCCCAGTAGCCGGTGTGGTCGATGTATCCTTATTGCCAAAAAGACCGCCAGTGGATGGTGCTGCTGTGCTGGTTGTCGCTCCCCCAAACAAGCCTCCTCCCGAGGAAGTGGTCGTCGCGGTGCTCGTACCGCCAAAGAGGCCACCCGTTGCCGGAGTGGTCGAGGCTCCTCCAAACAAGCCACCTGCCGAAGTGGTAGGAGTGGAAGAGGACGAGGCAGCGGCAGAGCCAAAGAGCCCGCCAGCAGCTGGCTTCTGGGCAGCGTTGTTCTGACCTCCGAACAAGGACCCGGGGGGGTTGGTAGCAGGAGTCGTCGTGTTGCCAAAGGAAAACTTGGGCGTGCCAGAAGACGCCGCGGTGCCGAACAGACCTCCTGCGGCCGGCGCCGTGCTCGTCGTCGCGTTGTTGGACGCGGCGCCCGAGGAGCTCGGGGTGCCGAAGCTGAACGACATGGCGATTGGGGTCGTTGATGCTCTGCTTGTTCGAATCGGAAGATCGCGAGAGGTGAGAGGCGTGAGGCGACAGGCAGCTAGATACGTGTAAGCAAGGGGACTTAGCAGGCGTTCATGGCATCCCAAAGCTCAGCCGAGATGCAGGCAAGGAATTGGGGAGGCGTACGAGATTGCCGAAAGCTCAGACCCGTGATGCCTCCGAAGTGAGCTGGAGGAAAACAAATCCTGGGCGGCTCAAGGCTGACGGTTGGCCAGGCGCTTTTTTCGCGGTTCTGTTTTCCTGGAAGCTCAGACCCAGCGCGCGCAGCCGTGCTGTGGCTGGTATCCACTTACATGCCTCCAGCCACGGTTGGCAACATGGAAACCACGGCACCAGCCACACTTTATTCTTACAGGACCTTGGCCGTACCAGTAGTGGCCTTCCCCACGTGACGATAGCACGCCTACCGTCGAGGTGAGGTCCATGCTATGACAACCAATTGACGATTCGAAACAACCTTCATTTCCACGGCCTGGATGCTGTGTCCCTAAGACCCCAACCTGTCCATTGCGAGTACACACCTGTACATACACGACCAAGCCCCTGTGCAACACCGGAATGACCTGAAGGCGTCACCGTATCTGGCCTCGACGCCGTCTGACCACTCGACGTTCGTTACTTCATCAACCACACACCCCGTAATAGCCTCTGCGAATCGAACCCCGGACTCGATACACCCCTGAACCGATTTGCCAATAGCTATTCAGCCTGATAGAGTGCCTTTACGACGCAATGGCGGACTCCCGGGAACTTGAACCCCCGCCGCAGACCCACGTCGAGGACCCGGGGGCCCATCAATTGGGTATGCCTTTGCTCTGGATTGTATAGATCACCTTGTTGTGATCGGAGCATTGCTGACGCTCTATCTTAGCTGAGGCTTCAGATTCGGAGGACCAATTTACAGATGCGCAGTCCGCACCGACGAGCCCTGGTGTCAGCTCACCAGTCCCCAAGACGAGGGTGGAAAGGGTCGACACTGAACCCTCATATGGAGAGGTGCCTGGCACAGGGGCATACCAGAAGAGGGAGCAGGATGCCGAGCCCGACGAGATTGCAGTGATAGCCGGAGACGCTCCTGAGTCTTCGCCATCTGCTCCTCCCGAACCGGGCACTGTGCCCATCACAGTCGTCGAAGAATCTACCGGAGAGTACCCCGGCCAGCACAGCTCAGAGGAGCAGGAGAAGCACAAAGCAGATGCGACCCCCGATATAATCCTGAGCCCTAATGGCGAAATAAGGAATGGCAATGAAGACGCCATCTCGGGTATTTACACTACAACCGGTCCGAAAACTGCAGGATAGCCACCAACTGACTGGTCTCAAGATGCTCCCCTCTCACCCGTCTCGTCTTCAGGCCGCTCTAGGAGAGAATCTCTGGCATCTTCTCAGCCGACAATACTGGCTGCACCACACCAAGAGGCAGGCGACGACGTAGCAGAGGAAGGGCAGGGCGAAGACGATGACTTTGGTGATGACTTTGACGACTTTGAAGAGGGCGGCCACGACGACGACTTTGACGACTTTGAGGATGGTTTTCAGCATGCCCAGCCCACCGAAGCCACGACATCAGTGCCTCCACCAATCCAACCGCAACTCTCACTACCATTTGTACGTACTTGAAAAGATCAGGACTCTTTTTCTCTAAACCGAGCGGCTAACCTTGTAACAGTCGATACCCGATTTCGATGGGCTGAGCCCAGATGAAGTCATTTCCGCAATAGAACCATGTTTACCGAGCCTCTTCCCCCCGGAAGAGCTCGACTTCCCAGCCTTCCCGCAATTACCCAAAGATTCCTCCATCTTTCTTACCCCACGCTCCGCCTCGCTGTGGTCTCAGCTCGTCGCTCCTCCGCCCCTCGCGCCGCCGGATTGGATCCGGTCGCGGACTCGTCGCCTGTTCCTCGTCTCTCTCGGAGTGCCCGTAGACCTGGACGAAATCCTTCCGGCGTCCAAGCAGAAGAAGCTCGTGCTGCCGTCGCTCAACATCCCTGCGACGTCGCCCAGAGGATCGAGCGACCTGCGGTCGACGGCAAGATTGAGACAAGAGGATGGAAACGCCTCATCTACGTCGATAGACTCTCAGGGCAAGCCATCAACATCCAAGAGGAGAAAAGGACCGCCGCCCCAGCCAGAGCTGGACCTAGTGCAGGCAAAACATCTCTGCCAGACGACGGACGAGGCGCTCAACGGCATGACGGACGAGGAACTGAAGCAGCACGTGGCCAAGCTGGAGGCCATGCAGGGGGTGGCCAAGGAGGTGCTGGAGTACTGGACGAAACGGACGGACGAAAAGATTGGGGATCGCGAGGCATTCGAGGGCGTTATAGAAAACTTGGTAGCGCATGCCCGTAAAGTACGCAAGTAGATACTCTCTGTGTTTTTTTCGCTTGATGATATATATTATTGGCTTTGTCCCCCAACCTTTTCCAAGCTCGATTGGTCTACCTCCGTAGTGGTTTGTACTTTTAATTCACCCCCCCTTCTTCTCCAGACTCCACTGCCCCCTTTCATCCCGCCATCACCAAAGATATCACCTCGCGACAGAATCATCTCTAGCTGTAGAGCCCAAATGTCCACTTGACGCCGCTACCTAATCCTAAGGGGGACCCCTTTGTGAGATCCCGTGCTATATAGCTCGCTCTTCTCTGTCTTCGAGCCTAGCTGCTGCTGCCTTCCTATTTCTTCTCCCTCTCCACGCGCTGCAAGGTATGCCAATGAGGACATGATCTTGTTGATACTATGGACCCTAATGGGAAACAAGCTTTTTCAACTTGACTTACAAAAAGGAGAACATCACTTCGTAGACAAGCTTCTAGATCGAGCTACATGTTTATGCTGAGCTGGGCTCCAGAGTCACACCACTAAAATTACACATGTTAGCACCAAAAGGCTTCGAAACATCAAAGGGGTGAGATGATAAAACTTACGCGGCAATCGTAGCCCATCCGATAAGACGCCAGTGCTTGTCGATACGTCGGCTGAGGGCCACCTTCTCACCAATGTCCGTGCAGACGGGGCTGGTCAGGACCAGCTTGGCGGCGTCGTTCTTGATAGCAGCAACCTTGGCACCAGTGGACGTGGAGCCAATGTTGACCATGATGACCTCGTTCTTGGCGAGCTTGGCGACCTTGGCCTGCTTGCCGTCGGCCGTCTTGACACCGAGAAGACGTCGGAGCAGGTAGAAGTTGATCTCAATCTCGCTGTAGATGTCGGGCAGCTTGCCCTTGAGGCCCAGGACGAAACCGACCAGACGATCGGCACGGCAGAGGGTAGGGTCGATCTGGGTACCGACACCAATCAGACCACCGGGCACGGCGTACTTGAGGTCGTTGCCCTCGGAGTTGAGGGAGATGACTCTGCTGAAGAGAGGGGCGCACTTGAGGGCACCGTTGTTGTCGCGCGAGACGATACCGGGGCGGATCTCGATCTCGTCTCCCAGCTTGAGGACACCGTGCAGGATACTGCCACCAGCAACACCACCCTTGAGGTCATCGATTTCAGCACCGGGCTTGTTGACGTCAAAGGAACGGATGATGATCATGCGGGGCTCCATGGAGAGGTCTCGGACGGGCACGGGAATGGTGTTGACAATGGCGTCGAGAACAGCATCCACGTTGACCTTGAGCTGGGCAGAGATGGGGATGACCGGGGACTTTTCGGCAACGGTTCCACGGATGAACTTGAGGATCGACTCATAGTGCTGCTGAGTGACCTCTTCCCTCATCAGGTCGACCTTGTTCTGCAGGATGATGATGTTCTCCAGCTTCATGATCTCGATGGCGGCCAAATGTTCCGATGTCTGGGGCTGAGGGCAGGACTCGTTGCCTGCAATGAGAAGAAGAGCGGCGTCCATGACGGCGGCTCCTGACAACATGGTGCTCATGAGAATATCGTGACCAGGGCAGTCGACAAATCTATGGAAAATCAAGGCATCAGTAAACACATGCACAAAACCCCATATACAGCATAATCTTCCATCGCCTTCCATTGGGACAAGAAGGTGGGATAAGGGGGCGGGGAGAAGGCGAGACGTACGAGACGTGTCGGAGCAATCTGTAGGTGCCACCGCAGCCATCTCTCTCGCAAGGAGGGTCGACCTCCTTCTCACTTCCATAGCTTCGGTAGCAGCCCGGACGAGGGCAGGCGGCGTTGTCGCACTGGTAGATCTTGGCATTGGCGTATCCCAGCTTGATGGTAATGTTTCGGATCAGCTCGTTCTTGAATCGAACGGTCTGGACGCCGGAGATGGCCTTGACGACGGTGGACTTTCCGTGAGCGACGTGACCGATGGTGCCGATGTTGATGGTGGCCTGGCGAGCAATAATCTCTGGCGTGAGGGGTGTCAAGACGGACACATCGAGGTCTTTGGGGTCGGTCTGCGGGGGCAGCGGAGGTTTTACGGCCGCCTGGTTGGGAATGGCGGGGTTGGACTTCTTGAGGGCCGGCTTGAGCGTCTTCTCTTCGGTGTTGTCGACGTTGTCCTGGGCGTCGATGGACTCTCCAGAGTCGGAGTCGGACTGGATGTCGTCGTATTTGGGATCCTCAGACATTGTGGCAGGTTGGGGGGGTGAGCGAGATGAGAGGGTCGGGGTGAATATGCCGAGGCAACGAGAATATGCTGGATCGGAGGGTCGAGATTCTTCAGGACTCGTCTGCGAGAGAGGAGGCGAGGCAATGGATAGTCGGAGGAGATGGATAACAGGCCAGCGCCTACAAGGATTTCGTCGCTATAAAATTGCGGAGGTTTGCAGTTTCGCCGTCGAGTGGTCAAAATTCATCGTGTGCAGCATGATGACTCTTACGCTAAGCCGCGTTGGGCGCGATAGGCTGATAAGGATTCTTGCCCCTCCACGGCCAGAAGTTGGAGCCCCTCTTTTGCGTGAGCAGCGGATTGGTCAAGGCACTCGGATGTAAGAGTCGTGGTAACAATCATGGAACGAATACTATGGAAACGAGGTGCATAGACAGACTGGTTGACAGCTTTTGATCATGGCCCTGTAGAGTCAACAACTTGAGATGCTGGATCAGACAGCATCGAGAGCTGATGATATCGTAGTGGAGGAACAACTCGTTACGATACCATAGGTTAGCATATATACACGGTCAAGGCGGACGGCTATAACTCTCTGCCATGTACGGAGTAAGGTATCTTTTGCTTCGAAGCAGAAGTTGGGGACCTCTTATTTCTTTACCCTCGGAAGCACAGGACTGGTAAGCTGATCTCAGGCTAAGCAATAAGTAAAAATTCAAAGAATTGCGGTTTCAAGCACTAAATGGGCTGTTAGTTGAGTGTTTTGCACCTTCTAGAGTGGAAGAGCTGCTGAGCTTGAAACCAACCGAGCCTGTAGGATCGAGCTATTTATTACCTACCTTACCACCTCGAACCAATGGATGGCAGACACATAGAAATGTAGCTCTTCGAAGCACGTGTGCCAAAACGTCGTCTACTAATGAAACGACAAGCGGAATGAAACAAAGAAGATGATGAAAAGAGCACACAAGAGCAATCCATATACCTATATTCGCCGGCGGCATCTCAACATCGGCAAAGTAGCAGTTCTACCGGTCTGTCGGGATATCTTCAAGGCTTCATCAGGCGTCACAATTCCTTGAGCATGCGCTTCCTAAACAAGTCAAATGCAGCAGCTCTCGCAACGTCATGCTTCAAAGCTCTAAACACATTCCCGGAAGCTATACGATTTAGGCCTCTTGCCGTTGGTCTCAAATATGACTACACCCCGGAGCTGGCTCTTTGCGCAGAGAAAACTGCTACTAAATGCTGACGCGACCTTGCTCATGCCGATGCCGAGGAGTTGCGGGCGTTTTGTGATTTCCCGGTATATGGGACTGTTATGCAAGTAAGGTGATGACAGGTCCCATGGGGAAGATGAAGAAGAAAAGAAAGAAAGATAAGAGTTGGGGGCGATGCAGAAGAGTAAGAATGAGGGGGCGATGTTGCCGGGCTTCAGGTACGAGTTGGGTGTAAGTGGAGGCTTGTGAGTGCGTGTTGTTGTGTTGGTGATGCACTATGCACCATGCGAGGCCTTGCTCTTGGCGTGAACCACCACCTTACTTTGTAGGAATACCTCTCGACCTGGTGGTTGACGATATCCAAGGTATGTAATCATGCTTCATGCCAGCCTGACATAGATAAAACTGACATGTAGGACAAGAAAGCCAGCGCTGTTCCTCGTGGTTGATAAACAATACTGTGTATTCGCTAGGTAAGTAGTAATAGCACGCATCACCGAGAAGACATCGTCGAGGCGCGCACACAAGAAGCAAGGCAGCTCATCGTGACCAAGCACGATGCACGCAAGCGCCCCCATCACCAACCAAGCAGCCGATTGACGTCGTACTCGTCTAAATGGTGGCATGCATAGAGCTTCAGTAGTACGCAGTTCCGATAGTAGTACCTTGCAGTTCGTGCCTCGGACGGCTTGATTACAGGTGCCTGGTACTAGCGACGAAACTCACAGAGAGAAGCACAATGTCAACACGGCACACGGGCAAATTGGTTGACCGCACCCCCCAGGATGTCAATACTAGAGCCGGAGCCGTAATACATACAACATGAAGTTAGCATGGAAATGGCGTAGAAGGCCGTCATGGTCAGCGGACTGCTGACGGGCTTGAGCCGGACCTTTACGCCACGGGCTGCCGTTGGTGCGCGCACAATAGAAAATCCAAGAGAAGGGATTTGATTCTTTGAAGAAGCGAGAAGCACACGCTGTTGTTGAAGCCGACGAAGGGAACACGGCACACCTGGCACGTACAATTACACGTGGCGAACCAGATGAGATGATCAGAAAGGAACAGCAAGACCTGAGAAAATCAGGTTGGCGGGCGGCTGCTGAAGCACAAGGTGGGCTACCGCTCAAAAATAGAAACGAAAGAAAAACACCGAGACATGAACCGACTGATGAACTGAGCAGCAAGCAGTGGGAATCAATTCAAACAAGATGGAAATTGGGGAAAAAAACCACAGACGAATCCCAGCGAGCTGATTGCCGCCGACGGGCTGCAGTGGCTTGCACCCATCACAGGCGTCCTGGCCGCTGATTGGCGGGCACAGAGACATTAGCACCTCCAGCTGCAACCCCTCCCCTGTAAACGGCGGACTTTGAAAGCACGGCAAACAGGCCCTCGAGGGCCCTAAAAGGGTCCCGCTGGACGGCCTTCTGGGGTTGGGCGGCATGGGGCCAATCAGAGGGCGGGACGGGGGGATGTTTGTCTTACTGGAGCTGGAGCGGCCGAGTCAAGGTGAGTCGAGGCGGCAAGAGAAGGAGGGATTTGGGTTGCGTGGCAAGGCGAAAGAAATGAAAGAAAGAGGAAAAAGAAAAGAGAGAAGAGAGGGAAAAGAGAAGAAGGGGACGAAAGAGGGAAAAGACGAGCAAAGGGACGTGGCTTTGCAAGTTCACAGCTACTAGTATTATAGTTGTATCGTAATATGGAGGACTAACACCTTGACGCTTGACAGAGCCAACCCACGAGGTCGTCCAGCCACTTCCGAGGCCGCGCCCGCCAGCAAGGGAACTTCCACCATCTGCTACCTGGCCATGGCCTGTACGAGTACCTTCGGCTCCGGCTGTCACTTTTTGACGATGCGAGCTGTTGGGCCTCCCCCATACCTACTTTAGAGGCCTGAGTGAGATAATAGCGCTGCCGTAGCCTTGCGTGATTGCTGCCCTTTTCTCTCTTGTCTCTGCATCTCCATCTCTCTTCCAAACTCTGCCATCCTTCGTACCCGATAATCGGGACTGTCCGTCATACAGCTCGCCTCTGATCTCACATCTCACCACCTCACACTCTCCTCCTCCTCCTCTCCAGGACCTTACAGAACACAGGCCCATATCGTCCTCGTAACGCACCTCCAATACCACAGACCCGCCCACAGAAGCGCCAATCTGCACAAGGAGGCCCCCCCCAAAAGAGCCAATCTGCATCGCAGCTCCGTCCAGTTCGGCGGCTAACCGCACACGCCTCTCGGAGCATCACACCCTCCAGCCGCCCAGCCAGCTTCGTCCGCCAATAACCATCCACGAAGCAGCCCAAGCAGCCAAGCAGTAACGAGGGCATCCCCAATACTTTGCCATCCCGTCTCCCGGTCCAGTTACTTTTTTGTAGGAGCCGTATTCGGGGGTCCCCCCCTGGCCAATACTATCGACGTACACACACACACACCCAATCCAAGAGGCCAGGCAAGGAAGAATACAGACCTACTTACCTTGAGCACCACGCAAAGAAATCACCGGGTCCCGGCTCGTGCAGCAGAAGCGAAAGAGCTGCATCTGCAATCTGCATCATTCCTCCTTCTCTCTCCACGCGGTTTCTTTTCTTAGCCGCCGCCTCGCCTCGTCTTGTCGTCGAATGAGCTTGTCGCATCTGCTTGTCCTCGGCGGCCCTCAAAACACTTGCACTCCCGCTCCTCATCCGCGCCTTTGGAGTCCTCCCTCTTCTCTTCTTTTTCCTCGATAGCTGGACTCACCACACTTTTTTCCCCCATCGTGATTATTGTATACTGTTGTTGCTTTAACTGTCTCTTCCATTGTTTCCCTCTCTCTCTTTTTTGCTTGTTCTTGTTACGAGGCCTTCTGTCGACTGGGTCGAAGAGTCTGGGTTCCTCGAGTGATTGACTTACACCATCACCACCACCATCACCGACCAACGCATATCCCCCCCAATACAAAACACCAACACATAAATAACAAAGACACAAAAAGTCCACCATGGACAACTCAGGTCCGTCTACACTGACGCAGGAGACGATGCCGCCTCTAGAGCAACCGAAAGGTGCTGCTGCTGCTGCTATTGAGACAGCCGCCATTGACACGCCCTCGCCCGCAGGCTTCAACTTTGGCGAAAAGAAGCGGCCCGCCGCCCTCAACCTCACACACAACCGCACCGCCACATCGTCAAGTTCCTCGTCAGAGAGCTCGCTCAAGGTGCCCCGGACGCCGCGCTTCGCCGAGGCCACGTCCGTCCACTCGCCCATCGAGAGCGGCGCCTCGCCGTTCGCCGACCCCGTCGTCAACCCTCAGTCCTCCTCAGACGCCCACCAGCCTGGCGATGTCGGCTTCGGATACATCAGCAACTCGGGTAGCGACCGCGAGTCTATCAAGATGCCAAAATCGCCTCTCAAGAGCGCCATGAGGGTGCCTGGCACGCCGGCGAGGACCCTCAACATCATGAGCCCTACGTTTCGCGAGGAGGAGATTCTGGAGAAGCGGGAGCTCGAGACGGAGAAGGAGCAGGCCAAGGATCTGGTGCGTTTCTGCTTGGGAACATGGAGGAAATCCATCTTCATGCATCTTGATGGAAAGAAGGGACACTGACACAAATATATCACAGAAAATCAAAATCCGCGTCCGAATGGCCAAGTTCGCCCTCCGAAGCGTCCACTTCAGCTGCTCCCTCATCATCCTCGCCATGCTCTCCTCGTCCTTTGCCATCTTTAACGCCACAAAGTCCCTCCCCCAGCAGAGCAAGATGCCCTCCTGGGCCGCCGGAACTAACCCCTGGGCCCAGAAGCTCGTCCTCGCCATGGCCTGCCTATCTCTCGCCATCTCGATCCTGGTCTTTGTCGCATACTGCCGTGGAGGACATCGCCGCGCTGAAAAGGTCGGCACATACTACACGATATTTGCTATTGGATGGGTTCGTTTCTTCCTTCTTTTTCTTCCTGACCTGTTCTTCTTTCAAGTTGGCGAACTAACCCGCAAATGCAAAACCAGTTCATCGTCAGCCTCATCCTCTGGGTCCTCGCCGCCGCCGTCTTCTCCAACTCCAAGAACACGGGCGGCAACAAGGACATGTGGGGATGGTCGTGCGTGCAAAACACCCGCGCCGAGGTCTTCGCCGACAAGGTCAAGTACTCGCTGGTGTGCCGCCTGCAGAACTGGACCCTCATCTGCATCATCATCGAGGTCGTCCTCGAGGTCATCAGCATCCTGCTCTACAGCGTCATCTTCTACCGCTACTACTCCAAGCGCCGCCTGCACAAGTCCATGGACGTCCGCGACCGCGCCCGCTCCGACCTCTACCTCGCCCAGCTGCGCTCCCAGTCCGCGCCCAACACCCCCGGCTTCCCGCGCTCGCCCGGCCTCGGCGGCGCCGCCCCCATGACGCCCGCCATGTTCCCGCCCAAGTCGCCCGCCCTCAGCCAGTACGCGCTGTCGCCTCGCCACGCGCCCGCCGGGTTCGGCAGCCTGGGCGCCGTCGACGAGAAGGCCGCCTTCACCCCCGGCGCCGCCGCCCAGGTCCTCGTCGAGCCGCCCTCGCAGTTCTCGAGGCCTTCGGTGCCCTTCAAGCTGCAGGCTCCTCCCACCAAGGCGCCCTCCGCCACGCCCAAGGCCCAGAGCCCGCTGACGCCGGTGGACCACTCGATGGCGGCGGCGCAAAAGGAGACGCTGCATGAGCACGCTCCTGTTGCTGCGGATGAGCCTACGTACGATGCCGTCCCTATTCCGGGCGCTTATAGCGGTGCTCCCGCCACGTTTGGACAGGCCATGTGAGCAGACGACGAACGAAAAAGAAGAAAAGGAGAAAGAAGAAAAAGAGCAAAGAAAAAAAATGGATGAAAGAAAGAAAGGTATCTCTGAAAGATTGATGAAGATGAAGATGAAGATGACACAAACTCCTACTTTTTTTATTATTCTCTACTTTCATTTGTCCTACCATTTTGAAACGAAAGCGATATCCCACCACCAGAAACGACAAGATGAACATATATTTTTTTCCTTGTCAAGAATGAAAGCAAAAAAAAAGGGGGGGGAAGCGAGCGAGCGAGGAAGCAAGGAGTTGTGTGTGGTTTCCGTTGAACCAAACACACCGTACCGTTGAAACCATATACCACTTTTTTTGCGGCGTTACATATTTCGGGAAGAGACAAAGGGCAGGCAGGCAGGCAGGCAGGCAACAACTGTGAATTGTTTTATGGACATTTTGTTTTGTCGGAACTGGATTCGACGAGTTGGGAACTTGGGCTTAGTATATATCACATTTTCTTCTTTCTACCTACAATGTAAGATATTGTCTTACTATTTATATATTCTTGTCTTTTGTAATACAGTACAATCATCACGAAAACAATACATCTCTAAAGTAGGCTTCTTATTGTCTGGGTGAAAATCTTGATGTAATTCTTCAAAGGAAACGGTTGAAGATCCGTTCTGCCTCGGAAGCGCTAGATGGAACGATGATCAAGAGAGTTCAACTGTCATGAGCTATAAAAAGCGAGTTTAAGCCTACTTCAACCTACTACACAGGTTATTGGTAGCAAGGTATCAAAGCAACATGAACTTAAGACAGTGATACTCAACCAGACACATACATCATCATGATGGAAACCTAAATACATACACAGAGGCAACAGGAACAGGGCCGTGAAGAAAAGTGAATCATTGCATTACTTTTGGTTGCCCGCCGCACCTTCATGTCATTAAGGTGCAAAGGACTTCCTGAGCCTTCGTCACGCAGTCAAAATCTGCACCCCCCTTTTTCTCCCTTGGCAGGTCGCCCCTCGAGACTGGAATTTTCGAATCGAGGTCCCGGGTGCCCCCCCCTCCTCTATCAACGTCAATCTATCAAAGAGCTACCGTCGGAAAATTGTCGCCTTTTTGCAACGATGGCCCCCCCCTTCCCACGTTATGTCTCCTCCTATCGTGAACAGGCCTACCCGTAATATCAAAAACAGATGGTATTAGCCCGAAGCGAGTGAAAACTTGTAAATCCGGTGGCAATCTTTCTTTAGATGAGGTCGGCAACGTTCATGGGCATTTCCTCGATCTGGGTGCTGTAGAACTGTTCAATCTCACGCATCATGCGGACGTCGTCGGCGGTGACAAAGTTGATGGCAACACCCTTTCGGCCGAAACGACCACCACGACCGATACGGTGGATGTAGTTCTCCCGGTTGGCGGGGAGATCGTAGTTGATGACCAGGGAAACCTGCTGGACATCGATACCACGGGCCAGCAGGTCGGTGGCGATCAGGACACGAGAGGAGCCGGATCGGAACTCCTTCATGATCAGGTCACGCTGAGCCTGGTCCATGTCACCGTGCATGGCGGAGACGGTGAAGTCACGGGCGGTCAGCTTGTCAGTCAGCCAGTCGACCTTTCTGCGGGTGTTGCAGAAGATGACAGCCTGGGTGATGGTGACGGTCTCGTAGAGATCGGACAGGGTGTCGAGCTTCCACTCCTCCTTCTCGACGGCAATGTAGAACTGCTTGATACCCTCCAGGGTAAGCTCGTCCTTCTTGACGAGGATACGGAGGACATCCTGTGGCATGGTAGCGGACAGCAGGACGACCTGGGTGGACTGGGGAAGGAGCTGGAAGATGTCGTAGATTTGGTCGGTGAAACCACGCTGCATTGAGACGTCAAACGTTAGCAAAGAGACCATACATCGGGTTTTTTCAACTCGGCTCCAGGGTTCCTTACAGAAAGCATCTCGTCGGCCTCGTCGAGGACGAACATCTTCATGGCATCGGTCTTGAGGAAGCGACGCTGGATCATGTCGTGGACACGACCGGGAGTGCCGACAACGACCTGGGGGCCGTCCTGAAGAGCCTTCATGTCCTCACGGACGCTGGTACCACCAATGCAGGCGTGGCACTCAACGTTCATGAAGTCGCCAATAGCGACAACGACCTTCTGGATCTGCTGGGCCAGCTCACGGGTGGGGGCAAGGATCAGGGCCTGGCACTGCTTGACAGCGGGGTCGATCTTCTGCAGGACGGAGATGGAGAAGGTGGCAGTCTTGCCAGTACCGGACTGGGCCTGGGCAATGACATCGTGGCCCTTGATGACGGGCATGATGGCGCGCTGCTGGATAGCAGAAGGACGCTCAAAACCGTAGGCGTAGACTAGTCGCTCGTTAGACCTTGGCCCCCTTTTGTAGAGTCGCTTCGCGCGGGCGCGGGAGAGGAGCAGCACTCACCACCACGGAGGAGTTCAGACTTGAGGTTCATGTCATCAAAGGAGTCGACAGTCTCGTCGTAGTTAGACTCGATCTGTCCTGTATCGCAATCATCGTCAGCATGATGCATCAAGCGGAGCGGGGCGGGCCCATGGCAGTCGCAGCGTCGAGTTGGGTATTCGTGGGGTCGAAACACCGCAGGAGTTTGCGCGCAGAAGCGAAGCTCCCCCTGAAGCGTCGACTCCGCGATCCCGAGACGCATACGACGGGCAAAGGGAGTTGCAACTCACCCTCGGGGACATCCTCAAGTCCTTTGTCAGCCATGATTGCGGTTGTCGAAGAAGAAATCTAGATCAAGCACAGCTCGACCTAGAAATAGAAGAAAAATTCGGCGGGGTGGAAGCGCGGAGAAAAAGACAGACTTCTCGCGGGAGAAGGCTGCGGGCGGTGAATGAAACTGAAGAAAGCGGTCGTCTAGATCAAACGCTCTCGATATGAAACGAGAGCCGAAGAATCTAGGAAAAAAAAGTCGTGATGATGAAGTATCTCGTTGAGTTGAAGTGGGAGAGGAGAGGAGAGAAAGAAAAAAAGACGACTGAGGGGCGACGCCTGTTTTTTTTCCCTACCCACCAATCCTGTGGCCAATCAGGCGTGGAGCCCGGGGGCGTCGTGGTGGGGCTGCGGTTTAGGGTATCCTCGAGAGAGGCAAAGGCGCTAGAGAGGCGCAGTTTTGCTGGCAGTTGAGGCAAAAGAATTTTTTTTTTCTTCCACGTTCTCGCTTCCCCATTGTTGTTGATGCTATCAGTGGAGTGGAACTCGCATGCTTGTTAGCGCCGGTCCCTCTGTTGACTTGTGTCATGCTGTGACTTGCAATGGACTCGTGCGTCAGCGTCAACTGTGTCGGTTGGTCGGTCTTCTGCCACATCAACACACGTGCTCCTCATGAACCTGGCCATACTCTCACAACCCCTGAGAGCAGGAGGATCCCTACTCTGAAACCCAAATCCTACAGTGACTCATTGGTGACTCTTAAACATTTTTTTTTTTCTCTTCTTCTGGCTAGAATTCAAACTTTAATATAATACAATATAGCTAGCGTCGATCAAGGTATCAAGCGTTCATAGCAGTATCCCCATCAACGCGGCGTCTCGGAACCGTGGTTCGCGCAGGTCACAGGACACTATATTAGACAACTGATGTTTTCGCCAACAAGGCCCTCTTGGTTTTTGCTCATAAAGTAAAGAACACTCGGTTGTACGCCATTATCAAACGGCCAGGCAGGCAGCTGTTTAGTACACACGCTTGAAGGGAGGAACAGGCTTGCACTCCGCCTCGTCCAGAGTGGTGGCGATAACCCTGCGGTATGTCAAGTCAACCTTGCCGTGGGGCTGCTTCTGGAAGCTGAGGGTGTGCTTCATCCAGTTCTCGTCGTCACGGTCAGGGTAGTCTTCACGGGCGTGAGCGCCACGAGACTCCTTTCGGGCGGCGGCGGCGGTGGCGGTTTGAACGCTATTGTACATGTAACGTTAGTCTTGGCTCTGATAGTTGGACTTCATGCGAAGACACTTACGCGCAAGTGAGCAAGTTCCGCAGCTCAAGAGTCTCAACGAGATCAGAGTTCCAGATCATGCTGCGGTCCTTGATGCCAACGTCGGCAAACATCTTGTCGACCTCGTTCATCCTGCGAACACCCTCGTCCAAGCTCTCCTGGGTTCGGAAAACGCTGACCTCGGTCTGCATGGTCTTCTGCATGGCCAGACGGATCTCGGCAGTGCTCTTAGGACCGTCAGATGTTCGGACCTTGTCGAGGACCTCGATGTGCTCGGCACCGGCATCGGCAGGGAGGGGCTTCAGCTTGTCGCCAGGCTTGAAGTTGTCACGGATGGTGTGGGCAACAGCACGGCCAAAGACGACCAGATCCAGCAGGGAGTTGGCACCCAGTCGGTTGGCACCGTGGACAGACACTGAAGCAGCCTCACCACAGGCGAACAGGCCGGGGACAACCTTGTCCTGGCCCTTCTCGTCAACAGTAAGAACCTCACCAGTGTATCGGGTAGGGATACCGCCCATGTTGTAGTGGACGGTGGGCAGGACGGGGATGGGCTGCTTGGTGACATCGACACCGGCGAAGATGCCGGCGGTCTCGGAAATGCCGGGAAGACGCTCGGCGAGGATCTCAGCAGGCAGGTGGCTGAGCTGCAGGTAGATGTGGTCCTTCTCGGGACCAACACCACGACCCTCACGAATCTCCATCGTCATGGATCGAGAAACGACGTCTCGGGAGGCCAGATCCTTGGCGGTGGGGGCATATCGCTCCATGAAGCGCTCACCCTCCGAGTTGAGCAGATAACCACCCTCACCACGAGCACCCTCGGTGATCAGGCAGCCAGCACCATAGATACCAGTAGGGTGGAACTGAACGAACTCGAGATCCTGGTTGGGCAGACCGGCGCGGGCAACCATGGCCATACCGTCACCGGTACAGGTGTGGGCAGACGTGCAGCTGAAGTAAGCACGTCCGTAGCCACCGGTGGCCAAAACGGTGTTGTTGGCCAGGAATCGGTGCAGGGTGCCGTCTTCCTGGTTGTAGGCGAGGACACCGCGGCACTCACCATCCTGCATAATCAGGTCGATGGCGAAGTACTCGATGAAGTAGTTGGCGTTGTACCGGAGAGACTGGCCGTACAGAGTGTGCAGCAGGGCGTGGCCGGTTCGGTCAGCAGCGGCACAGCATCGGTAGGCCTGGCCACCCTTGCCAAACTTCTGGGATTGACCACCAAAGGCTCGCTGGTAGCTATAGACAAGGACATCGACGGTTAGCAGAATGCGGGGGAGGGGCACCAAATGGGGAGTGTTGATGTCATGAGAGCAGCGCTCGCCGCTGAAGAAACTCACATCTTGCCATCCTCAGTTCGGGAGAACGGGCAGCCGTAGTGCTCCAGCTCGATGATAGAAGCAGGAGCCTCTCGGGTCATGTAGTGGATAGCGTCTTGGTCACCCAGCCAGTCGGATCCCTTGACGGTGTCGTACATGTGCCATCTCCAGTCGTCCTCGTGCATGTTTCCCAGGGCAGCGTTGATACCGCCCTGAGCAGCTACCGTGTGACTTCTTGTGGGGAAGAGCTTGGAAATGCAGGCAGTCTTGAAGCCAGCTTCAGCCAGACCCATTGTTGCTCTCAGACCCGCACCACCGGCTCCGACAACGAGGGCGTCGTACTCATGATCCTAACAGTGATAAGGCGTGGTCAATTGACTTTTCCATCTTTCCATCCTATCTCGCCGATCCGGGAGAATGTCGAATTCTGGGGGCGGGGAAGGGGATCGACGTACAATGACGGGATACTTGGAGCTAACAAAGGGAGAAGCTTCCTTTGCCCTCAGAGGTCCGTTTGCAATAACACGAGCTGTGGTTCAGAATGTCTATCAGCACAACCGTCCGACGTCTTCCTTGCCCTCTCGATTATATTTGCTCATGTGTGTAATCGCAGATCGTAATCGCAGTCGCACATCGCAAATGGTAGTTTTCGAAATAAGATGGACCTACCTGCCGGTCGAGTAGATGAAAAGGTTCGAAGCTGGTTCCGCGCGAATCGCGAAAACTGAAGGAAGAAAGTCAGTTTCAGCAAGACTCAGGTAATTCAGACGCCTGTGTAGATCATGCTCCCTCCGAGCTGTTGCTCCCGGGGCAACATATTTGCGCGCGGAGCAACGGAGGGGCAGTAGACTCGCAGGTTTTTCCCCCCCTCTTCCATTTGACGTACCGAGGGGCCAGAGGCCAACTTCCTCAATGCCATAGAGGACGCCATTGTGAGCAGAGCGAGAAATCCGGGGTCTCCAGGCTGCGTCCGCACAGAAATTTGAAGCAGCAATGGCTGTATCACTGAACTGGCAGCTCGGCAGTGCTTGGAGGTTTGGCGGCGTATGTCACGTTTTCGTCGATGGAGCCTTCGGAAAAGCATGTGTCGGTCCTCGGCTATCTGGGCCAATCAGAGGGCGCCTATTAGTCGTGGACTCGGGATTAGTCATGAGCACGGGAAGCAGCAGGACGTCGGGCGGGATTGACGCGAGGTACGTACCTCATCCATGATCAGCACATGCAATCTTCAACTTGGAACGAACTCGAGTACCTCCAAAGACAGCGAGAGACTTGTGGTTGTTTGACAGATGTCCAGCTATAACAGCATGGCCCAATTAGTGATTTCTGCCTATTATTTGAAAGATATTCTAGGACCTTGATAGCTTTTTGAATTGATCCGCAGTAAACCTTCAAGTCAACAGAGGACGAAACCCAATATTGGACCATGTTTGAACCATGTTCACTCCGTGCAATGGCCCCATCTTATCGGCACGACAGCAACCCATTGGGCAAAGAAAAGATTCTGCCACTAATAACACCGCCAGCTTCTGTCAACACCACACGAGCAGCTGTAATTGACAGCGAAAATTCTCATTTCGCATTCAACAAGAGCAGTCCGTCAAATCGACGCCTCAAGAACTTGGACTCTCTTTTCCGACCACATATTCTCCCTTGAGAATTGGCTTCAAAGCTATTCAGGTGCCCAAGGAAATTTCGGCTTTTTGCAGGCGATGAGCCGACGTGCATAGCATCATGCCTTCCGCAGTCACAGAAAATGTTCACGAGGCCAGCGACTCCATTCCGACTCACCCTCTCGGGCTGAAGCCTCTGGGAAACCAATATCTTGCAGAGGGGCCAAATGCCCGACGGAACATTGGCACTTGGGCAGCTCTGCCTGAAGAGATGCTTGCCCTTGTTCTTGAGGGCTTCGACCAAAATTCTCTGTTGACACTTGGTTCTACGTGCAAATACATGTATGCTTTCTGCCATTCTGAAGAATTGTGGAAAGCCGTGTATCTACGGTAAGCTTTGCCTTCCATGTTACTCCAGCGTCATTATACACATGGGAATTTCGTCATGAGCCGAACCAAGGAGTGTGCGATACCTCTGCTCTGGTATCATGCATTTGCACCAAAATACCTCCTTTCTTACCCATGGAATTATGACTTGTGGTTCCCTTTTGTGTCCAATGACAAAAACTAATTGCACTCGTCTCAGATCTGGATCAACGAGCAGTTCGTCTATGAATTGGCGGGGATCTTGGAGGTCGACTGTCCTTCAACTTGCCAGCGACAAAGAGGCAAAAGTTGACTGCAGCAACGTCTTTTCTGATGTCCTGCACCGACCTTTTGCTTGCAGCAATATTGAGCTGGCGAAATTCGCCAACGGGATACCGAAGATGAACCAGATACGTCGGTTCGAGAACCTGACGTATGAAGAGTATGCTGAGAAATGGACTGAACAGCCTTTCATTTTGACGAAATGCATACAAGATTGGCCCGTCCACTCTCAATGGACCATTGACTCCCTGCTCGCCAAGTATGCCGATGTGGAGTTTCGAGCCGAAGCAGTCGATTGGACATTTTCACAGTACTGTGAATATATGAAGAGGAACAGAGACGAAAGCCCCCTCTACCTGTTTGACAAGAAATTTGCGGAAAAGATGGGCATTGAAGTCGGACACATGGAAGGTGCGGCATATTGGCGGCCAGACTGCTTCGGACCAGATCTCTTTGAAGTCTTGGGAGACGAGCGGCCTGCTCACCGGTGGTTGATCATCGGGCCAGAACGGAGCGGCTCTACTTTCCACAAGGATCCCAACGGCACGAGTGCCTGGAATGCCGTGATTCAGGGGTCCAAATACTGGATCATGTTTCCACCCACGGCCCAGGTTCCCGGAGTCTACGTATCCTCGGACAGCAGCGAGGTGACGAGCCCCCTGAGCATCGCCGAGTGGCTGCTCACGTTCCACGCCGAGGCTAGACAGATGCCCGAGTGCGTGGAGGGCATTTGCAATGCTGGAGAGATTCTCCATGTGCCGAGCGGGTGGTGGCACCTTGTGGTGAATCTCGAAAAGGGCATTGCGCTCACGCAGAACTTTGTTCCGCAGTCTCCCAACCTGAACCTGGTCTCCGAAGTCTTGTCGTTCCTGAGGGATAAGCCGGATCAGGTGTCTGGCTTTTCGCGTGATGTGGAAGATCCCTTTGGGCTATTTACGGCAAGACTCAAGCATGAGTACCCGGATGTGCTGGAGAGGGCGCTGGAGTTGGCGGATAGGAAGAATGGGAAGAAGAGGAAGTGGGATACAGCGGTGGGCCGGGACGAAGAGCAGGCCGAAGGGTTCAGTTTTAGTTTTGGATTTGGCGGCGACGATGATGATGAGATACCCTAATGGCTGTCTACGTACAAGAACATGTAATTGGAAGTTCGCCTGCATCTACGATCACATCAATTCCAGGCACAAGTCGGCGACAATGAAGACAAATGGGCCGATGAAATAGTCCAGGGGGTAGCAATCGCACAATAGTGAAGACAGCTTCTGAGAAAACAAGTGATCAATTGCCGCCATCCTTGTTGTTCCTTTTCACCTTGAACAGTCTTGAACAACCACTTCGAATTGGTGAGTATGGGCGAGCAGAGGTAATGATGCCTTAGGTTTAGACACCGGAGTTGAGTTGAACGGAGGATTGATAGAGGCTGTACAAAGCATGGATGGAGCAGATTCTGGGGTATCTCCTCAAGGTATTGGGAGCTTGGGCCCGACCCTGGACAGCGCTAAGGCAGCCGGTTTATCCAGATCCGATCCAATGCCAGTGAGGGTTTCAGGAAGAGTGTCCAGGGGAGGAGTTGAGTTCAGGAGTGTGTGCATGTAGACGATGGGGGAAGGGAGGGGGCTATGTGTCTGTCCCAGCGGTTCAGCTGTTGATCAGCAGCAGATCTTATGGGCTGAAATATAACGAGTGATTACCCATGATGAATGGAGTGGTGACGACCTAAGGATCGAAGATGCGGCTCATCCCAGCTGCAGATACCCAAGCCAAGGTAAGGGACTCCGTACATGCAAAGTACGAAGCTCGGAGTAGCTCGACCACGTCACCCAAAGCCAGCAATTGCAGTTTCGGTGTTTTGCACTTCGGCTTACTCTGTTCCCCCGCTTGCCACCCAAATTACAACAAAGAAATCCCAAAGAGAAGCACCCAAAACGTGAGATCACGGAGTCCTACAGCCGTGCCTCTCAGCCTGTGAAAGGGCTCGCTAGCGTCCGCCTCTCTGCTCCTGTTGGTGCATGCTGGGCTGTGCTTCAAACGATAGCGCGGGCAGGTTGCACAGTTCCCCGTCCGGTCCTTCAAAGGGGGGGAAGAGCCACAAGAGGACAAGTCCCAGCTCCCGCTGCAAATTGATAATCCAGAGCAGAGCTCCATCCAATTGCTGGTAAGGCAGCACCTACCAGGTACATGTACCTTTCGCAACCTCACAGCTGCTCCCAACGCCTCTCTGCCTTAGCACTGGCCGTGGCCGATCGAGGTACCCCTCAGGTACCAGCCACCCAAAGCCCCCCCCTCCAAGCCCCCCCGAGACCCCCCAGAAGCGCCGGGCAGCTATAGCGGGCTATTACTGGGCCGCTCTCCGTGCAGTGTCGCGAGTCTCGTCCAGCTTGCATCAGCCAGCCCTTCTTCCCATCATCTCTCCGCCATCTCCATCCCGCTCATCTCCCGCCTTGGCCGGAACAGAGCCCTTTCTTCTTCGAACTTTGACAACGGCGACGTCGAGCGACACCAGCGGCACGGCGAGAAGCGGCGCAGGATTCCTTTCACCTCTGTCTCTGCTGCTAGCCCCGGGGTTTGCGACGCAATGTAAGCTTCGTCCGCCGGCCTTCTCCGCCCTTTCTTCACCGTCCGCGCGCCTCGTTCTCCGGTCCCTCGCTGCTCGTCTCTTTGATCCTGTGTCTTCGTCTTGAGCCTCGCTTCAGGCCTCTCCTCGTCTCTAATACCGTTGTGATTCGCTGTCATCGTCATTGTCCCATAATACTAGCCTCAACACGTAAGTCCCCTCGACGATGGCTTCTGAGCCTCCCCTAGCTTTACTACAAACGGGCCTTCCCGAAAGCTTATTGCGCACAGCATCAGAGGTTAATTCGACTCTTTCTAGGCACTTGTTTCCCGTCTTCTGTCAATCATCTACCCGCGCCTCGACTCTCTTCTCTTCATCTCCTTCTTTGATTCACCACCGCTTCCAAAGCTCCTGGTGGCCCCCTCTCCTCTTCCACGTTATACATCTTCTCGCCATCTGGCCATATAGATTACGATTATTTCGATCGCAAGCGGTCATTTCTTATCTCTTCTTCGATATCGAACCCTCCCCCGAGTAAAAATATCTGCCGACGCACAAAGTACAACATACTCCTTGTGCTTGGGTTGGTCTGCGTTGTCGGCATCAACCAGCCGCAGCCATGGTATTAGACGAGCATTTCGATATGTGCTTGCCCATCCTGCAGGATGCCAGCCTTGAGGATGAGGACAAGACAGACAGAATCGAGGAGCTATTCAGAAAAGAGACCAACCTGGTTGGCAACTCTCTGGACAACGCCATTCTCGATGTCATGTGGCGATGGCGTGAATGCGGAGGAACCTCGACATCACCGCCTCCCATCCGCCAGACCATCCTGCGGCGGCCCTCTCCGGCCTCCTGGAGGGGCGGAACTCCGTTGTCAGGCTCTCCCCGGCTGGCAGTCAGCCCTCTCGCGCCGCCTGGGTACATCCCCGCTACCTTTGGCAGGACCAAGTCGGTCACGGCCTCTCCCTTTGGGTCGCCACGGGCGTCTCCTCGCCTGGCCCTTGCAACTCCCGTGATCCCCCACAGCCCAAATCTCAATGCATATGAATTTGCCAGCGACCCCACCCCCGCCCCTGAGATCTTGGGGGAATACCAGATCGAGAACGTCGACTGGCTGGTCAACGATGACACCATTAGCCTCTCGTCGTCTGTGGGCACCACCAAGAGCCTCAATGCCGCCGCTCCCGAGTTTTCGTCCATGTCCTCGCAGCAAATCGACATGTCGCCCTACGACATACTCAGGTCTATCCTGGGCCCCACGAGGACGGATGATGAGATAGAGTCTGCCCTTGCCGCTCACAACTATGACCTGAGCGCAACCATTACATCCATCATGGAGATTCCGCAAGACGGCGGTGTGCGACTTGACGAGCCCAAGAATGTCCTCATTGGCAAGTCGATATCTGCAGAAGGCCGCCCGTCCACCCCGGTGAACAACAGCAAGGCGGGCGTCATCTGCAAGTTTTACATGTCGACTGGGCAGTGTTTGCGCGCGGACTGCCGGTTCAGCCATGACCTCAGCAACCATCTGTGCAAGTAAGTTCACAAGGCTTATCCGCGACATTCTCATACCTGCTAACATGTGCCAATCTAGATATTGGATCATGGGCAATTGCCTGGCCGGTGAGACGTGCATCTTCTCGCACGACCCATCCAAGCTCGTCAGCAAGATGTCTCTGGACAGTGGTGCAAACACCCCCACCCGGAGCAATAGCAGCCTGATGCTTCAGGACATGAATTCTTTCCCCTCTCTACAGTCTGGCGACTCTGATCACCAGGGGGGTTTTGCAGGCAGTCCCAACAATTTTGCCTTTGGAATAGGTGCATCGCCTAGCTTGCGGTCCCTGCGGGCAGAGAGCCCACGGCCGAGGTCACGACCCGGGAGCCGCCATCAGGCGAAAGAGAACCATGCCGTCGCCCCAGCCCTCGATGACAACGAGGCCTTCCCGACGCTTGGCGCGGCGATTGCAAAGCAAGGGAAGAAGCATCATGGCAAGCGAGGTGGGCATGGCCACAAGGAAAACGGCGCTCCGAGCTCCTTGGCGGACATTGTCAAGATGAACCCACCTGCCTCGCCAAGGCTGGAGATGCGCAAGCCCGTCACCAACGGCAACAGCGCAGCCAGAGATGGCGAGAACAGCGCCGCAGCGCTAGCGATTCCAAGCCCCAAGCACATTCCATGGCTTGAAACCGGTGAGCTGGCCAACAAGGCTTATCTCAAAGCCCGCCAGGATGCCATCAAGCACGGTGGCCTCAGAAACAAGTTTCTGCAAAGGTACGTCCACCGACGAGAGAGATGTAAACGCACATGAATCTAACATCATCTCCAGCGCTGCTCAGGCATGGAATCGCAACGACGCCCGGGCTGCCAAGGCTCTCAGTCTCCGCGGCCAGAGCGAGAATGACCTGATGCGAAAGGCCCATAGAGAGGCCGCGCGCGAGCTTTACGAGGAGCGAAACAAAAACCTGGACTCCACGGCGGAAATCTACGTCGATCTTCACGGCCTTCACGCGGAAGAGGCCGTAGAGTACCTAGAAAAGGTGCTTCTGGAGAACGAAAAGGGCGGCAGACCCATCTACGCCATCACCGGCACCGGCCACCACAGTAAGAACGGCAAGGACAAGGTGGGAAAGGCGATCCGCGCGTTCTTGAACGAGTGGCGATATGCGTACCGAGAGTTTTCCGTGCCGGGAGACCGCAACAACATGGGCGGTATCCTGGGAATAGACGCCAGCAGCTGGGACAAGTCGCTTGCTAGAGAGGGAGCCGACGAAGACAAGTCTGCGGGTGACATTCTCAGCCAAGGCGTCGAGATTGGCGATGGCAAGGTCAGGCTGCTCGTCAGGGAGCCTCCCAAGGGCCCAGGCCGCCGATGACAAGGCGAGCACTAAAGAAGTAAAAACCGATAAAATACTGCAAAAAAAAGGGGGGGGAAGATGGAGGAGGCGAGCAGTTGGAGATACACTGTTTGAGGGGGCATGTCAACAACAGCTGAAGCGCCTGCCAATATCCAGAGTAGCTCGATTAAGCGTTGTGTGAGGACACTGAGTGTAAGAGCATTAGTTCTAGCGTAGCTGTATCAAGCCGTTGGATTCTACTCCGTATCATCTTGTCCTTGTTCATGATAACATGGTCCATCGTACACCTCTACTACTGCTGAGTGACGCCCGAGCGTGGCATTGGGACCCGATCTATCATATACAATTGGCTTTGCAAAACTCTTGTAATACCAGACAGTTTCCTCCTGTATGCTGCAGCACTTGAGCCGCAACGTTTCGACAAGTGCTGCTCCAATTGGTGGGTTTGCAGCATGTGGAAAAGGGGAGCGGAGAGGCTTCACCTCAGCGTTTTAAGGTTGTGGTGGGTCTGACGTAAAGCACCGGATTTCTGACTGTACCTGGATCCCGAGTCTCAGGTGGAGGAGATGGGGGCCGAAGAAGTACAGCATCTTCAGGTACACGTTACGGGTGCACACAGACGGGTACAGGAAACGCAGGCAAGCAGTGCTGCGGAAGATGCGGGCGCCGAGATGGAAGGCGGAGGTACATGTCAGGTACACTGTTATCGGGCGGACACCGCCACGATTTTGGGGGAGAGGATGACGAGGTCAATGGCTTGTTTGGCTTAGTAGGTACTTTGGATCAAAACAATGGGATTTCATCTTGGACTTTGCATGATACTTTGCTGTGATCGTGTGGTTGAATTTGGTTTGAGTTGTCTTTATCGCCTCTCTCATTCCGCTATTATTTCTTTTTTGCATTTTCTTGCTTGTCGATTGACGACGTCCTCTTGGACGGCGATTAAGTTGCCCGCAGAGGATCTCGACGAGTCGGAGCGATTCCGGACCTTGATATCTCGACCGAGCGATCCGCCACCAGACTTGATCAATCGACATTCTGAGCTTTTGACGATAACACACTTCTTTGGATTGGGGATGGAGAGCTAGATTGTCCAGAGGATTTCTCTTTTATTCTCTGGGGGGGTTTCCGATTTGCTTATTCGAATTCGATCCCGTTGTTCGGCTTTCACGATATACCGGATACAGTCTATCCAAGCATCTCTTTGCGGATATACATCTCGGCGCTTGTTGTTGCGACCAACTTGCTTCTCTCTCTGCGACGGCCTCCCTTCTGACCAACATCTTGCCTCAAGCATCTCCCGCCGAATCGACGAAATAAACGAACAGCCGCCTAAACTAAGCCCACGATGACCACCCCATACGAGCCCCCGCGGGCAGACGGCCTCTCGCCAACGCCCTCCTCCGCCTCGTCCATCACTCCCCCCCTCTCCTCCTCAGAAACCCGCTTCCCGCACCCCCAGCGCTGGTCCCGCCGAGCCGTCGCAGGCCGGCGCCTCTCGGGCGGCGTCTCGCGGTCGGCGCGCATGTCGTCCAACGCGCAGGACTGGGTGCGCGACCAGTGGACGACGTACCTGCGCTGGAGCGAGAACACGGTGGCGGCGTTCTGGAAGCTGACGCCGCTGTACCGGTCGCTGGTGGCGTTTGCGATCCTGCTGGGCTGGGTCTTCATCATCCTGTCGGTGCTGTACTCGGAGGCCTTCTTCGCCTGGCTGGCGACGGTGTCCAAGACGTGGCGCGAGATCCGCGGCGGCTGGCTCATCGCCTTCATGCTCATCTTCGTCACGTCCGTGCCTCCCGTCATAGGCTACTCGACCGCCAACACCATCGCCGGCTTCGTGTACGGCTTCCCCATGGGCTGGCCGATTGCCGCGTCGGCGTGCGTCGTGGGGAGCCTGGCGGCGTTCCTGGCCTGCCGCACCGTCCTGAGCGGCCACGTCAACAAGCTGATTGGGACGGACCACCGCTTCGTCGCGCTGGGCCAGGTCCTGCGCAAGGACGGCCTCTTGTACCTGACGGGGATTCGCTTCTGCCCGCTGCCGTTTAGCTTGAGCAATGGCTTTCTGGCTACGATCCCGAGCATATCGCCTTTGACTTTTGTCATTTCGACGGCGCTGTCGACGTGAGTTTTTTTTTTTTTTTTTTTTGACAAGATCCATCACAACTTGCGTACTTGTATCTTTCACCAGAAGTTTCTTATTCTGACTGATTTCTGTTTTTTTTTTATTTCTCATGCTTTTTAGGCCCAAGCTCCTCATCCACATCTTCATCGGCAGCCGGCTCGCCATCATCGCCGAACAGGGCGACTCCATGTCCCTCCGCGACAAGGTCGTCAACTACGCCGGCATGATCATCGGCGGCGCGATCGGTGCCGCGGCCGGCATCATCATTTACCGCCGGACCATGGCCCGCGCGGAGGAGCTCGCCCGCGAGGAAGCCACCCTCCTTGCCGCCGAGGAGGGCGTGGCGGTCGTCGGCGGGTACGAGGACGACAACGACGCGGGCGATACGCTGATGGATCCTGAGGACGCGGCGAACGTTATGGGGGATGACGACGTGTCGCTTTGGGATACCCAGGGGGATGATGGGTGGGGGGAGTACAATGATGAGGATGATGGGGAGGAGGAGCAGGATGCGAAGAGGAAGAAGTTGAATACGGATTGAGATTGGGATTGGGGGTTTAGGGGTTTGGGGTTTTGGGGGGGAGGATGAGTGTGGGATGATTCGGGGGTTTTTTATTTGGTTTTGGTTTAATGATGTTAACGTGATAGAATCAAGAGCATTGGCGTTGTGCATTTTGAAACATGAGTATGAGGGTTCTCTCAATGACAAGCACACCCTATACATGTCAGAGGCATCAAAGTCGGAAGACATGCCTGATAAGTCACCTCTGTATGCACTACACTGAATCGATGATAGAAAGCAATGTAAGGCCAAGGAGACTCGACTTGTAGAATAGGAAGGCAGGCAGTGTTATTATTGAGTATACACTAGCTGTACTGGGGAACCTCAACTTGATAAAACCTGGCTGGCTAGCATATCCCCAAAATCAAGTCACTCAACATTAGACAAACCCCTGATGATGGTCCTTGGCCAATCATACCAAGAGAGAAGAAAGAAACCCAAAACGCCGCCGCTATAGTCAAACAGAATGAACCCCAGGAGTGGTGCTATAAGAGAAGACAGGCAAAGAAGAGTCGTAAAGTCGTAAACAAGACAGCCGAGGAAGAGCAAAGCTTGCTGAAAGAAAAGCGTAAGGGAGCCATCAAGATCGTTGGTACTGGTTCATAAACTGAATGGCCTGTTCCATTGGATATCCAATAAAGACGGGACCTGTGAAAATCATCTGGGGGCCGCCCGTGGCCTTTGATGCATCAGGGTTGATAAAGGCAGGCTGTGGTATGGAAGCAGGGCGATCGTGGGCTGGACGACGCTCGTGGGAAGGTTTCGTTGGCGTGAAAGGCGCAGAGTCATGGCCGTTGGCGACAGGGGCATTCTGCGTCTGGGGATTGGGCGACGCCGAGATGTTCAGCCCAGCAAAGGCAGGCGGGTTGGCGTTTGCCGTGTGGCCAAAGGGGCATTTGCCCGCGGGCTTCGCCGGCGTCTGAGTGCTCTGGACGGGACTCGGCATTCGAACAGGCGCAGGGGGCGGCGACATAGGATGGTCGGCTCCGTTGCCCGACTGTTCGTAGGCCACCGGCACGGAGATGCCCCATGGACGGCTTGGTGATTCTCCCACGCGAACCTCCTTCAGCGGCCGGTCGAAGTGACTCTGCCGCTCGTCGTCCATGTCGGCCGGCGGCTCGGCAGGGGCCTCCGGGTCCGTGCTTGAGCTGATGGCGTGCGCCCAACTCTCTACTCGATCGGCCGAAGTCCTCGTGGCATCGCTGGGGCGGCGTGCGTGCTCCTCGTCCGGCAGCATCGGCTTGTGGAGTTGGCTCAAGTCTTCAATCATGCTCACAATGTTTCCATACTTTGCATCCAATTTCCTAATCTGCTCCTCGTTGCGTTGGTATCTGCGCACGCAGACCTCGTGGCTGCGAGGCAGCTCGTGCTTGTGCGTCTCAACGTAATGGGCAATCTCCTCTGGGGAGTGCTTGTCTAAGAATCGGATAGGGCACTTGCTTGCCTGCGTTCCGTTTACGGCGTCATGCTGAGACGTCTCTTCCTCGTACATGGCAGCACAGATGGGGTCTTCATGGCGGTTTGGGGCCGAGTCCGGGCCGGTTTCAGGCTTCTGGTCTCGATCGGCATGAGCAGCGGCATCCTTAGCAAAGGGACACTGCAGATTGCCTTTCTTCCCCTCAAGGGTGAAATCTTGTTCCATAGCAGTCGAGATGGAGGTTTCTACGTGGGAGGTTTGAGATAGCGTGTCTCTGGATGATGCCGTGGTCTTGCTGGCTTCACCCAATGAGGCAACCAGCTTGTTCGCAGCGCGGCGTCCGTCACGAATCAGGAGAGCAATCTGGTGCGGGGACTGCAGAGAGCTTTGCTTAGGAAGAGGCACAGGCAAGGTATCATCGACAGAGGTGTGAGCTGGCAGCTGGAGCTTGGCCAACGTCTCGGCTATCTCCGGTGCAGCCGGGGCATATTTGTCGGCCAGATATTGGAACTATCAAGGTAGAAAACATGTCAGTCTCGGAACGGATAAGAATCGGTGTCTCGGGAACGCGTCTTTCATGGACTTGATATGAAACGTGAAAGGAGGACAGTTTGGATCAGTGATAAATGGTTGTCAATCCCAGCAGCATTTGCTGCTCTTGATCTAGAGCTAATGATATCTCATCATGTTGGTTGTCCCAGGGGGGCGGGTGTTTGCGTATATGCAAAGGAATGCATGGGGAAAATGCAGTGAGGATATGAAAAAAAGAGACGAAAGGAGTGAGTAGTTCTCTCTTTCAAGCTCTGTCAAGGCTTACCTGCTCGTGCGCAAAGCGCAGCTTGTGCTCCAAGATGGTCTTTCGGTCAGACAAGACCTGAACCTCATCCGCAAGCGCGTTGAAGGCGTCTGCTACGGTCTGAGTAAGTTGGAAACATGCCATTCCGGGATGGCTCAAGACTTGTGAGAAGCTTGGCCACAAAATACGGAAAAGAAGAAGAAGAAGAAATAGAAGAGAGAGATGAAGAGAGGGAAAGAAGAAGAATGGGGAAAATAGGGAAAAGGGAAAAACGAGGTTTGAGAAGCGAGCCGGAGTTTTTTTACTGGCTGAGGCGGGGCGCGCTTTGGCCGGTTCCGGGTTGCGGTGCGGCAAAAAGCGCGTGACGAACTCGTGGAGCGATTCGTCAGCAGAGTGGCATGTACCTGTACTTGTGCTTTGAGGGTCTCCGAATGAAGCTCGGATATACGATAGAGTCGATTGAGATAGACGCGGAAGGGGGTCGATATTCGAATAGCAGACGCCTAGAGCAATGCTAGAAGACGATAATAGTAGTAGCTAAAGGTAGTGGTTCCCGTCTCCATTACCAAAGAGCAGCACAGGGAGAAAACATGCCCCAAGGTAAATGAGGTATCCCAAAGTCAACATGAATATAAGAGAGAAGCATCTTCACCAGGCATCGACCTCCTACCACAAACCATCATCAGCTACCTAGAGGGAGTCTTTCATGAGTGTTATGTATGTCCTTGCTAGCTTTTACAGGGCACCGGCTCAACATATGTCACTCGCAGGCCAATCGTGGACGGGTTTGAGCCAATACGATGCCAACGATACGACTCTGGCAACTTACACCCAATTCCACCCCTTCCTACCAATCTCAGCATCTTCAGAGGGAGATGAGATGAGACGACAATCTATTCTTGGCTTGGCTATTTCTACACAAGCAGAGAAACGCAAGATAACAACCAGCAGGGGATGATAGACTGCTTACTGGGACTCATAGCCAGTCCACCCCATTGGTCGAGCTTTGGCGGGGTGATTGAGGAGTTGAATGGCTTCACCCGCCATATACTTTACATGAACTTGACCTATCTTGTGTATAACTCGACGGGCACCAAGCTGACCGGGTCGAGCATTTCCTCACAACAAGTCTCATCACCCTCAATCTCACTCTCACTCTCAATATCAGCATCACTTCAACCATATCCATCTTCACCATCACCGCCGCCGCCGCCGCCATGCTCCAGCGCCTCGCCATCCCCGCGGCCAAGCTCCTCCGCCGCAGCAGCCACCCCGTCCCCGGCCAGCTCCTCGTCACGGAGCACTTCTTCCAGGTGCCCCTCGACTACGCCCGCCCCTCGGCCGGCGCCATCACCCTCTTCGGCCGCAGCGCCACCAAGCACGAGACGCCCATCGTGGCCCCCGACGAGCCGCCCGCGCCCAAGCCCTGGCTCGTCTTCCTCGAGGGCGGGCCCGGCTTCGGCAACCGCGAGCCCCAGGACCATCCGCTGACGCGCGTGGCCGTCGCCCACGGCTACCAGGTGCTCTACCTGGACCACCGCGGCGTCGGCCTGAGCACGCCCGTGTCGACCGAGATGCTGGCCCGGCTGCCCGGCGGCGGCCAGGGGTCCCCCGACGCCGTCGACGTGCAGGCCGGCTATCTCAAGCTCATGCGCCAGGACAACACCGTGCGCGACTGCGAGGCCGTCCGCAAGCTGCTCACCGACGGCCTGCCCGAGCACAAGGCGCGCTGGTCCATCTTCGGCCAGTCCTACGGCGGCTTCGTCGCCATCTCGTACCTGTCGCTGCATCCCGAGGGCCTGCGCGAGGTCTTCCTCACCGGCGGCCTGGCCCCCGTGGGGAGGACCCCCGACGAGGTCTACCAGGCGACGTTCCAGAAGACCATTGAGCGCAACGCCGTGTACTATCAAAAGTACCCCGAGGACGTCGACGTCTTGCGCCAGATTGCTGGGCATATCGAAAAGGAGGGCGGGCAGCAAGGTCTTCCCCTGCCTGGAGGAGGCTTCTTGACGGTGCCTCGTCTGTTGACGATAGGACTTGCCCTTGGTTTCCATGGAGGCATCGATCAGATCCATGGTATTCTGTTGCAGCTCAAGGCCTCCCTCGACCAGCTCGGGTTCCTCACGCGGGCTTCTCTCGCCCCCCTGGAGTCATTCACCTCCTTCGACACAAACATCATCTACGCCATCCTCCACGAGGCCATCTACTGCGACGGGCCCGGCAGCGTCTCCAACTGGGCCGCCCACCGCGTCGGCCAGGCGCTGTCCCAGTTTTCCTGGCTCGCCCGCGACAACACGGCCACGTCTTCCTCCGCGCCGGCCGACCAGCCCCTGCTCTTCGCCGGCGAGATGATCTTCCCCTTGCACTTTGAGACGTATCCCGAGCTGATTCCCTTGCGCGCCGTTGCCGAGCGGCTGGCTACCGCCTCGGATTGGCCGGCGCTGTATGATGTCGAGCAGCTGAGCAGGAATGAGGTGCCTGTTTATGCGGCCGCGTTTGTGCACGACATGTATGTCGATTACGCGTTTTCGAGGGACACGGCCAAGTTGATCAAGGGGACCAAGACGTTTGAGACGAATGTCATGTATCACAGCGCCCTGCGGGCAAAGGCGGAGGAAGTCTTGGGGGCTTTGTTTGCCCTACGGGACGACGTAATAGACTAGACGGCTCGTGGTCAATGGGAAATAGAGGACTGGACATTGCGAAGGATATATACTATAGAGGAAGAAAGTATAGGGCAAACAGGCACATACATCCAGATCTTTGAATCAAACGGCATGACTTGTCCCGATTGGATTCATCATCTTGAATCCTCCTATAATTTTGTGCTTCCTCGCCTCCGGATTTTTATCCTTAACCTTGGAACTGTATACCGACCCTATTTCACCAGCCCTCCACCCCTGACAGAGTGATAGCTGCATAAGCATACAAAATCTCATCATCTCATGTTCACATTCATCACATACACAACCAATGACCGCCCAGACCATTCCTTTATTTCTTCTTGGTGGTCTTCCGCTTGGTGGCCTTGCCCTGCTGAGCGCCCGAGGTCTTGACCTTGCTCAGCGAATCCGTGCTCTTGTCCAGAAGCTCAAAATCATCACCGGCAGATTCTGAGCTCGTAGGCGTAGCCTGCGGTGCATCCGAGTCCTCTTCAGGGATATCTTCGGCCTCGGCCTGCGCAGCGCCCTTGGGCAGGAAACGGCCAACCGTCGATTGGAAGACCCAGACGGGCACTCGGACCACGGCGGTGTCTTTGAAAGTGGGCTGAAGAAGTTCGTTGGGCTATTGGAACGCACATGTTAGAACTGACGTCTTCGGTTCCCTTCCACTGGTGTACTTACGTCTAGGAGAAACTCATTGACATTGCCCTCCTCATCTTCCTCCTCCAGGAAGACGTCACCCTGAGAGTCGACCACGAGAATCTTGCCATTCTCAGCAACGACCCTCTTGCGGACACCAGTCGGGGTAGGCGCAGACGATCCTTGGGACGAGCTCTTGGAGCTCACAGTCTTGCGGGCCTTCTTGGACGTCTTTCCATCGTCCTTGCGCGTCTCCTTTTCCTGCATGCGCCTCTCCCTTCGGTTCCTAGGCTGGGCAGGAGCAGCGGCTTCGTCTTCCTCGGGAGCGGGCGCGGGAGCAGGCGCAGGCACGGCATCGAAGCCAGGAATTCCAGCGTCGTTGCCCCAAGCCGCGTTCCTCGCAAACGTGACGTAGCGCTCCACGAACTCCCTCTGTCGCTTCCAGCTCATGTACAGCGCAAGGTAGTGGATCGCACCACCACCCATCATGAACACGCCGACCAAGACAGTTCCCAAGCCAGGCCGGTATCGGTTGTAGTAGTAGTCCGTCCCCTTCCACAGCGGGAACCCGTTGGCGAGGAAGTGGTCATATCGATCGCGGGCAGGGCCACGCAGGATGTTGGCAATGAGCGAGAGCCGCGCCTGGCGCTCCGACGCCTCCTTGACGGCCTTTTTGATCTCTGCCTGCGTGGGGCCCTTGGAGCCCTTTTTCTTGTCGGCCTGGGCCTTTTCGGCGCGCAGCTGCTGCTTGACCTTGTCGGGGTGCAGCGAACGCGACTTCTTGCGGTACGCCTTGTTGATGTCGTCCTGGGAGGCGGAGGAGGTCACGCCGAGGATGTCGTAGAAGCTGGCCGCAGGGTCGCTCTCGTGGGCGGCGATTTCGTCGCGGATGCGGAAGATTTCACGGTCTAGACGGGCCAATTCGTGAGTTTCTTGTCCTTCCTCCCCACCGTGATCATCATCAGTCTTGTAGCCATCGCCATCGTCGCCTTACCTTCCTTGCTCCATGCTGCTGCCAGCGGAGTCAGCAGGGATAGAACCCCGACAACCAGATACTCAATCTTCATGACTGCAAGGCTCGGCTCGACTCGCTTGCCCTTGCAATTGTGAAGCTCAAGGTCCCAATCGTGGCTCGTTTGTCTGTGGCAGTCCCAAGTCGTCGAGGGGCGACTCGGCGTGCTTTTTATGTGGGACGGTGAGCAAGGCCAGATTGTCCCTGCAGGTGCAAGGTCGCAGGTGGCAGGGGGGCCGTCGAGGTACAGGGCACTTCCATTCACTGCAGCGCCAGGCAGTGAGGGCCTGTACTTGGGCTTTATGCGACCAGCTCGGAAACTTTACCGCTACTACCCTGAAAAGGCTTTGGATTCACTGCCACGAATCCAACGAGTAAATCTTGTCCGGAGTTTCTTTCAGGTGTCAAAATGAGTCCGAATTATCCATATTTGCCAATTCATTCCAGGGTCACATAGAAGTTACAGTACGGTAGGGAGATCTTCCATGTTACCACGTAGTTGGTAGTGGTATTGAATTGACAGCAAAAACACGACATCAGGCATCTGCTACAATACCTACACTCATTAAGCCCAGATGCTACGAATCACGGACGACTTATTACAGCCGCAGTCACATATTAGTATGTCCTTCTCCAAAAAAAAAAAAAAGGAAAAAAAGAAAAAGAAAAACGGAAGTGTTGTTCGGAAAATCTCTCGTTGAATAGGAAGATGCGCATACAAACAAAGACAATGCGAAAAGCTCAAAAAAAGAAACAAGCGACTTAGCAATTGCACGTTTCGATCGTGCGACCTCCGGGTTATGAGCCCGGCGCGCTTCCACTGCGCCAAATTGCTTTCTGAGCTTGTTGAACAGGACTGCACTAAAGAGATATATATAGCTTTAACTCAGTCCGTGGCCTCTTTTTGACGTGGCTCCCCAGCTTGTACTCCGCGAAATCGTCCAGATATTCCGGTTCGATGAAAATTCTACCTTGCATGCTTTGCATGCTTTACTTTTCGATTTCTGCATGCACCTCCACTCATATGGTCGTTGTCTTTGCTTGCATGAATAAAATCGTCGTTGATGTCAGCACAGCGGCATCTTCTCTACTCGCAGTCTTACACATGCAAAATTCATGAAGAACAGTTGTTGCAAAATGTGAATGAATACACTCAATTAAATACCCTCCAGGCAACCTCATATAAGCCTCTACTTGCGAGCGTTGGCTCGCTTCCGTGCCTTTGCCTCTCTCTCGTAGGCATTCGCCTCCCGGCCCTCCTCATTCTGAATCTCGGCAATGAGCCTCTTGTACTTCTTCTCGTACGCCTCGTCCTTGGCCTTCTTGATCCGGAGGTTCTCCCTCGCCATGAAGTTGGCGTCCTTCCGCAGCTCCCGCATGGCGCCCTTGCGCTCCTTCTTGTGCTCCTTCTTGAGCTTGGCCATTTCCGCCCTCTCGCGGTCGGGGTCGTAGTGCTTGTCGGGATCGAATGTCTCCTCAAACTTGGGTATATATGTCTTGATTGCCAGGGGCTTGTGGTGGTGAAGCTCCAGCGGTCGACGCGAAAGCTGCGAGACTCTGGACATGCGCTTCAGCTTTTCCTCTAGCCTCTCCGCTTTCTCGCTGACGGCTGCGGGTAGGTGCTCGCGTTGTGACTTGCTGTTTACGTGGTTCAGAACCTCAATGGCCTGGCCGAACGTTTCCAAGAAGGCGGGCTTTCCCGTCCATAGGTCTGCAGCGGCGTCGAGCACCTGAATGGTGGTTGTGAGTAAAGAGATTTTGAGAGCTTTGCTGTCTTCTTGCGAAGTCTCGGGCAAGCAATCGGCGAAATTGAGACGCCTTAACTCAACACCTTTGGATTTCTGAATTCGGCTTCCGGCTGGGGGTTCATGTACCGGGAAGTTACCCAAAGGACGTGATGGGGCTTTGGGTGAAAGCGAGCAGATCGTGTTGAGGGCAAAGTTGATCACCTCGGGAACATATCGCTTGGACAGTTGTTGATACTGCAGGGATAAAATGGACAAGTATGTTCCGATGCAGTAATCCGACAGCTCGCGAGGCACCTTTTGGCCAATGTACCGACCAATTGTCAGCATGGCCGGTGTGACGACCTGGTGGAAGTGGTCCGACGTCGGAAATATTGTCCCGATGGCAGTAAGGAGCGTCAGATCTGAAGGTTGCAATGCAATTGGTCGGTTCTCACTGATCTCTTCGAGATGCTGGAGGAATTGCTTTGCGATTTCGATGGGAAACATCTTCGCAAGCGAGTGAATGTGACGTATCAGACTCTCCAGGACGGAAAAGGATGGTGATGTCTCTGGATCCCACTCAAGAGCCACGAAATCCACCAAGGCTACTGCAAAGTTCCCCAGCTTCTCCTTGTTCTTGCTGTCGAGCTTGGGGTGATGTAACGCTCGAATCCGCTGGACAATCTTTGGGAGATTCACTGCGTCGTAATCTTTGGTAATGGCCACGAATTCGGCGCATGACTGGGGGCAGGGGAATGTGAATGGGAGTCCATTCTCGTCGCTCTTGTCGTTGGAAGCAAAGTTGGCCTGGAATATAGGATTCTTGGTTTCCGCTTCGTTCAGTATACCTTTTGTGAACTCGTCATCGTCGTCTTCCTCATCCTCGGCTTGACCAGCGGAGGCATCATCATCTTCCTCTTCATCGTCGAGGTCGTCGTCGCTCTCGACGAGTTCCAGATCCGATCCACTGGCCACCAAGTCGTCTTCAATGACAAAGTCGTCCTCATCATCGAAGCCCAGCTCTGTCGCAGTCGGTCTCGCCTTGATACCATGTCCCAGGCCGAATCCATCGTCTTCATCCTCTTCGTCAGCCTCTGCACCGCCAGATGTCTTATCCTGCTTTTTGTCCTCCTCGTCCTCGTCGCTGTCCGAAACCTCCTCGCCCATCATCCGCTTTTGACGTTTCTCTTCGAGCTTCTTCAGCCGGTTGGACTCTTCTTCAGCCTTCTCCTCGTCTGTCTTGGTGCGGTTGGAGGGTTGTGCCCTCTTATCCTGAGCCAACCGCTTGACTTCGATATCGAAATTCTTTTCAAAGGCATCTCGCTCAACACCTGCAATGGTAGGTAGCGGCGCGGCGGTTTCCTGTCGCTTCGCACCGTTGAGGCCAGATGAAAGCAGTTGTTGGATATTGGGAAGCTCCTTGTCGAGTTGCATCCGAAGGTCAGCGTCGTCGTCCTTGGCCGCCTGTCGCTCGTATCTGTGAAGCTTTGACTTTGCGATGACTTCTTCCATGACCTCCTTCTTCGTCTTTTTGCGCTCAGGCTCGCCATCCTCGGCCTCTTCATCGCCCGCCGCGATGATTGCACGCAGACGCTTGAGTCGCTTCTCGCGAGTTGAGCCGTCGCTGTCCTCATCGCCCTCCTCCAGGTCATCCTCGTTGAAGTCGTCCACCAGCTCCTCCTCCTCGTCAAAGGTCAAAGATCGTCCCGCATGTGTCAAGCCACCCATTGGTTCATCGTCCTCGAGATCGAAGAGAGAGTTCTTTTTGTGGGCTTTCTGCTTTTCACGGGCGAATCGTTCCAGCATCTTTTCTTCGGGAGTCATGGTCGGGTCGTTCTCGCCGAATCGTCGATCTAGAATGCCTCCGACTTTGAGGCGGCGCTGCATGTCTACAAGGAGGGTTTGCTTGCGCTATTGGGTAGAGAGTCAGAAACAGCCGAGAGAGTCCGATGCGCAACAAGGAGAGGCGCTCTCTTACCTTTTCCTCGGCGGCCGCCTTGGCCAGACCCGGACGCCCCTTGATGGAGGCATTTCCGGGCTTCGGCCTGTTGGTTGTCACCTCGAATTTGGGACCGCGCGCGGCATGTTTGAGGTCGAATGGATTGAATTGCTCTCGAATCCCCTCCAGGACGACGCCTCTCTGCAGACGCTTGTCGTTGCGAGACGGATCCTCTTGCGCCTGCTTCCGCCGCTGCTTCTTGGACTTCTGGGGACCCGTGATTCCTTGTTCCCTCAGGGACGCCTTGAGGCGCTTGAGCTGGGAGCCGGCCATTGCGGAAGTTGTTTGTCTCCGCGATGAAGCCTTTGATCACGGAATTGTCCTGCGCAGAAGCAGCACCAGATACCAAGAGGCGGCCACCATCAACTGTCTTGGCTGCTAAATTTTTTGAACATGGCTTATCGATAGCAGTGCCTAGCGTGAAATGGGCTGGTGGGGACGAAAGCCGGTGGATTCGTCCCTTAAGAGAGAGAGTGGAGACCTTGAGTTGCGCTGATCCAGGAACTCATTCATATTGCGTCAAAGAACCTTGGAAGCTTCAACTCGGCGGTTTATGCATACGGACACTTTGCTTTCTGCTTCTACTCACCCCACACCAAAAAGAATTCTCAACAGCGACACTATATTATTCATAGAGACATATCACTCATGCGGCACCATCGGAACAGGGACACCCGAGGGAAGACGACATGAGCTTGACGGGCCGCTTCCTCTCATTCGCACGCGATGAGCGTGTGATCCTGGTTAGCATCGGGCTGGCAACGTTTGGCTTGGTCAGCACCATGATCACGGCCCTCACGATGATCAGAGACGACAACGAGATCCCGCCAGCGGAGCCCAAGACCCAGTACATCACCCAGGACACGGAGGACTCGCTTCAGCTGGACACGCTGGAAAAGCTGCTGGACCATCCAAACTTCTCCATCAAGGAGATCGCTGTCAAGATCCTCTGCGATAGGGCCGCAAACGACCCCGACGTAATCACGTATATATGGTTTGGGATCACCCGGCCGGATTACGAAGAGCGCATGGACTCTCTCAGAACACTGGCTGTGTTGACAAGCCAGACAGGTAAGAGCTGGCAAAGAGGCATTCTGTTAAGGATACATACTCATGGTGATCAGGTAACGAGGGTTTGGCAAGACTTCATGATGAGAAAGCCTACTCAGCCTTGGTACGGTGCATGGAACTATGCATGGAGAGCACTGAACTGCCCGTCGTCACGGACATTCACTGGGACGAGTACTATCTCCGCGACATGGGCGAACGATTCTGTCTTATGTTTCTTACAGAGTTGATCAACAAATACGGGGCCACCATGCTCGTCAAGGCCAAGTTCGTCGAGAAGTGGCTTGCGAAGCAAGAATGGGGAAGCACGCCCGAGGAAAGACGCCGTAACTTCAAGGACTACATGGACTACCGAAACAACCGGATCACCGACATCGTCAACCGAATCAAGCATTCTCGGCGGGGTTTGCGCGCCCTAGAAAAGGCAGGGCTTATCGACAAAGAAAGCTCGCGGCGACGGATGAGAGAACTTCCCGATCTCCTGATGGAGGTCGAAGAGGAGATTGCGGCCGGAGAGCATTCCGGGGAGCAACAGAGTCGTCGGACCAGGGAGCATTCCGCAGAAGAGCAGAGGCTTCGACGCCAACATCGCGAAGCCATGGTTCTGAATGATGGAACGCGACCTTTGGGCCGAGAAGACATCATCGAACGCGATGCATCTCCAGCTTGAGGGGCGATCATTGTGCGAAGAAAGACCCAAAAAAAAAAAAAAAACGCTCAAGATCTGGCCTACTTCCGAGGAAACCCATGGACAATGAGGAGGTGATTGTCGGGTAGAGCGGAAGACGTTTACGAGACATGCCGCGAGGTACGTTGCTGCTCCTTTGGAGCCTAGATGCCTATCTGACCCGCCTGCAGTAACGAACGAGGAGAAGCGTTCTGATGATACTCAAGCACTCAACCAGTACCCAAGCATTACTGTAATGACTCGTACTGTATACATGATGAGCATTTCTGATTGGGCAACAGCTGCTTCAGAGAGGATGTATTGCCTAATCGAGGAGGTTTGTCGAAAGGCCGTCTCTGGCTCGATGGCTGTATGATTCGGGATAGCTTGGCATACCCGCAGCCTCTCTATCGCACTGCAATAGTGATGAAGAATATGGTAAGCACACAAGCATGGACAGTTGAGATGAGAATGAAATCTCGAATGAGGTTCTTCAGGTAGCAAATATATAACAATTGCTACGCCCTTGACAATTCTTGACCATCACCTTGTCCATGAGGTATGCAAACCTTCGTTTGGATAGTAGATCCTACAAAGTGCAACTACATACCACTAGAGCCCGTTGGTCAAGGGCCATGTGGCTGCAACGGCTTCTCGGGGTCGAGGAGCAACCCGCAACCCGGCCGTTGCCGCTTCTCCACCAACAGCGAAGCCAGTCATGCTTCTTCCATTACCGCTACTCTCACCTTGCCGCATCGAGCAGTCGCATGTATTGGGTACTTGGCAGCGAGTCTTGACGACACGGATATCGAACTCTGTAGCCGAAGCCGTTGTATGGGGTACTTTGACTCCATAGCTGGAGAATTGCCTATGGTGCCACTCGAGGATTGGATGCGGCCCCTTTAGAATTCCTTGCATTTGAATTACCTAGTACTGCCTTGAGGACTCGGTAGTGGTTCTGCTGCCTGGGATGGTGTAGATGTTGCCTTGATGGCGTGTCTGAGCTACTGCGGGCATCTGCATAGTATCGGTTATGCGTAACTGACCAGGTGTCCAAGTCTTTCTGCAAGGCAGACTGTTGCTTGTAACCAGTAGGTTTATTTATGGAAAGGTTTCATCTTTATAGTAGTACCTTGATTGGTGATAGTAGTACCGTTCAGGCATGTGCAGTTGAAGCCAGAGCTACGGGGAAATTAAGGACGGCATAGCGTTAACATGAGCCGCGCAGGTATACGTACCTCGCTTGCTGGGCGAACGGAAGTTTGTTGGTAAGTATTCAGGGGAATGTCCTCTTCTGATATCATTGTGTTATGTCAGGCAAACACAGAAGCACTGCAGATATAGGTAGGTAAGGTAGTTCTTTTTTTTTTATGTTTGAGGTGTGCCGAGTTATCGTGCTGCATATTAGGTAAAGTGTCTCATTCCACATCTCTGCCAGGGAACACAAGCAACGCCACAGGTACGAACGCTGCTCGTTTAGAACCAGTAAATGCGTTGGAACATTACTTTTTCCCCAACTCTCTACAGAGTCTCCACGATCGATTCCTGTTACTCTCCCGGACAGGGATGACGGCGTATACACGTAACTTAAAAGATAAAAATATCAACCACATGGGCGGCCTCGTCTCCAGACTTCGCAAACATCCGCCACTGTTGAACCGGTATCCACTGCGAACCGTGCCGTATTGATCGCTTCTGTCTGCAATTCGCCGAGCGCAGCGCATCCATGATCCCCCGTTTAATCTTCCGGGGGCCAGAATAAGCTCTCAAGGGGTCTAGAGTTCAGTTCATGGGTGCAGAAGAGTCCAGGCTCGCAGTTGCGTGGTCTCGGTGAAGGTTAAAGTACCCGGTACCTGCCCCGACTTGGGCGACTCCCTGCGCTTGGTACCTGTACTTGTGCTTGGCCATCTTCCAGCTGCAGCTGCAACCTCGAGATCCTGCCCTTATTTGTAGCTTCGACCTCCATGCAAGGCCCTCCCACCGACTCGCCTCTTTCACCTCTCTCGGCCTCACGATTCATCGCCGCTTCGAGATGGAAAAGGCCGATGTCGAGCAGTCGAGCGGCGCGGTCACGGGAGACGCCGAGAAGCACGCTGAGGTGGACAATGTCGCCTCCGACGAAACGGCGCAGGAACAGGAGCAGCAGCAGGCAAAGGCTCGCCCTCAGCGGATAGCCTCCTTTAAGGACTATACGGTACGTCTGAAGCAATTGTTTGATGTGTTTGGTGAGATGCTGATTGACGATTAATCTGCTGCTCTACACAGCGAGTCTTCCAATACGCAACAAAATGGGACTTTCTCGCCTACGCTGCGGGCGTCTTGGCCTCGATTGGCGCCGGCATCACATTGCCGCTGATGAACGTCGTCTTCGGTACGGTTTACCCATCTAGGTGACATTCTTGATGCTCTTGGTGTATCATAGAAGGCAAGCTTTAATGAACCTGATGCTTATGGCGTTGCTCTAGGTAACTTTGTCGGCAGTATAAGCGACTTCACCAGTGTTGCTAGCCAAAGCCAGGATGCCTTTCGCAAAAAGGCAGACAAACTTTCGTGAGACCGACTCTCCATGATATGTTCTTATTCCTCAACTAACACGTTGCAAGCTTGTACATGTTTGCTCTGTTTCTTGGCCGACTTGGACTCAACTATATCAACAAGGTGCGAGTTACCTTCCATAGTCCACAGCCATTGCGAGATCACTAAATGGTGCACGGCAGTTTGCCTTTCGAATGATTGGAATACGAATTTCTTCAGCGATTCGACTTCATTACTTGACAGCACTGCTAGGCCAGAGCATCCACGTCCTGGATTCGATGCCGCCCGGCTACGCCACCACGACAATCACTTCCACCTCCAACGTGCTTCAGCTGGGAATCTCGGAGAAGCTTGGTGTCTTCTTCGAGTACAACGCCACCATTGTCGCAGCCATCATCATCGCCTTTACTCGCAACTGGGCTCTCACGCTCGTCACGTCCTCGGCGATTCTCTTCATTGCCCTTACCGTCTCCGTGCTATTGCCCCTTATAGTCAAGGGTCACGGTCGGATATCTGAGGTGTGTGTTTACTGTAGAGCATTGTTACAATAATGCTAGCGAGAGTACAGTTCTGACCCTTTCACTAGGCTGAAGCGAAATCCTCGGCCGTGGCAAGCGAGACATTTGCTAGCATTCGCATGATTGCAGCGTGCGGTGCCGAGGCCCGTATGGTCAGGAAGTACGGAATATCCGTCGAGGAAGCCAAAAAGCACGCTCAACGCACATCACCATTCATATCCTTGCAGTTTGGGCTCATCGTAAGACCACAATGTTCCCTTGATAGAGCAAAAGAGCTTTTCTGATCTTTTTACAGTTCTTTAGCGTGTTCTCGGCCTTTGCGCTCGCATTCTGGTATGGAACCAGGTCGGTAGCTAAGGGCCAAATTGATAATGTTGGAACGATTGTCATGTGAGTCTACACGCTTCTTGAATACGCATGGCGTAACGCAGCTAAGTTGAGAAAGCGTTTTGATGTCTGTCATGATGGTCGTCTTCTCCCTCGAGCGAACTACCACTCCTCTTTTGGCCGTCAGCAAGGCCACCGTTGCCGCCGCCCAGTTTTTCACTGTCATCGATGCCCCCCAGCCAGACAAGGGCCATCTCAAGGATCCGGAGGTTTCTGCCACGGACGACATTGTCTTCGAAAAGGTCACGTTCGCCTATCCCAGTCGTCCCCACGTCAAAATTCTAGACGAGCTGGATCTTCGTATCGAGGCGGGCAAGATCAACGCCATTGTTGGTCCGTCTGGCTCGGGAAAGAGCACGGTTGTAGGACTGATCGAGAGATGGTATACACTGAAGCAACAATACGTCATTGCCGAAGCCGTGGAACAGCAGAAAAACAAGAAGAAGAAGAAGAAGACCAGCGAGGAAGAGGAGGAGATCAGGACCCAAGATCAAGAAGATACCGGGCCGCCAGTCAAACTCAGTGGCACGCTCACCACGTGTGGCCATGCTCTGGATGAAATTGACTTGAAGTGGTGGAGGTCACAGATCGGACTGGTCCAGCAGGAGCCCTTCCTCTTCAACGACACCATCTTCCGCAACGTGGCAAATGGTCTGATTGGCACGCAGTGGGAAAATGAACCCGAAGAAAAGAAACGAGAGTTGGTAAAGGAAGCATGTATCGAGGCGTTTGCCGACGAGTTTGTCGACAAGCTTCCACAGGTGAGTTGAACAACATCCCTTTGTCTCCCAAACCCCTTTTTCATCAGCTAACATCGCGAATGCCATAGGGCTATGACGCTCTTGTTGGTGACAGCGGCGCCAAACTCTCCGGTGGCCAGCGTCAGCGCATTGCCATTGCACGATCTATTGTTCGAAAGCCCAAGATTCTCATTCTCGACGAAGCGACAAGCGCGATTGATGTCCGTGGAGAACGTATAGTGCAGGCAGCCCTCGATCGCGTGGCGCAAAATCGAACGACAATCACAATAGCCCATCGCTTGTCCACTATCAAAAAGGCAGATCGAATCATCGTCATCAAGAAGGGAAAGGTCGTGGAGGAGGGCACACATGAGAGCCTCATTGCCATGGAGGGCGGTGTTTATTCCGGCCTTGTCCAGGCTCAAGCGCTTTCTTTGGGAGGCTCGCCACAGTCTGACGAGAGTGACGAGAAGGGAGATGCCTACGAGACTTTAGCTCGCGAGAAGAGCTTGGCCGTTTCCGAAGCCGAAGCGCAAGCAGAGACCAACACCGAACAGCAGCGAAACATCTTCAACAGCTTCGGCCGCCTCTTTTACGAGACCCAGAGCCATTGGTATTTGATGTTTCTGACAGTCTTCTTCGCCGCCTGCGCCGGAGCAGCGACCCCACTGCAAGCCTGGCTGTTTGCGAAGCTCATTGTGGTTTTCCAGTTCACCGGCGCCAAACTACTGTCCGAGTCTCGCTTCTGGAGCTTGATGTGGTTTGTTCTGGCGATTGGGGTGGGCTGCGCTTACTTTGGAACGCTCTTCTTTTCCACTCGTATGGCGTCCATCATTCGAGCCAAATATCAGCAGCAGTACTTTGAGGCCATTCTTTATCAAAAGACGTCCTTCTTCGACGACGAGGACCATTCGCACGGCACCATGACATCGCGCGCGAGTGGAGATCCGCAACGGCTTGAGGAGCTGATGGGAGCCAACATGGCCAGTGTCTATATCGCAATCTTTAACCTCACCGGCTCTATTACTATCGCCTTTACGTTTGGCTGGAAACTGGCTCTTGTTGGTACCGCCGTCGTCATGCCAATTCTTCTCGTTTCCTCCTTCTGGCGCTTCAAGTACGAGATGCAATTTGAAAAGATGAACAACGAGGTCTTTGCCGAAAGCTCCAAGTTCGCCTCCGAGTCCATTGGCGCCTTCAGGACCGTCACCTCTTTGACCTTGGAAGGCCCTATATCGAGCCGCTTCGAAACCCTGTGCAAGGGCCATGTCAAGACAGCCTTCAAGAAGGCTCGCTGGGTCAGTCTCCTCTTTGGGTTCGCCGACAGCTGCACATTGGCCTGCCAGTCTCTCATCTTCTACTACGGAAGCCGGCTCTTGGCCAGCGGAGAGTACAAGCTCGAGAACTACTTTGTGTGCTTCATGGCCATCATGAACGCTTCCGAGTCGGCCGGCCAGAGTTTCGGATTCGGACCGAACGCGGCGCAGGTCACGGCCGCGTCGAACCGCATCTTGAACACCAGAGACACCATGATTAGGGACAAAACTTCTGGAGCAGCAGATCTTCCCAGCGAAGAAGGGGGGATGAAGATTGAGCTGCAAGATGTGCATTTCAAGTACCCGACGCGAGATATTCCCGTCTTTCGGGGACTCAACTTGACGATTGAAAAGGGGCAGTTTGCGGCTCTGGTGGGAGCGTCTGGATGTGGCAAGACGAGCATCATCTCCCTCCTCGAACGGTAAGCCGGATGCAAGCAGGTGTTGTTTTTCTTGTGGGCATAAAAGTAACTCATTTGGCCCATAAACAGGTTCTACGATCTCGACAAAGGCCGCATTTTGTGCAACGGCCAGGACATTAGCGAGGTCAACATCTTCAACTACCGCAAACACCTCTCTCTCGTCGCCCAAGAACCAACACTCTTCCAAGGTAAGTTCCTCTACGTCTTTATGTTGTAACAATTCATTCTAACTCAGAGCAGGCACCCTCAGAGACAACATCATCCTCGGCGTCGACGAGTCCACCGTCACCGACGAGCAAATCCACCAAGCCTGCCGCGACGCCTCCATCCACGACTTCATCGTCTCCCTCCCCGAAGGCTACAACACCAACATTGGCTCCCGCGGCGTCTCCCTCTCGGGCGGCCAGAAG